TTGACTGGTCCGTAATTCCCCCCCGCCTTTTCCTCCTCCGGTTGCGTTTGGCGGTTCTCACCGGGTTCATTCCCAATCCCTAGCGGGGCTATGATTATTGGGTGCAAGGCTTGGTCCGCCAGCAGACACTCCGCACTCTATAACCCTCGTCAGGGGCAACCGCCAAAGCCGTCGGCCACCGAGCCTCCCGTACCGCCAGCCTACGCATTCCGGCGGCCACCGCCAGGTGCATCTTCTGTTCAGATCCCCCTTGTTGCGTGCAATAGCTATTTCCTGGGCCGCCCCGAGCGCCCGGCACTGTGGTGATGGCGCCTTGAAATGTAGCTTGGCTCTAATGATCCAGCCTTCGAAATCAGGGTCCTCCATCACTTCCTCAGACTCCGGCCCACACACCTCGTGTCCCGCACGTCATAAGCGGCTGTGGGTGTTCTTGCCAGTCTCCGTAGTCCGGGGCACATCGCGCCAGGGGCTCGCCTGGTTCGCAGAACCCAGCAACGGCCGTCGATAAACCGCCGGTGTCATGGCCGGCCGACCTCCTCTTGCCTTCTCCCCCTGGCAATGTACAAGCCTCCGCCGCTCAGCCGCTCTCCCAAACACACCTTCGTTCATATCGTGGCGCCTCGGTTGCGCTGCCTCATACGTCCCCACCTTCCACACTCCGCCCCCTCCTCCCGTTACCGCAATTTACCACCCCCTACTTTTTGACGACACCAAACACCCCCGCTAAACGCGTGGTATGGGCATACGACGAGCTTCAAAATTTGTCTGAGAACACAGTTCCCTCCATCGAAGATCAGTTTGGCACAAATTCGCACGGATTGCCCCATGTCAATCTTGCCGATACCACCAGCCAAGACATCGTCCTTCCCATTTGCTACCGAAACACTCCATGGGCTCTCGCATTGGCACATGGCTTGGGATTGGGCACGGCACGAGATTCAGGTTTAGTCCAAAGTTTTGACGATATGTCGTTGTGGTCTCAAATCGGGTATAGATTGATCGACGGCCAGTTTCAAGAAGGCGAGGTCGTGACCTTGGAACGATCTGCTGATTCGTATCCGGAATATTTCAAAGAGAGCATCACGTCAGAAGAAGCTGTGTCGAGCCATGTATTTCAGGATGTCCTCGAACAAGCCCGATGGATCGCAGGCAAAATCAAAATCAATCTCGAGGAAGATGAACTGGACCCCGATGACATCTTGATCGTTTTGCCAAACGCCCTAAGTTCTAAGCGAGAAGCTCAAGTGATCATGGACGCTCTGTGGCAACAAGGCATCAATGCGCACTTAGTGGGAGTCGGCAACAGTCAGGATGAAGTGTTCCGGCAAGACTCAGTAGCCATCGCACATATTTACCGTTCCAAAGGGAATGAAGCTCCCATGGTGTATGTGGTCAATGCCCAACATGGCGTAGCCGGGCCCGGACTAATCACGCGCCGTAACACGCTATTTACCGCAATAACACGGTCGAAAGCGTGGGTGCGAATATGCGGTTGGGGCCCGGATATGTGGGAGTTACAAGCAGAGATCGAGGCGATCAAAAACAACGATTATCGGCTCCGGTTCAAAATACCCACACAGCAAGAATTGGCGAACATACGCCGCATACACCGGGACCTGACTCGCAGTGAGCGAGCCAAGATCAATCAAGTCAATGATGGGCTAAAGACCTTTGTCGACGCCCTAGAAGAAGGTCAAGTATCGTTCGATGAAGTCTCTTTGGAATTGAAAGCGGCATTGCAAAAATATTTCGCCCAGGGGATTACAGATGACGCCCGATGATACCTTCAATGAATTGACGAACTTCGTCGACTTATTGATGAGGTCCAGCGTTGCTCTCAACATGAACGCGATAACAAACCGTCGATTCCGGAATTCTGGAATCCGGCGGATTACATGGGCCAAAGGGTCCGCAATTGGTGACGCCCTGCTGGATCGTGAAGATGGGAGCATATCGCAGTATTGCCATTGGCTGAGTAGCAGGGACTACTCTGCGGTTTTGTTCGACGGATCATTGATCCAGTTAACGTATGATTTTCTCGCCGACGTTTTGGTCCGACATCGGCTTTTGTATTTCCCGTGCCCGTTTCAGTTGCGCCTCGACCTATTGGATGACGTGTCCCTGGTAGATCTGGTCGAACAATATGTCGATAGTGGGATAGAGGGGATACGCCTCCGGGCGCCCGTGCGATTCGATTATGAACGAGATACGGCTAACGACGATCACCCACATTCCCATTTCACGTTCCAATGGTCACATTGCCGTATACCAGTAGTGTGTCCGCTCAGTTTGGGGCATTTCGTGGAGTTTGTGTTCAAGAATTTTTACCCCAGCGAATGGGGGAGATATTCGTTCTTAAAAAATTGGCCAGTCTACGATTTCGAACCGACAATAGGAATAGCAGAGTCCCAGCTCCTTCATTTCAGTTACATTCCAAGAAATAGATAATCGTTTGTCGACCGAGGTGATTCACCGGCACGTTTACTTCAATGAACGATTACGTTCCCACTGAATGGTCCGCATGTTGGTGCCGTCTTCTATGTGCCCCGCCATCGGTCAGTGCTTACCCGTTTTGGTGTGCCTAACCGCTGCCACGTAAAACATTCCCTTCGGGAGATGCCCGTGCCGAGCCGATTGCGACTTTTGCCGCTGAGGTTTAGTGGCCGTAGATCAGCGAGGGCGGCCATTTTCATGCCGAATTGGGGCTGCACTCCCGTACGGATGCCCCGCCGGAATCGCCAGGGCTTAAGCAAAACGGCAGATTTGTCCCCAAAGTCCACAAGCATTCTACCGTTTCAGGCTGGCGGGCAGGATAAGACAGTCCCTCTCAAACATGCCGAAGGGCCGCAGTTGTCGCAGCCGACCAGCAACTCCCCGTCGGCGGGGTCTCGGTTTAACACGTGGTTGGATTGAAGGTGTCCGCAGTCGGGGCAGCGATCCTGGCCGAATGCGCGTTCCTGAAACCGGGTTCGCGACTTGTGGGCCGGTTGCCAGAACATCTTGGCATATCCGAGCATTGATCACCTCAGCGGTTTGGGCATCCCGATGGCAGACTTCTACCGAAAGTCTGCCACGATTGTATCGAACACAGCGCCAGCGCCGAAACACAGCCCGCCACGCCCCCTTGGTGGCAGAGTTTGAACGGAAGTCGGCCATTCCACAACAGTCCGTGCATCCCCCATCCCGTCATCATCAGGAAGTGCCATAGAGGTAGGACGCAAAGGAGCGTCCGGCGTCCTACCCCTCCGCCACCACCTGTTCTTGAGCGTGCCGATACCGCTGATCTCCACCTCGATGGTATCGCCGGGGAACATGTCGCCGTCTGCGCCCTGGGTGCCCATCCAGAGGACGTCGCCGGGGTACCGGGTGGCGTAGTTGCTGAGTTCGTGGATCCAGGTGGCCGTGCCCCAGACCTGGTCGGCGGACGAGAAATCCTCCCACACCTCTCCGTTGTGGCGCACGATGATGCGAAAGCCCGGGTGTCCCGCCCGGCGAGATCGCCAAGATTCGGGGAAATCGACACCCTGAAAACCCCATGTTGACGGCTCCCAAACGGCCGTCGACGCCCTGAAAAAGCCCGGTGAGATCGTCAAATCCCTCGTTTGCGACACCCCGAAAACCCCCTGTCGGAGGCCCCAAAATGGCCGTTGACGGCCCGAAAAGTCCCGGCGAGATCGCCAATATCCCGGGTTATCGACGGCCCGAACCCCCTGTCGACGGCTGCAAAACGGGCATTGACGGCCTGAAAAGGCCCGGTGAGATCGCCCAAATCAGCCGATCTTGGGGGTGTACCGCCCAGCTTACTCCTCCCCCACCACGTAGTTGCGGAGGGTGCCGATGCCGCTGATTTCTACCTCGATGGTGTCTCCGGGGAACATGTCCCCGTCGGCCCCCTGGGTACCCATCCAGAGGACGTCACCAGGGTACAGGGTTGCGTAATTGCTCAGTTCGTGGATCCAGGTGGCGGTGTCCCAGATCTGGTCGGCCGACGAAAAATCCTCCCACACCTCGCCGTTGTGGCGGACGATGATGCGAAAGCCCTTGGGGTCAACGTCGGTGACGATCCAGGGCCCCAGGGGTTTCCAGGTGTCGCAATTCTTGCCACGGAACATGGTGCGGTCGGCTTGCTGCCAGGGCCGCTGGCTGATGTCGTTGCCAATGCTGTAGCCGAAAACGTAGTCCAGGGCTTGGCTCGCCGGCACCTTGCGAGCTTTCTTGCCGATGACCACCGCCAATTGGCCCTCGGGCTGGACGGCGCCGGAGGAGTCGGCGGGAACGACGATGGTTTCCTCAGTGCCGACGATGGCGTGGACTGACCGATAGTTGGGCGACGGACGGTCCGGATATACCGGCGGCGACCCGCGCCGCGCCGCCATGCCTTCGACGTGTCCGCGATAGTTGGGCCCCGCGGCGTAAAGCATGGGCGGCGCGATGGGCGCCAGCAGCTTCACCTGATCCAGGGAATAGGAATGGTTGGTGACGGCATAGTCATCCAGTGGGTTGCCCCACACCTCGACTACGTTGCTGCCTTCGACAATGCCGAAACTGGTCTTGCCCTCTAGCTGAAAGCGGCACCAAATCATGGGGATACTCCTTGTGCAGTCTCACGCCACCCAGCCCGTCCTCGCCAAGAACGCGGCGACGTGGCGATATCGTCCTCGTAGCGACCGGGCGCTACCATGACGAGATTGCCGCGCTGCGCTCGCAATGACTGATTAGTGGTCAGTGCGCGTAAGGGTTATTCGGGTGTAACCAACGACTCCGCTTCACCGCCGTTTAGCACCCGCAGGATGTTGCCGTAAGCGAAATGGGCCGCCCGCAGCGCGGTTTCGCTACTCTGGCCTGCCATGTGCGGGGTAATGATCACGTTGTCCAGGTCGAATAACGGGTTGTCCGCCGGACTTGGCTCCACCTCCAGGACATCCAGCCCGGCGCCGGCGATCTGCCCTCCCGTCAGGGCCCGGTAGAGTGCTGCTTCGTCGACCACCGGCCCACGGCAGAGGTTGATGAAGAACGCCGTGGGTTTCATCATGCTGAACTCGCGGTCGGACATCATGCCCCTGGTTCGGCGGGTCAACGGCACGTGCATGCTCACGATGTCCGAGCTCTCCAGCAGTTCGTCGAAGTCGACGGGTGCAGCCTTCACTTCCCGCCGGACGTCTTCAGGAATGTCCTCGATGTCGTAGTAAATGGTGCGGGTATCAAAACCGGTGAGCCGCTTGGCGACTTGCCGCCCGATGCGTCCAAGCCCGACGATGCCCACCGTCTTGTCGGTCACCTCCGACAGGTCGGTCTGGTAGAGATCGCTCCGCCAGGCTCGCTGCCGGGTGGTACTGTCCCATTGCGCCATGAGGTTCCTGCTGATCCCTATCATCAGGGCAAGCGTCTGTTCGGAAACCGAAATGGCGTTGGCGCCGCCGTTGTTTGCCACTGGGATCCCCATTTCCAGGATGGACTCGAGGTCCATTCGGTCGTAGCCCGCGCTGAGCGTCTGGATCAATTTAACCTTGGGACATTCCCGGAGCACGTTGGTCGTGATGTCGCTGGTGACGATGGCGTCGGCGTCTCGGCACAGCTCGATCTTTTCGGCCTCGGATAGAGCGGGGTTCACCACCGCGACTTCCAACTCGCCGGGGGCGTTGTCCAGCATCACCTGAGGGCGTCCGCCTACTCCGCTGAAATACGCGACTTTCCAAGTGGGCATATCCTTATCTCCTTAGCGTGTATCCGGGAAACGTGAGCGCTGCGATCCCAATTATAGTTGCGTCGTAGGGCGTGTCAAAAAATATTTGAGCTCCACATGTCAAGGGCGGACGAAAGCTGTAACGCTCGGGTGTCGATGGTCTACGATTCGGTCAGTAGTTAACTGGTCAGCGACAATGTCAGTCTATGAAGGACTTGACATTGAACCAGCTAGAACAGACGAGACTTCACGTGCTCAACTCAGTATTGGAACACCAGCTACCGGTAGCCCAGGCTGCCGAGATCCTGGGAGTGAGTGAACGCCATGCTTGGCGAATTCTGGCGGACTATCGCAAGGAGGGCGCCGCCGCACTGGCCCACGGGAACCGAGGCCGCCGACCCCGCAAACGCTGTTTCTGACGATGAGGCAGCCGCGGTGATCCAGTTGGCCAGCAACCACCTACGCTGGCGCCAACCACACCCACCTCACCGAGTTGCTCCGGGACCGGGAGGGCATCGACCTCAGCCGGCCCACCGTGCGGCGCATTCTGACCAAGGCAGGCATCCCGAGCCCGCGCAAACGGCGTGCGCCCAAGCATCGGGTCCGGCGGACAACGGATGCCTCAGGCCGGGATGCTGGTGCAGATCGACGGCAGTTTCCACCGGTGGCTGGGCGAGGACGGTCCCCAATCACCCTGCTCTGGCGGTTGACGACGCCACCAGCGCCGTGGCCAACGCGGTGTCTGTCCCGAGGAGGACACTCGGGGATACTCATCCTGATGCAGGGACTGATCGAACGCTGGGGCGTACCCACCGCCCTGTACAGCGACCGCCACGGCGTGTTCAAATTCTCCGGCAAACGAGGCACATCCAGCCGCCGGTGGAAGCCACCCACTTCAGCCGTGCCCTGGTGGAGCATGGGCATCCAGCAGATCTTCGCCCGCTCGCCCCAGGCCAAAGGCCGAGTGGAACGTGCCGCCGGCACTTTTCAGGACCGGCTGGTGACCCGAACTGCGTCTCGCCGGCGCCAGCACCATAGACCAGGCCAATGCCATGCTCAGGGACTCCTGCCCGCTATAACACACTGGTTTGCTGTCCCGGCCGATCTGCCGGAGCCTGCCTACCGCCCGTGGCACGGAAAGCGGCCCTTGGACGAAATCCTCTGCTTCAAGCGCACCCGCAAGGTGGCTCGGGACAACACGGTCAAGTACCAGTGGCGCACCCTGCAACTGCTGCCCAGCCGGGAGCGTCCCAGCTACGCCGGTGTCCAGGTGGAAGTCCTCGAACACACCGATGGCCGCCTCCAAGTACGCCATGAGGGTGAGATCATCCCCTGCCGGCCAGCGCCGCCCCGACCCGGTGCACTGCGCGCTTCCCACGGCGCTCTGGCTCCCAACCCAGAAATCGGCCGCATCGTGAAACGCCTGGGCAATCATCGCGTCAGCCAACCCCAGCTGCGACACCTGGCCAACCTGGAGCCCGATCCCGTCGTCGAGGAACCGGCGGTCGAGAACCATCACAGTGAACCTCCATCCCGCCGGGAACTCACCCCGCGACAGCTGGCCCTCTGGAAGGCGGTGCAGCAGGCCCAGGCCCAGGGTCTATCCCTGCGCGAGATCTCACGTCAACTGGGCGTACACCGCAACACTGTCCGCAAGTACGCCCGCTCCCTCACCCAGCCGACCAATCTCCCCATCAACCGTGGCGTCAGCGGATCATTTCAACCAGCCATCAACCGCTCAGACTGACAAAGTCGCTTTCCATTTAAACTGACAGAACCGCTGGACAACAACACCCGAATCGGCGATCGGCCGCCCACGCGGTACATTTTCTCTCCGTCCTTTACACTCCACACCTTCGGAGAATTCTCGTGCATGGTCGGTTGCGTCTAGCAGGCTGTTGAAATGGGGTGGTTCGATGGTGGTGTGGAGGTCGTAAGACGTCGTAACATTGCTCGATGCCGCCTGCAGGTCGGGTTTCAGGGCTGGTTGACGCTGCGCGGAGGACGATATTGAGATGGGTGGCCGTCGTCGGCAGCGATCAGGACAGACTGGTCCCCCGATCTACGTCGCTGCGGCCGTCGGGTTGGCCAAGCGCACCAGGTTGCATCCCGCGATGGTCAGATCAACCCACACCTGGTCGCGGGCAACCCCGCAGTAGCGCAACTTACGGCCACCACCCACCGTCTTGACCCAGCCGAAGACCTCGGCAACTCTTTTCCGCGCTCGCTGGCTCACTCGATAGCCCTCATGGCGGGTGGTACGCCGGTCGATGGCCGAGCGTCGCCCTCTCGCCGGCTCCACCATCTGGAGCGAAAACTCCCTGGCCACGCCGGCGTCCAACAGCCGCTGCCTGTTCTTGGAGAACACCGAGTGGTCGACGCTGTGGTCGATCGATGTTCAGGTACAGGAACCATTGGAACAGCGGGTCTTACGTCAGCCGTTCACAGATCTGCCGCTCACCACGCGCTGAGAACAAAGTCATCAGCAGGCAGGCTTTCAGCAGGTGCTCCGGCGCTATCGGCGCACGGCCATTGTCGGCGTCCATCCGGTCGAACGTGGGGGACAACTGGCCAGGGCACGATCCGTCACGGGCTTGATGCGCGGCATGGTACGGTGTTGCGGTATCAGCGCGCCCGGCGCAGCATCTGCGCCGCCCGCTCCGCGTTGCCTCGCACCGTCTGACCCCTACACCAGAGATAGCCCAATCCTATCGCCAGCCTCGCTTGCCGATCCGATTTCAACACCAGGCTAGTGGTGATTTGAACCAGGACTAGGGGACTACTTGCCAGTAGCGGCGACCCTCGGCGCGGACTACGCGACCGAAACCACCGTGGTGGCAGATGGCCATGATGGCGTCCTCGGACTCGGCCCGCTCGATGATGGCAGTGCGGGTGGTCACACCCTGGTCGCCGTCCATGTCAAAGCTGAACTTCCAGCCGGGTTCGGTGATCTGGGCGGGGCCGTGGAAAACGTCGCCCAAAATGTAGGCCCGCTCTCCACCGGATACGATGGCGAGGCTCATGGACCCAGGGGTATGGCCGGGGGTGGAGATAGCGGTGATTTCGCCGGTCAGCGGGCGTTCGCCGTCCAGCAATTCCAGCGCGCCGAGGTCCTGAAGGGGGCCAAGGGTCTGGTCCCAGTGAGATGGGAAGAGTTCCATGACTTCGGGGCGTTGGAAGACCTCCCAGTCGGCGCGGTGGGCTACGTAGCGGGCGTTCGGAAAGGTGGCGCGGACTGGTGCGCCGGGTTCGTGGGTGAGGTTCCAGCCGACGTGGTCGAAGTGAAGATGGCTGAAGAAGACGGTATCGACGCCGGCGGGGTCGACGCCGGCCGTCTGCAATTCCTGCAGAAGGCGGCCTTCAGCGCCGCCGACCATTGCCTCGATGGAGTTGGGGTTGGTGGCCGCGCCGCCGAGTCCGGTGTCCACAAGAATAGTCTGGCCTTGGGAGCGGATGAGGTAGCACTCGAAGTGGGCCAGCAGGTGCTCGCCACGGAAACCGGTGGGGTAGCGCTCCCGGTAGGGAACCCACGCCTCGGCTGGAACCTCGGGAAAGACATCGCTCAGGGGCAGAGAGGCTTCGCCGTCGTTCAGGGAAAGGATTTCCACGTTTCCGACGGTCAACCGGGCTTCTGGCATGGGGCTATCCTCCTAGGCGGGATAGGGAACGGGCTCAACGCAACCTGCTGGATCGAGGTGATCCGATCCGCCCTTCGACCAACTCAGGACTGATGGGCTACGCACCCTCATGATTTTGCCACGTTTGCTTACTCCGGCGCTATTGAGCAGTGCGGGAGTTGAGAGTTTTCGGATGGGGCGATGCCAGCGAAACACGGGCCCAGGGTCGGGAGGCAGCCGACCCCGGCGGGTGGGTCCGTCGGACGTCGCGCTGTCGGGGGGTCTGTTCTCCCGGCAAACGGACTCCGAAGGTTGCGGCACGGTTTGCCACTGTTCCGGACCAGCAGAAGCCGTACCGGCGCGCCAACACGCCGCTCAGAGTGAAGGAGTTGGAACGCGACATCGCCACGGATTTACTTCGGCTGAGCTTGTGGCCATCGAGGCTGCGGCGCGGCCGAGCCGTGGTGAACTCAATAGATGTGATAAACACGGAAATGGCCCGGGGATTGCAGCGGCGACAGCACCGGCGGGCTTTGCCGGTTGGTCTGCTGCTGCGGACGACGGCCCGCGCGCCGGGGTTTCGTGTGCAGGTTCGCTCTGCGTTGTGGCACTGTCAGTGACCGATAGTCCAAGAGTGCAGATTACGCGGGAACACGTGAGTTGATCTGGCGGAGTCGGGTCGCCTCCGCAAATGTTTTGCGGTTGGCTACATTCGATCGGGTTTCGCAATTGGGCCCGCAATTGTCGGTCTCCGGACGCCTGCCGACGGAGTTGGCCGGGTTCGGGAGGACGAACGTGAACTGGAAAGTACAACCAGTTACATTTGGGTGGCTGGCAACCCGCGAGGCTGAAAACACCCAATACGAAAGTCATACCCAATGCGCTACCAAACGCGTATAAGCAAAATCCCTACTCAAAGTAGGGAGGCATTGGCGTCCCAGGCAGGATTCGAACCCGCGGCCAGCTGCTTAGAAGGCAGCCGCTCTATCCACTGAGCTACTGGGACGCGCCGAGATCAGGATAGTAAGATCGGCAGCGGGCTGTCAACGCTCTGACCCATCCATACGAGGACTGAGCGTGACTGCAGACGAGCTACAAAGCCGAAAGGCAACGGCACCTCGCGTTTCACCCACGAGCACGGTTCAGCAGGCCTACCTTCCTGAAGGAAGCTGGCCAAAAATCTGCCACACGGCGAGATCGATCCTCCGGGACCATTCGATCCTCCGGTACCATTCGATTGTTGTGGTCCGGAATGAAACTACGCGAAGGCAATGGGCTACCCCGATCGCTTGTGGCAAGAACCCGCGCGATGGCTACGAAGTTGCCACGCTTCGTTCGCAAGGACATTCACGGAAACCGAAAGGCCGTGGTCTGCCCTTGCTCCTGGGAGAGCATGCCGACAGTTTTGTAGTAAACTGGCCGGAAAGATACGCGCCCGGGGCACCTACAGACTGGATCGCGCGGTGCCGCACCTGGGTGGAAATTTGAAGACCGGGACCTTCCTGCATGACTACACCACGCGCGAATCCGATCCGAGTCCTAGTGGCCAAACCAGGATTGGACGGGCATGACCGGGGAGCGAAGGTAATCGCTCGGGCGCTACGAGATGCCGGGATGGAGGTCATCTACACGGGTATTCGTCAGACGCCGAGGATGGTAGTGCAGGCCGCCGCTCAAGAAGACGTGTCGGTACTCGGCTTGAGCATACTCTCGGGTGCCCACATGGAGCTTCTCCCAGAAATTATGCGATTGTTGGGCGAGCAGGGAATGAACGACGTGATAGTCGTGCTGGGAGGGATCGTGCCGGAGGAGGACAGAGAAGCACTGTCCCAAATGGGGGTCTCCGCAGTGTTCGGACCCGGCACTTCGACGAACGACATCATCGAGTATATTCATACCCACGCTTCCGACTAGCGAGCGGATGGCAATGTTGTGCCCTGCGCATCAAGTCGCGGTCAAAGTTTGAAAATTCAAAAAATCGGCAAAACTTGCCCGCTAAACTATTGATGGCGCGGCAGGGCCAACCTATAATCTGGCGTCAATTCCCGAACGACGCGCGTATTCAGGTCGTAACCAGCCATGAAGTACAACGTCGCGCAATTGCTGAAAGAAGCAATCGGATCACATCGTAATTTCGACATTGAGGAGGATATCTGCGACGCCGAACATCCCATGGAACATGTGCGAGGCGCGGTGGACATGGTGCGTACGCACCAAGGGATATGGGTCCAAGCACGGTTGGTAGTCCGCGTGCCGCAATATTGTTCGCGGTGTCTGGATGCGTTTTCGCGCACGATACGGATCGAACTGGACGAAGAATACTTCCCTGAAGTTGACGTCAAGACAGGCATGAGCGCTTTGCCGCCCGACGAATGGGACGCGTTGTGCATTGCCGCGGACCAAAACCTGGATCTAGCGGAGGCCACCCGTCAAGCCACGCTGGCAGCCATGCCATTGAAGCCGCTGTGCAAGCCGGAATGCGTAGGTATCTGCGATCGCTGCGGTTGCGACCGCAACCAAGGCCCATGTGACTGTTATAATCGTGAAATCGATCCAAGGTGGGCTGCGCTGCGCTCGCTAATGGATGAGCAACAACTCTGAACTGAAAGCCCGACGCGCGGATGTGATTATCACGGCAAACGCCTGTGCCGCTGCGGCGTCCGAGATGGAATTGAAAAATGGGAGCACTACCGAACAAGAAATTGACCAGAGCGCGGAAAGGTCGACGACTATCCTCGCCGGCATACCGCCTCAGGACTTTGCACCCGGCTCGCTGTCCCCGGTGTCGAGCGGCCAAACGTCCGCACGCAGCATGCCCTGGGTGCGGGTATTACCGAGGCCGGCAGGTCGGAGGCTGATTGACATCAACGCACCGCAATAACGACGAAAATAACTGGGCCGCGATTTTGCATCGCTAATTTGGAGAGCGGTCATCATGGCAGACATCGCCCGAACTCCGGTTTACTCATACATCTTCCCCGGTCAGGGCACACAGAAAGTAGGCATGGGCCGTTCGCTTTACGAACGGTCACCTGCCGCTCGCGAAATATTCGGCGAGGCGGATGACAGCCTCGGCATACATCTCTCGAAATTAATGTTCGAAGGTCCCGCCGAAGACCTGCAGGACACAGCCCATGCTCAACCAGCCATCATGACGGTGTGCATCGCCATCTGGAAAGCGTGGCAAGAGTTCCTGGGCCCGCAGGCTCCGGAACCTGCCGCAGTCGCCGGGCACAGCCTCGGCGAATATACGTCCATGGTGGTGGGCGGGGTTTTGGATTTCCGTGACGGCATTCGGCTCGTGCGGGAGCGCGGTCGATTGATGCATGAGGCGTCCGAAACACACCCGGGATCCATGGCCGCGATTATCGGCCTCGACGAATACGACGTCGCTCAAGTCGCCTTGGATGCCGGCGTCGAGATGGCCAACATCAACTCGGACGACCAGATAGTGGTGAGCGGAGACAAGATGGCCCTGGCCAGAGCCATGGACCTGGCATCTGCGCGCGGGGCTAAAAAAGTAGTCCCGTTGGCGGTCAGTGGGGCTTTTCACTCGCGCTTGATGGCTGAGGCACAAGAAGGTTTGATCGACGCCATCGACAATATTCGATTGCACGATCCAAAGTGTCCGGTGATTGCGAATTCAACCGGGACGGCGATCGTCAATTCGGAACAAGCCCGCCACGAGTTGCTTACCGGGCTATGCCACTGCGTGATGTGGAAGCATTCGGTACGCTACATGGTCGATTCTGGGGTCAATCGTTTCGTCGAGTTTGGACCAGCCCGAGTGCTGTCCAGCCTGATTCGTCGCATCGACCCAGACGTTGAGGCTTTGACGTTGTCGGACCCGGACTCAATTCGCAAGGCGGGTTCTGACGGCTGCTGACCGTTCAGGCGCCCAGGTATTGCAGGGATCAGCCGTAGCGATTTTGGTTACGGCTGCGGGGAATAATGTCCGATAGCCCGTTCACACCTGGGGTGCGCCGTGGTCCGGTGGGCAGGCAGGCTCGAGTCCTGACGCTGCTGTCACTGTATGCGAGCGATATCCGGCCACAAACTGTGAGCGAGACGATCAACTGGTTGTGCGCGCATAATCCAGCCACGACCAGCACGCGAAGAGCCGCGGAGTCCATGTTCGACGGCATAACCGGGGAAGGTTCGAGCGTCGATGAAATCATTGGGCGCTACGCACCGGCCATACCGGTGCGTTTGCTGTCCATCGTTGACCGCAACGTATTGCGTGTGGCAATCTATGAGCTGTTCAATCGCGATAACATACCGAGGAACGTCATCATCAACGAAGCTGTCGAGCTGGCATCCATGTTTGGCAGCGAGAGCAGCGCTCGTTTCGTCAACGGCGTTTTGGGTTCGGTTGCCCACGATATGCATGCGTCCGTTGACAGTGCGGTAAATTAGTTTAGACTCCGCACGCCTCAGACCCAATTACGTGGTCATTCCCAAGACTATCTTCCCCACGACTATTTTCACGGAGATGAACCTGTGAGTACCGTGCTCGAACGGATTACCGATATTGTAGTTGACAAGCTCGGCGTGGATGCCGGGGATGTCAGCGAGAGCTCATCCTTCCAGGACGACTTGGGGGCCGATTCCCTGGACTTGGTGGAACTCATCATGGCGTTCGAAGAGGAATTCAGTTCCACCGAACACGCCATAGAAATCCCGGACGAGGACGCCGGCGAGATCCACACCATCGCCGACGCGGTGAATTACCTGAAAGGCAAGGGCGTGACGGACGAATAGTTTCTCGCCTTGCCGGCCGGGACGACAGTGGACATGGGTAACTTACGGGATGGATACACTCGCCGAGGTAGCTCGTGTCGTCAGCACGTGCACGGACTGTCAGTTGCATGCTGGCCGAACTAATGCCGTGCCCGGAGAGGGCCCGGACGCCGCTGAAATACTATTCATCGGGGAAGGTCCAGGGTTCCACGAAGATCGTCTCGGGCGTCCGTTCGTGGGACCGGCTGGGAACTTTCTCGAGGACCTGCTGCAATCCATCGGCATGACCAGGGCCCAGGTGTACATAGCGAACATGGTCAAATGTCGTCCGCCAGACAACCGGGACCCGGTTCCTACAGAAATCGCCGCCTGTAGCAAATATTTAGACCGCCAGATAGAACTGCTCGACCCCATACTTATAGTGACGCTGGGCCGATTTTCCACGGCGCGATTTATACCAGGCCAAAGCATCAGCAGGGCGCGAGGTCGCTTGAGGCAGGTCAACGGGCGCCATATTTTTCCGATCATGCATCCGGCAGCGGGGTTGCGCCGGCAGGAAATGAGGGCCGCTATCGAGGAAGATTTCGCCAAGATACCTGGCCTGCTGGACGTACTGCGTATCCAGTCCGAACCGGCTTCGGACAGTTCCCAAATCCGAGAGGCAACCCCTGCCCTGGAACCTCCACCCGCCAATCAGGTACCCTCTCTATGGGATGTGCCTGGGCCCCCCGAGTCGGGCGTCGCTACTTCTCCAGCCGACCATCCGTCTGCGGATGAGATCGAGAAGCCGGACGGTCCATTGCCCGGCCAGCAACGGCTATTCTGTTAGCCACCTCTGTGACTGCTTTGACTGAATCCCGCCCGCTGCCCGAAGCACCGCTGCGCATCCTGCCCCTGGGCGGGTTGGGCGAGATCGGCAAGAACATGATGGTGCTGGAGTGCGGGGATGACATCATCATCGTCGACTGTGGGATCCAATTCCCGACCGAGGACATGCCGGGCGTCGACCTGATCATACCGGACGTGTCCTATCTGGTGGCGCAGTCTCACCGGGTGCGCGGCATCCTGATTACGCACGGGCACGAAGACCACATCGGCGGCTTGCCCCACGTGCTTCCGGACCTGGATGTTCCGGTTTATGCACCCAAGCTGGCGCATGGGCTGATCACGGTCAAGCTCAACGAAAGGCGACGGACCCGGGATGCCGTGGTGCACGCGATTGAACCGGAGGAGCCCGTCCAGTTGGAGACAACTTCCGCGCCACCTGGTTCCGGGTGTGCCACAGTATTCCGGACGCCATGGGCATCTGCATCGAGACTCCGTGGGGGAGTGTGATACACACCGGCGATTTCAAGATCGACCACACGCCGGTGGACGGCCACACGATAGATCTGCCGGCGCTGGCCGAACGGGGGAAAAACGGCGTCCTGCTGCTGTTTTCGGACTCGACCTACGCCGAGTTGCCGGGATACACGCCATCCGAACAAATCATGACCGACGCCCTGGACCGGGCAGTCGGAGGCGCACCCGGCAGGGTGATAATCGCGACCTTCGCGTCGCTGATCAGCCGGATACAGCAGGTGATCACGGCGGCAGAGAACCACGGACGCCACGTGGCGTTTGTGGGGAGGAGCATGGTTGCCAACGTGCAGATGGCCACCGAGATGGGTTATCTGGATGCGTTGCCGGGCACCATTGTTCCGGTGCGCGACGTGGCCGGGCTGCCTGCGGAAAGAGTCGTGTTGATGACCACGGGAAGCCAGGGGGAGCCGACATCGGCGCTGGTGCGGATCGCCAAGGGCGAGAGCCGGGACGTTGTACTGATGGAAGGCGACACCGTGGTTATTTCGGCCACGCCGATCCCCGGCAACGAGCGGGCGGTGAGCCAGACCATCGATAATCTGCTGCGGCAAGGGGCACGGGTACTCTACGACCGCATTGCGCCGGTCCACGTCCACGGGCACGCGAGCCAGGAGGAGTTGAAGCTGATGCTCAACCTGACCCGGCCGCGGTACTTCGTGCCGGTGCATGGGGAATATCGGCATCTGCGGGCGCACGCGCAATTGGCCTGGGAATTGGGCGCAGCTCCGGACGGGATATTTGTGCTGGAGGACGGCGAGATCCTGGAGATCGACCAGGACGGGGCCGAGGTAGTCGGATCGATACCGGCCGGACCCATCTATCTGGATGGACCCACGGTGATGGACACGGATAGCGTGGTGCTGCGGGAGCGACGATCACTGGCAAGGGACGGGGTAGTGGTGGTTTGCGCGGGCGTCGACCAGGACGGGGAACTGACCGGCCAGGTCCAGGTGGCGGGGAGCGGTTTCATGGATCCCGGGGATGCGAAGGACATTTTCAAGCGCCTGCGGAGGCGGTGGAGATGGGGGTTTCAGGCGATCTGCCCGCCGACAACCTGGACCAAGCGCGCGCAAACATCAGAAAAGTTGCCAGACAGTTCCTACGCAACGATCTAAACAAACGCCCTATGATAATCCCGGTAATCCTGGATACGTGACGGGCCACCGGCAAGCCGATGCAACGTGACAGATATTCCGCCGCGCCGATCAGGGGCGGCGTTCTTGTTTGTCAGTGACGGGTCGGGGTCGGACCAGTTTAGGAGTCGAGGACATGTCGACGGCAACCGCATCCCTCACCGGGGGATTCAATTGGTTCAAGACAGGCATCACGGCCGGCCTGCTGCTGGTGGGAGCGATGGTATTCGCCCTGACATACCTGGCGATACCTGATTTCCAGGAATGGCTGATGGCGACGCTGGGGGCCGGATGGGCGGTGGCAGCGGGATTGGGTTTGGCCGTGCTGCTGGCGGTGGTATACCGACCAGCAGGGCTGGTACGCGGGTGGAAATGGTGGTCGGCGCTGGCGATAGTCGCGGCCGTCGCGGTGGCCGGGCTGACGTTCTGGCAAGGCGAAAGCGGAGCGTCCTACGCTTATGGAATGGCGGGACGATGGGGATACGCCCTGACCGGCGGGCAGTTCGGGTGGTGGCTGGTCGAGTTTCTGGCTGCGCTGATGGTCATCAGTTTGCTGCTGGTCCCGAAGGCGGGCAGGGGATATGTGGCAGCGGGCCGGATGGTGGGTGTGGCCGCCTGGGCTGCCCTGGTATTTGCAGCCATTGGCGTCAGGTACGTCGGAATTTGGTTGGCGCTGGCGGCGGTGACGGTTGGTCGCGGGGCGCGGCGTCTGGCCGGTTTGCGGCCCGGGAAACGCCCGGTGATGGCCAAACCCGTGACCCGGCCGGCTGCGGCGCCTGAACCCAAACAGCTTGACCAGCCCGAACCGGCGAGAGCGCCACAACCGGTCAATCTTTCGCGGGCCGGCGGCTGGCAGTTGCCGCCGCTGGAGACCCTGGCGCCACCCGAGCCGCACGAAATTGACGGGAAAGCCATCGCGAACATGACGGAGGAGATCAAGGAAGCGCTGGCGGAGCACGGGGTGTACGTGGACGTCGAGGACGTGAAGGCCGGTCCGCGGGTGATCAAGTTTGGATTGGTTCCGGGATACATGCCGCAACGGGCCAGCAAGGACGGAGACACATCGAAGCAACGACCGAGCCGGGTTCGAGTGGGCGATATTGCCAAGCGGCAGAAGGACCTGGCGCTGGCGCTGAAGAGTCCGTACATCAGAATTATTGAGACGCCGGAGCCCGGCGAAGGGCTGGTGGGTCTCGAAGTGCCGAACCCGACGCCGGGAAAGGTGTTGATGCGGTCGATCATAGAGGGGCCGGCGTTCAACAAGATCGTGGAGAAGGGCGGGCTGGCGTTTGCGCTGGGCGACGACGCCGGCGGACAGTCGCTGGCGCTGGACCTGGCGGCGATGCCGCACCTGCTGATAGCGGGAGCGACCGGGTCCGGCAAGAGCGTGTGCATCAACTCGCTGGTGGCGTCGCTGCTGATGACGCGGCCGCCGGACGAGCTGCGGATGATCATGGTGGACCCGAAGCGGGTGGAGCTGACGCCGTTCAACGGGATCCCGCACCTGGTGATGCCGGTGATCGTGGAGCCGGACGAGGTGCAGCCGGCACTGCGGGGACTTATCAACGAGATGACCCGGCGATACAAGCTGATGGAGGAAATGGGAGTCCGCAACATCGCCGGGTACAACGCAAAATCCGGCGAACCGATGTGTTTCCTGGTGCTGATCGTGGACGAACTGGCCGACCTGATGATGACGGGCGGGCTGGAAGTCGAGCAGCAACTGGTCCGGCTGGCGCAGCTGGGCCGGGCAGCCGGGATACACATGGTACTGGCGACGCAGCGGCCGTCGGTCAAGGTGGTCACCGGGCTGTTGAAGGCCAACGTGCCGGCGCGGGTCGCGTTCGCGGTGGCGTCCCAGGTGGACTCGCGGGTATCCTGGACGGAGGGCGGGGCGGAAGCATTGATGGGCAAGGGCGATTTGCTGTTGCTGAACAACGATTTCCCCAAGGCCCGGCGGGGCCAGGGCACGCTGGTGTACGACGACGAGATGGACCGCCTGGTCGATTTCTGGCGCAACCAGCAGGGGCCGCCATTGCCGCCGATTGACCTGACCGAGAGGACGAGGGAACCGGAGAGCCGGACCCGGAGAACATCGAGGACATTTACCAGGGCAACGTGCTGGACCAGGCGCGGGACCTGGCGCTGCGGAACCCGAGGCTGACGTCGGCGATGCTGGAGCGGCGGTTCAAGGTCCGCAAATCGATTGCCGACGAGCTGATCGAGGAGCTGCGGGGAGAGGGGCTGGTGATAGGCGGGTGAGCCAGCAGGTGAGGTCGAGGAGCGCGGCGAAGGACGGGTACGGGAATGCCGTGCCCGTTCTTGATTTGGGGCAAGGTCACAGGATGGTTGACGCGGTGGATCGTGACGGATGGGAGTGGGGGAGCGCGGCGACCGTTTCGGCCGGGTAGCGGCGTTATGGGCGACGAGATTGCCACGCTGCGCTCGCAATGACATTTGGGTGGTCCCGGCAATGCCGGTCTGGGGATTGCCACGCTGCGCTGGAAATGACATTTGGTTGGGTCTGGCAATGACATTTGGGTGGGTCTGGCAATGACTGGTCTGGGGATTGCCACGCTTGCGCTCGCAATGACATTCGGGCGGGTCTGGCAATGACTGTTCCGGATGTTTGGAATGGCCCGGACGTTCGGGCGCATGGCGGGTCATGCCCGGAGGACGTCCGGGATTGGGGCGCCCAGAACGCGTTGCAGGACCTTTTGCCAGATGGGGGACAGGGGAAAACGGGTATCGCGGTGTGTCGACATTTCGCCGGTTTCCGGGTGGCAGGGGCAGCGGATTGGAACGGCGCCGCGCTCGTACCAACCGTGGGGGTCCGCACTCCGCATCAGGGGCACCTTTTCGAGCTTCCATTCGGCGACGATCTCGCCGTAGTTGGGCAGGTCGAGGATGTCGCGCACGCTGGTGATGGGCGGGAGGTCCTCGGGCCGGAAACGGGGCGGCAGGCCACGGGCCCAACGCTTGTGATAGCGGACGGGCCGGGGATTGCCGGCGATGATGGCATCAGCGTCCTTGAGCAGCGCGGCGATACGACGCCGGAGACGACGCAGCGGGCAGCCGCGATCGCCCACGCGCTTGCCGTGGCGGGCTTCCTCGCCGATGCCAGGTTTCGGGCAGGCGGTGCACTTGCCGAACGTCTTGACGTGGGAACGGCTCATGCGACCGCTGCTCACAGCATACCGTGGATGGCTATTTCCAGCCGGTGCCGGGTGTTGTGACACAACCCAGCGTTGACCGCGAGGGCGGTTGCCGCGTGGGACACGGACCGACGGAGCGCGACGCGCGGCATCGGCGATGTCGCCGGCCTGGCCGGCGGTACGGGCGCGAGAGAGAAACGCCATGCTCCTCTCTCTGATGATGATTTACGGTACCCATTTAATCCTCGAAGGGGACCGAGGCTGCGCACGGCGCACGGCCGTCGCAACCCCGGTTTGCCAGATAGCTGCGGCCAGCCGGAAACGAACCCAAGGCTGGGAACGCAAGCACGAGCCGGCGCGCGCAATCATGGCGTGACGATACGATACGGGCCGGGGTGGGTCCCCCGCTGTCGATGGAAGGTTGAAACTCCTATTACGGTTGGTGGGTGTCGGTGAGTGTTGAACATCGGGGATCGGGTCTTGGGTCCAGGTTGTCGGCGCCACGGCCTGAGAGCGTTGTCTGCGAGATTCCAGTGCCAAGCTTCCATGTCCCCGGCTTTCGCGGCAAGCGCGAGAGCCGACACGGGGCGGAGGTCACACCCGCCGCGCCACCGCGCACCCGTTCCGTTGAATAAGACGGCGAGAGGATGCGAGGCAGCGAGTTGCAATCCGACGCGCCGCAGGCCGGAGCCCGCAGCGGTTTTAGGCCGTTGAACCTGGACTGTTGACCCGATATTCCCGATGTTATGTTCAGACGGGTGGACCGGTCGTCCCTGGCGCCGGGGAGTGCGGACGGCGAAACGTGTACGGGGTTTCGCCGTCCGGCTGGGGTCCGCCTGTCTGACTGGTGTACAGGTTACAGGACGGGCGTTCGTTGGCGCTTGGCGTGGGTGTCAGCAATTTTTCGGCCAGCGTGGTGGGGATGGGGCGGGGTGGTGCGACGCTTGCGGGAAGGGTCGGCGTGCTGCGGCGAGGAGATTGCCACGCTGCGCTCGCAATGACAGTGGCGGTTCGGGAGCATTGGGGGGCTCCCGATGGGGTCGGACGATGGGAGTGGGGGTGCCGGTGAGGCGACGGTCTGCGGGGAGGGTCGTGCTGCGGCGGCGAGATTGCGACGCTGCGCTCGCAATGACAGTTGGGCAGGTTTCGCGATGACATTGGAGGCTCGCGATGGGGTCGGACGATGTGGAGTGGGGGTGGGGCCGGTGATGCGACGGTCTGCGGGAAGGGTCCGTGATGACGCGGCGAGATTGCTACGCTGCGGCCGCAATGACAGTTGGGAGGGTTTCGCGGGGGCAGTTGGGAGGGTCTGGGATGACAGTGGGTCGGCTGGCTGGCTGGGCTGGCGAGGGGGTGCGCTGGGGGTGGTTGGGCGGGGTGCCGAGGGGTGTGGAATCGGTGGTATGATTTCTCGGCCGGGGAGCCGGGGGAATATTGCTGATCGACCTGCACGCGCATACCTATCCGAAATCGGACGACAGCTTCGTGTCAGCCGACGAACTGGTGGACGCCGCGCGGCAATGCGGGATGGACGGGATTTGCCTGACGGAACACGACGATTTCTGGCCGTGGGCCGCGGCGCAGGAGTTGTCGCGGCGGCACGGGATCCTGGTGCTGCCGGGGGCTGAGATCAACACGGACGCGGGGCACGTGCTGGTTTTCGGGCTGGACGAATATAAATTCGGGATGCACAAACCGGGGTTTCTGCGGGAAGAAGCGGACCGGCATGGCGCCGTGCTCGTGGCGGCGCACCCGTACCGGCGGCGCTTCCTGGCGGATCCGGGGCAAGACCCGGCGGCGCGATCGGAGATGCTGAAACGGGCGCTGGATGACGAGATGCTGCGGTTGTTTGATGCCGTGGAATCGCGCAACGGCCGGGGCAAGGATTCAGAGAACCTCTTTTCCGACGATCTGCGCGAGGGGCTACGACTACCGGGCACCGGCGGGAGCGATACCCACTATCTGCGTCAAATGGGCACGGCGGCGACGCTGTTCGAGCGGCGGGTCACATCGTTGGACGACCTGGTCGTGGAACTCAAGGCGGGCCGGATGCGGGCGGTTGACCTGACGGCAGCCGCGCAGGAATCGAAGGGGCGCGCCGGGTAGCATGGATTCACTATTGGACACCAAATGGGACACCTACGCGGACAAGGAGCGTGTCGGCTAGCATGGGTTCACTGCTACAGATCGAGGACCTACGGGTGGAGTTCCGGGTGCCCAACGGGGTGGTGCACGCGGTGAACGGGGTGACGTTCGCGCAGGATGAAGAGGAAGTGTTTTGCATCGTAGGCGAAAGCGGGGCGGGAAAGAGCGCGTTGGGGCTGGCGGTGATGGGCCTGCTCCCGGACAACGGCGCGGTGACCGGGGGGAAGATAATATTTGATGGCGTGGACCTCCTGACCGCGCCCGATGAGTACGTGCGGGAACTCCGGGGCAAGGCGATGTCGCTGGTGTTCCAGGACGCACAATCCGCGCTCAACCCGGTGCAGACAATCGGGAGCCAACTGACGGAAGTGATCATCACGCACTCGCAGTTGAACCGCAGGGCGGCAGGATCAGTGTGCCAGGAGATGCTGCGGGAGTTGGGGGTGCCGGACCCAAGGCGGATGATGTCCGCCTACCCGTTCACACTGAGCGGCGGGCAGTGCCAGAGGGTGATGCTGGCGATGGCGATGGTCATGCGACCCCGGCTGCTGATTGCGGACGAGGTCACGTCGAGCGTGGACGTGACGCTGCAAGCGGAGATACTGGAACGGTTGAAGGAGCTGAGCCGGGACTCGAAGTCGGCGATCCTGCTGATCACGCACGACATGGGAGTGGTGGCCAACATGGCGCGGCGGGTGGGGGTGATGTACGCGGGGCACCTGGTGGAGACGGCGCAACTGCTGCCGATCTTCAAGCAGCCACGGCATCCGTACACCTGGTCGCTGTTGCAGAGCCTGCCGCGGCTGGATGCCGCGGGACGGAGGCTGCAGGCACTACGGGGCGCGCCACCGGACCTGATCGATCTTTCCAGCGAATGTCCCTTCCTGCCGCGGTGCCCGAAGGCGCTGTCGCGGTGCCGGGCGGAGAGCACGCCCGGTTTGTTCGAGTTGGAAAGTGAGCACTGGGCGGCGTGTTTCAACCCGATGACCTACCCGGATGGGGAGTGATCCAGCGATGACTGATCCAGACGGGGAGTGACGCTCCGGGATCATGGGTTACGGGTTGGTGGCTAAATCGGCTACCAACAACTGAAGGGAGAGGGTGGGGTCGAGGCGGCCCTGCTTGATGGCGAGGTCGCTTTCGAGCACCCGGCGGTACTTGCTGCGGATCTGGGGCAGGGTGAGCCGGCGCGCCTGGCCTAAGGTCTTGCGGACCACGAAGTCGGAATTGGAACCCATGCGCCGGCCGAGGTCGGGCTGCGAAACGCCGCGGTCCGTGAGGTCACGGGCGAGGGCGATGAGACGGAGCTGCCGCTCGATCATGGCGATGACGTAGAGCGGTTCCTGGCCATCCTGGATAAGCTGCATCAGTGAGCTCAGGGCGGGACCCGGGCGGCCGTCCATCACGGCGTCGACGGCGGCGAAGATGTTGGCTTCCTGGGCGTAGGGCACCATCGCGCGGACATCGGAGTCGGTGATGCTGCGACCAGTGGCGTAGAGGGACAGCTTTTCGAGCTCACGGTCGATGGTCCACAGATCGCCGCCCACCAGTTCGGCGAGGACCTGCATGGCCGGGGGCGTGATGGCGGAGCCCTTTTCCTCGGCGCGGCGCTTGATCCACTGGAGCAGCGCTTGGGCGTTGGGCGTGGTTTCGCGGTGGACGGCGCAGTGCTCGGCCAGCGAACGGAGCAGCGAGTTGCTCTGCTGGACGTCGCCGTCGAGAAAGATGAGGAGGGTTGTATCGGGAAGCGTCGGGACGGCATCCACGAGCTGGGTCCAGGATCCGCTGGCGGAGGCGGAGGCGGAGCGGCGACCGGTGCGGCGGGTGCCGGATCCCTGCGGGGTGGTGAGGACGCCTTCGATCTCGACCAAGCGCATGGAATCGAGGAAAGGGAGCGAGTTGCACATCGCCAGGACTTCGTCGGGACGCGCACGGGCGGCGGTGACGACATGGCAGTTGGAGTCCATGAGGTCGGCGGCGCCGGCCTCGGATTTGACGGCGCGCAGGCGTTGGGCTACGAGGAACGAGTCGCCGTAGATGACGTGGGCTGGCATGGGGATTTTGCCAGCGCCGGGCTCGGGCCGGTCAGTTCTCGACCAACTCGGTCAGCACGCCGAAGACCGAGCGGGGATGGACGAAGCCGATGGCTCCCGACAGGCCGTGACGGGGCTCGGAGTCGATGAGGGACAGGCCGTTGGCGGACAGGATCTTGAGCTTGCCGGCGATGTCGTCGACGTTGAGGGCGAGGTGGTGCAGGCCCTCGCCGCGGCGTTCGATGAAACGGCCGACGGCGCTCTCGGGGGTCAGGGGCTCGAGGAGTTCGAGGCGGGTCTGGCCGATTTCGATGAGGCAGGCGCGAACGGCCTGATCGTCGAGCTGGACGACCTCGGCGTCCGGGGCGCCGAAGTTGGCGGCGAAGAAATCGAGGGCGGCCCGGATGTCGTTGACGGCGACGCCGACGTGGTCGATGTAGTTGACGGCGCAGATCTCGGGCATCGTCGTGTGCTCCCGTGAGGATTATCAGTGGATGGTCAGTGTTTTGGCAGCGACGTGACTACACTGCCTTCGCAATTATGGCGCTGGGGTGACGACGAGATTGCCACGCTGCGCTCGCAATGACAATGGGAAGGTATGGAGGATCAGACGGGGTATTGGGCGAGGACCTGGCGGGCGATGATCATGCGCTGGACCTCGGAGGTTCCTTCGTAGATGGTGGTGACGCGGGCGTCGCGGAAGATGCGCTCGATGCGGGATTCCTTGAAGATGCCGATGCCGCCGTGGATCTGCATGGCCTCGTAGGCGGCGTGGTTGCAGTTTTCGGAGGCGATGAGCTTGGCCATGGAGGCTTCGTTGATGAAGGGCAGGCCGGCATCGCGCAAGGTGGCGGCGTGCATGGTGGCGACGCGTGCGGAGTGCACGCCGGTGGCAATGTCGGCGAGCTTGAACTGGATGGCCTGGTGGCGGGCCAGCGGGCGACCGAAGGTCTCGCGGAGCTGGGAGTAGCGGACGGCCTCTTCCAGCGCGGCCTGACCGATGCCGACGCACTGGGCGGCGATGGAGATGCGGCTGGAGTCCAGGATGTCCATGGCGTAGCGGAAGCCCATGCCGGGCTCGCCGATGATGTTGTCCGCGGGGATCTCGGCGTCTTCGAAGACGATCTCGCAGGTGCTGGAGGCGCGGATGCCCATCTTGTTGTGCTGGGGGTTGATCTGCATACCCGGGGTTCCGGCGGGCACGATGAAGGCGCAGACGCCGCGATACCCGATGGAGCGGTCCTGGTTGGCGAAGACCACCAGGGTTTCCGCAACCTCGGCGTTGGTGATGAACTGCTTGGAGCCGTTGAGCACCCAGGAACCGTTGTGCCGGCTGGCGGTAGTGGCCATTGCGGCGGCGTCGGAGCCGCTGCCGGGCTCGGTGAGGGCCCAGGCGGCGATGCCCTGGCCGGAGGCGAGGGAGGGGAGATAGCGCTGCTTCTGCTCCTCGTTGCCGAAACGGGCGATGGTTTCGAGGCCGAGGCCGAGGTGGGCGGCGAGGGTGACACTGGCGGCGACGTCGGCGCGAGCGAGTTCCTCAATGGCGATGGAGGACTTGCGGAAACCGCCGCCGCTACCGCCGTAGGCCGGATCGACACCGATGCCGGGCAGGCCGAGTTGGGCCATGCCGCGCCAGTTTTCGTGGGAGAATTCCCCTTTTTCGTCCAGCTCGGCAGACCGAGGCATGATTTCCCGCTCGGCGAAATCGCGGACGAGGTTCTGGAGCATCTTTTCTTCTTCGTTCAGGGTAACGTCAATCACGGGAATCCTCCGGGAACGGTCAGCCGGGCGGCCTAATAACAGGGACGCGCGGCAAATTTTATCACAAGCCCCCGACGGGCTCGTATTCACCGAACACTTGGCGGAGCACGTCGCAGATTTCGCCGAGGGTGGCGTATCGCTCGACGCACTCCATCATCAGCGGGATGGTGTTGGCGCCGGTGGAACGGGCGGCGTCGGCGAGGCGGGCAAGGCTGATCTGGACGGCCATGTTGTCCCGTTCGCGGCGCAGGGTCCGCAGGCGTTCAACCTGTTCGGCGGCGGCGGTGGCGTCGACGCGTAGGAGGCCGGATATCGGGGGAGCTTCGGTGACGTACTGGTTCACGCCGACGACGACGCGGTCGTTGGAGTCGACCTCGCGCTGGTGACGGAAGGCGGCGTCGCCGATTTCCCGGACCTGGAAGCCGTCCTCAATGGCGGCGACGGCGCCGCCCATCTGATCGATGCGCTGGATGTAGTCGAGGGTGGAGGCCTCGAGGCGGTCGGTGAGGTTTTCGATGTACCAGGAGCCGCCGAGAGGGTCCACCACGTCGGCGGCGCCGCTCTCGTGGGCGAGGATCTGCTGGGTGCGGAGGGAGAGCTGCGCGGACTCCTCGGTGGGCAGGCTCAGGGCTTCGTCGCGGGAGTTGACGTGGAGGGACTGGGTGCCTCCGAGGACGGCGGCGAGAGCCTGGACGGTGCTGCGGATGACGTTGTTGTCCGGCTGCTGGGCGGTGAGGGTCACGCCAGCGGTCTGGGTGTGGAAGCGCAGCATCATGGAGCGGGGGTCTTTGGCGCCGAAGCGGTCGCGCATGATGTTGGCCCAGAGACGGCGGGCGGCGCGGAACTTGGCGACCTCTTCGAAGAGATTGTTCTGGGCGACGAAGAAGAACGACAGACGGGGGGCGAAGTCGTCGACCGGGAGGCCGGCGTCGACCGCGGCCTGCACGTAGGCGATGGCGTTGGCGAAGGTAAAGGCCAACTCCTGGGACGCGGTGGCGCCGGCCTCGCGCATGTGGTATCCGCTGATGCTGATGGTGTTCCACCGGGGCACGTTCTCGGCGCAGTAGCGGAACACGTCGACGACGAGGCGCATTGACGGGCGGGGAGGGTAGGCATAGGTGCCGCGGGCGATGTACTCCTTGAGGATGTCATTCTGGAGGGTTCCGCTCAGCTGATCGGGGGTGACGCCCTGCTTCTTGCCGGCCGCGATGTAGAGGCAGAGCAGGACGGCGGCGGTGGCGTTGATGGTCATGGAGGTGCTGACCTTATCGAGGGGTATGCCGTCGAACAGGGTCTCCATATCGGCGAGGGAACAGATGGGCACGCCGACCTTGCCGACCTCGCCTTCGGCCAAAGGGTGGTCGCTGTCGTAGCCGATCTGGGTGGGCAGGTCGAAAGCGACGGAGAGGCCGGTTTGGCCGTTTTCAAGGAGGTAGCGGTAGCGCTCGTTGGTTGCCGCGGCGGTGGCGTAGCCGGCGTACTGGCGCATGGTCCAAACGCGGCCACGGTACATATTGGGCTGGACGCCACGGGTGTAGGGGAATTCGCCGGGGTAGCCGATGGCGTCGGCGTGGCCTACGCCGGCGGAGACTTCGTCCTCCGGGGTGTAAACGGTATCGAGGGGAAGACCCGAATCGGTGACGAAAGCGTCGCGGCGTTCCGGGAAGCGTCCGGTGACGCGGGAGAGGGTGGAGTCCTGCCATTCCTGTTTGTTAGTGGACATTTTGCCCTGCCGGCCGGCGGCCGCGCGGGGCGGCGTGCGGCGTGGATTCGCGGGCCATTTTATCATCGGGGGCGCGAACGCGAGCCACCAAAGGAAGTACCGGTCGTGTACTGGGCCGGAACCGGGGCCTATGTACCCCGCTAGACACCGCGCTCGGAAGCTATGGGAATAATCACAGAGGTAAATCTCCAATCCCCAAATCGGCTAGTCGTCTGAACTATCATTCAACGCGCGGTTCAGTCGGTTCAGTCTTTCCTCGTTTCGGGCCGGTATAACAAAAACGTGGTCATAGAGAGCCTCGATAACTTCCAGACACCATTCAGCTTCCCACGGTTCCACGTCCACGATCATGCCCCCGTCCGAGAGCGTTGGGTGCGCGGCCCGGTTCCCGACCGTTCGCGGCACGTCCAATAAGTCAGTTAAGTCAGTGATTGACGACGGCAGGCCACCTTTTTCTACCGCCCACCGGATTTCTTTATAGAGCGTACTGTTCGGTGCGCCCAGTTTTTCTCTGAGGATGAGTTGCAGACATCGGCGACTTAAGGCAGCACTGGCATTTGAGCTGTCTGCGAGGATAAGGCAAGCCTCCTGGTAATCGCGTTTGAATTCGTCCGGTACCTCTGGAGGAACAGGTGGTCTCCCGGTATGCCGGGGCCACAGGGATATTCTTTGCTCGGTGACTTCGTCAGGCCACCTAGCAAAACGTTGATCAACGATCGTATTGGCCGAGGACACCAGAGTTAAGATCAAATCGTGACAAGAAGGGCAAACGATGGTTTCCATCCACCTATGCTGATGGCCGTTGTGTCTGATGTAGTCGATCCTGGCGGCACCGATGGGAACGGCATCAAGTGTACTGCTATCTCCATACCGTAATTGTCGTTCCGTGTGGATGGACTTGAGGCAGTGCGGGCATTGCATCGTTTGTCGTTGACCTCCCCTTCTGGCGGAATGAATGCGTCATCCCGGACGCACGGGGTTTATAACTACTAGCCCGGCAGGCAGGTATTCTATCGCTCGGAAATTTCGGCAGCGTTGTCCTTCCCGGGACGCACTACCATGTGCCGATACGCTCAGTTCACTGCAAACTCCGGGTGTTGGTGGCCTTCAACACCGCAGCGACCCCCCGGATAGCCCCGACGCAAGGGCAATTCAGTGGCAGTTTTCATCAATGGCTGGCGCGTGTGCAAATCTGAGCACATTGACCGCACGTGGGTGAGGCGGGCGGGGCTATTGGCAGCAATAGAGTGGACTTTCGTATAAAGGAAGGCGGGGACGCTGTAACGTCCCCGCCGAAAGTGGCTCCGTAGTTCAGCGGTAGAACGACCCTGCACCGAGGGGGTAGGTCGGGAGTTCGAATCTCCCCGGGCCACCATACGACCAGTAACAACCATGGTTGGGCAGCCTGTCAATGACGGAAATGGGTGGGGTGTGCCCTATTTGGTAATTGACAGAAAATCCGTCCGGCCGCTGCAATGGAAGTAGGAGACAGCAGATGACAGGAGCGATCATCATGGACAGGGCGAGCATCGCCCCGAGCAGGGAGATCATCTTCAGGGACGTTGCGGGCATCGCGGCCCCGGCCCGTAACAAGACCATGAAAGAGCAGCAAGACATCATCGGGCTGGAAAAGTTCTACAAGGAAATCTCCGACGCGGATGCTGCGATTGCCTTCGTCGAAGAGCGGCCCTGGGGCCGAGGGTGTCTCCGCGCTGGTGCACGTTCCTGAACCGGACGATGCGGCGGCGGGAGCCACTGATCTGGGCGACATCACCCAAACGTATTCGGCGCAGTTTTCCGCGCAACAGCCTTGACCGATCCGCCGATCCGCCGATCCGCCGATCCGCGGGATTACTACCGGTTCGAAATCACCGAAACCCGCTCGGTGGGTATCGGATTGAGGCAGCTCGATCGAAACGCACATGTTTACCTGGAGGACCAAAACCAAAACGTCCTTGCCTCCAGCGAGAATGCGGGGCTAGCGAACGAATGGATTGCGCATGACCTCCAACCCGGCACGTATTTCGTGAGGGTAGAGGCCATGCAGGGAGGAGACAACGACTACGTATTCCGGTACGGCGTGGGCCGCCCGTGACCGGATCGGGACGCCTGCGCCGCGGGCGTCCCGCGAGATTTCCAACCGGCACCGGCGGCAATCGCCAGCCGGCGCCAGTTGGCTGCGGAGGCCGGGGTATCGCTCTCACCGGTACCAGGGTTGTCGTCGCGATGGGTTTGACGGGACTGGTGATCCTATGGCCATGGCGACGACGTGACCGGAGACGGGATTGCCGCGCTTCGTTTGCTATGACAGGTTGGGCGCTGTGGGGATTGGCGGGCTGGGTTCGCAATCACTTTGGGACGGCCTTGGCACCGGTGGCAATCACCTGACGATCAAGGTGATATCATCGGGCTGTGGTAAAGTTCGGTCCCATCAACGCGTATAGCACCAGACGCATTTTATTTGAAACGCGGTACAGCATCGACAGCGCAACAGCGTTCCTTTCTACGGGATTGGAGAACTATCATGCCCGCGATCACATTGCCCGAACACCTAAAAAGGGGCGTTGACAATGCCTTTAGCAACCAATTGTACCGCCGAATAGGGAGAGGTCAGGTTGATGCGGTATTGACATGCGAGAACGACGATAACGACACGCGCAGCTATGTCCTGGAGTTTAAAACCTTCGACCAACCCAAACGCCTTAAATTTTGGAAGAAGGGACTGAAGACCAATACCAATGCTATTGCTTTGGCATTTTCAGGGCACGTCGTCGGCGCAGGAATCGGGCGACCAATAGAGTTAAGGCTGGCGTCCCGCGACCAAGCAGAGGCAGCCGCGGTGCTGCTCGGGATGTCCAACTATTCGTTGAAACTGTATTCGACGCCCCTAGAGGAAAAAACCCAGCAAAGAGTGCGGGTTGAATTAACGCCACACGGTAAGCGTCCCGTCTACATGGCGTTGGAGGCGCAGGCAAGTGTCGGAGAGCCGGTGCAGATGCAGCAGGGAGCTCTGTTTCGCGAACCCAAGTTGAGGCCGACTGGGGAAACCTATGAGTCGGCAACTACAGAACCAGACAGACAGAACGCCGGGTGAATTAGCCCGGCGCAGAGGCGGGATTCAAGTGTCGCGAACGCGGCGCCTACCCAAGGTTAGCGGGACGAAGACGTAACGGAGGACCAGCAAAAGCCAGAAGCGATGAGGAGCACCCGATGATAACTGGCGTGTCGTCGCCGCCCAAGAGCCAGGAAGCGATCAAGACTGCGGATCGAGAGTACCGGCGCACCCAATTGCATGTGATTGAGCAATGCACGCCCGGCGAAACGTTCTCGCCGGAACCGGATGGCGAACGCATGGTGACAGTATTCAAAGCGATGGCGGCAGAGGGTTTGCTAATCGACATTGGAGATGGACGGTATGTTCTAACCGCCAGGGGGCAGGAACAGCGCAGGCGACTTCGACGATGGCGGTGGTTGCAGGGCGTGATGGATAACAGTTTTTGGCTAGTGCCAACATTCGTAGCCCTTTGTTCCGTGATTGTCGCGGCATTGGCACTGGCTTTGAACTCCACCGGGTCGGGGTCATAGCCATTGCGCCGACCGATGGCGGCCCATGCTTTGCCAACAATCAAACGGATAGAGGGCGCCCTGGTTGGGCGCCCTCTGGTGTTGCCTGGTGGCAGGGGGTGACTAGTCGCTGGTGAAGGCGTAGTCGGTGGGGCGCATGATGGAGTGGCGAGAGACGCGGACGATGGGGCCGTCGACCTCGCTGGCGGCGCGGGCCTTGCTCCACTCGGGATCGGCCTGGAAGGAGCGCCAACTCTTTTCGCGGTCGCCGAGGCTGGGGTAGCCCAGCATGTAGACCAGGACGTTGTTCACGCCGACGTCCTCAGACCAATAGCCGATGTTCTCGATGCCGTGCTTCTCGAACAGGCCGATGGTGTGGTTGGCGAAGCGGTTATGCACGTCGGGCAGGCGGCCGGGCATGGCCTCGTAGATGCGGAGTTCCTGGACCGCGGTGGAAACCTTCGGCTCGGGCGAGTAGGGGGTCAGGCGCAGGAACCGGTTGGTTACGGCGTCAACCAACGGGCCGTTGGCCTCGGTCTGCTTGCGGACTTCCAGCCAATCCGGGTCGCCGCCGAACTTGGCCCAGCGGGACTCGCGGTCGGCCATGCTGTCGAAGACGTTGATATAGGTGAGCCGATTGCTCTGGCCGATTTCGTCGGTCCAGAAGCCGAGGTATTTCACACCGTGCTTGCGGAACAGGGTGCAGGTATGATTGGCGAACCGACCGCTGATGTCGGGCAAGCGACCGGCCACGGCGTCGTAAATTCGGAGTTCGTAGAGCATCGCTTCTCTCCTTGCCAAGTGTTTTACCGGGTGTCGGATTCCAAGTGTCAGAAATGACCAGTTTGCTATGGGCGGTCGTCGTCATCTGGCGACCTGCCGCCGCTCCCGGTAGTATAGCACCGGGCCGGCCGAATGCGGGTCAATCCGCAACGTCGCGGAAACCGTAGAATAGGCAGGAACAACCGCGTTGAACATCACCGCGAAGGTTCCTACACCGACGAGATTGCCACGCTTCGCTCGCAATGACAACGGGCGATTGGGTTCGCAACGACATCGGGTGACAGGGTTCGCAATGACATCGGGTGACAGGGTTCGCAATGACATCGGGTGACAGGGTTCGCAATGACATTGGGTGATTGCGTTCGTAATGTTATCGGGTGATAGGATTCGCGATGACTGCTTGAACGCAAGTGGGAACGCGGTAGGGCCACGACGACAGGCGACGCAAGACAATGCAAACCGGCGTGCGGCCGGGATAACAGGCCAACGACCGATCAGTTAGCAGAGGTGTGGAGCAAAGTGAGCAGCGGGACGAGAATTTTCACCAGACGACGAGTTCGGCCGTGGGCGGCCGGCGTATTGGCGCTGACGCTGGCGGTTACGCTGGCCTGTGGCCAACCCAGCCCAACGAGAACCGAGACCGTTGAGTTGACGCCTCCGGCGGTGAACACGGTTGCCCAGCCGGGGGACGTGGCCACCGTCGCGCCTCCGCAGGCGGTTGAATCTGCCGCGCAACCCGCGGTCGAGCAGCCGGCGCAAAGCGGGACGCCAGAAACCAAAAATCAATTGGCGGCGTTGGAAGTGACGGCCGCCCACGACGAAGTGATGTCGCATATCTACGAGCGGACCGTCCCGTCGGTGGTCGGCTTGCGGGTGATCAAATCAATCTCGATAGGCGGGAGCACTCCGGGGATGCCGGCGGGCGACTTCCTCTCGCGGGCCGCGGGATCTGGGTTTGTCTGGGACAACGAAGGGCACATTGTCACCAACAAACACGTTATAGACGGGGCCGACAGGATAATCGTGGTGCTGAGCGACGGCACTCAGACCGACGCGGAGCTGATCGGGGATGACGCTGATTCGGACCTGGCGGTGGTCAGGATCACGGACGAAACGATGCGGCCGCCGGCCATAGCGTTGGGGGACAGCGACACGATCAAGCCGGGGCAACTGGCGGTGGCGATTGGTGACCCGTTCTCGCGAGGGTTCTCGATGACTTCGGGGATCATCAGCGCAGTCGGGAGGACGATCAATCCGTCGGAGAGCAACTTTTCGGTGCCACGGGTGGTGCAGCACGACGCGGCCACGAACCCAGGGAATTCGGGCGGGCCGCTGCTGAACCGCGAGGGTAAAGTGGTGGGGATCAATACCCAGATCATCAGCGAAACCGGGGGCTTTTCGGGCGTGGGACTGGCGATTCCGGTGAACCTGGCGAAACTGGTGGCGCCGTCGCTGATAGCAGACGGGAGTTACGAGTATCCGTTTATCGGCATACGAGGGGTGTCGGTGACGCGGGACATCGCCACGGCGATGGAGCTGCCGGCCGACACCCGAGGGGCGCTGGTGCTGGCGGTGGGCACGGGCACGGCGGCGGAACAGGCGGGGTTGAGGGCATCGGATCGGCTGACCGTGATCAACGGAGCGGAGCTGCCGGTGGGAGGGGACATCATCATGGCGATGAACGGCACGCCTCTGCTGGGCATGGACGACGTGGTGGCGTACACCGTGGAGCACACGCAGCCGGGGGATACGGTTGAGTTCACCATCATGCGTGACGGGGAGAAGATGCAGATGGAGGTCACGATGGGAGCGCGGCCGGAGTAGGGGAAACGGTTGCCGAAAATTGAAACCGACGGCGGCCGGTGCGCTGCCGTCGGTCATTTATTTCAGGTGGCGCGCCTGGCAGGACTCGAACCCGCAACCCCTGGGTCCGAAGCCCAGTGCTCTGTCCATTGAGCTACAGGCGCAATTCCGGATGAATTGAGAACGAGGTTAGTGGGGCGAGCAACGGGATTCGAACCCGTGATCTCCTGTGCCACAGACAGGCGCCTTAGGCCTCTTGGCTATGCTCGCCTCGGAACGCCCGGTTGGACAAACCGCGGCACGATTTGAGGTTAGCATACATCATCAAATCGGACAATACACCGTGCCGCGCACAATTGAACGGGGCCGGGGGATTGGATAAAATCGTCGTGTGAAAAGCCGGTAATATCTCGGCAAAGGGAATTGAGGCAAACTGATTCCGGTCAGTATCTCGTATTCGCCATTGATCCTGAGAACTGACACGGAGGAATGATGATGCGCAAGATGTTCAAGATACTTTTGATGGGAGCCATGCTGGCCGCACTGCTTGGGTTGTTGGCGTGCGGTCAAAGCGACGCACCTGCCGTGGCCGCGCCGGAGGCGTCAACCGCGCCCACGGCAGTTTCGGTTGAACCCACGCAAGCTCCGGCCGTACCCACAGAAGCTCCGGCTGCACCTTCGGGGGGTCCGGCGACGACGACGGAAACGATGACCGCGTCCCAGGGGACTGCCATGGGCGAGAGTTGCGCCCCGTCGGCGGACCTGACATTTGACGACCGGCCTCCGCAGGGCGGGACGCTGGTGATGCGGGCTTCGGATCCGCCGACGCTGGATCCGCACCTGATGGGGGACGTGACGTCGAGCAGGATCGGCGGGGAGATTTATGGCGGCCTGGTGACGCTGAGCCTGGATTACCAGCCGGTGCTGGACCTGGCGGAAACCTGCTCCATCAGCGAGGATGGACTGGTTTACACCTTCGTATTGCGGGAGAACGCCAAGTTCCACGACGGCAAGCCGGTAACGGCGCACGACTTCAAGTGGTCGATTGAGCGGGCGGCCGACCCCGACACGCTTTCGCACACGGCGGAGACCTACCTGGGCGACATTATCGGAGTGGTCGACAAGCTGGAAGGGCGGGCCAACGAAATCAGCGGCGTGCGCGCGGTGGACGACCGCACAATCGAGTTCACCATCGACGCTCCCAAGTCATATTTCCTGGCCAAGCTGTCATACCCGACGGCGTACGTAATTGACCAGGAGCAGGTGACCAACGATGGATCGTGGTTGGACGAGCCCAACGGGACGGGTCCGTTCAAGCTGGGCACTTACGAAATCGGTGAGACGATCATCCTCGAACGCAACGACCTGTACCACCTGGGACCGCCGCACATCGAGGAGGTGCGCATGATCCTGAGTGGCGGATCGGCGATGATAATGTACGAAAACGACGAGATACACCTGACGGGAGTGGGAATAGACGATTTGCCACGGCTGCTGGATCCCAGCGATGCGCTGCATCCACAGTTGCACCGGTCGCCGCAGGACTTCGACGTGTTCTACGTCGGTCTGAACGTAGACCAGCCGCCGTTTGATGACGTCAAGGTCCGCCAGGCGATGAACTACGCGATAGACCTGGCGAGCATCGCCGAAAACGTGCTGGACGGCCGGGTCGCGCCGGCGACGGGGGTGATACCGCCGGGGTTCCCGTCCCATACGGAAAACCTGCGAACCTACCATTACAACCCGGACCTGGCGCGGGAGTTGTTGCAAGAATCGAAATACGCCGATGAGGCGGCGTCAGGCGACTTCCCACGCATCACGCTGACGATATCGGGCAGCTTCGGAGCGGCGATACCCACGTACCTGGAAGTGATCCTGGAACAGTGGCGGCAGGAACTGGGGATAGAGATCGATATTCAACAGACGGAATGGGCGACGTTCCTGCAGGACGTGAGCGAGCGCAAGTACCAGATGTTCTCCCTAGGGATGGGTCGCGGACTACCCCGACCCGGAGAATTTCCTGGACGTGCTGTTGCACTCGGAGAGCCAGAGCAACCACACCAACTACAGCAACCCGGAGGTTGACCGGCTGTTGGAAGAGGCGCGAACGGAACGGGACCGGACCCGACGTTTCGAGATGTACAACCAGATCGAGCAGATGATCCTGGACGACGCGCCGTGGGTTTGGACCTGGTTCAGCGGGGAAGGGTACGCGCTGATAAAGCCGGAAGTTTCGGACTACTTCCTCCTGCAGATGAGCATCCCGAAGTATCGGTACGTGTACTTCAACCAGTAGGACCACCGCAGATCGCGAAGTGGGGGCGGATGATTGTTCGCCCCTACGGTTATCACCAAAGGGAACGGACGGTTACAGATGGCAACATACGTGGCTCGGCGGCTGGTTTGGCTGCCATTCCTGTTGCTCATCGTGACGTTCGTGACGTTCGCGCTGCTGCGGTTCGGGCCCGGGGATCCGGTGCAGGTCTGGTTGGGCCAGCACCAGAACGACGAAGTGCGGGCGCGGTTGCGGGCGCAGTTGGGACTGGACGATCCGCTAGTGGTGCAGTACGTCCGGTATATCGAAGGGGTGGTGACGCGACTGGACTTCGGCGAGAGTTTCCAATTCCGGGGGAAATCGGTTGCGGAGTTGCTGGCCAAGCGCATCCCCGTGTCGCTGCAACTCAACCTGGCGGCGATAATCATCACCCTCGGGGTTGGCATACCGGTGGGGCTGTACGCGGCGTTGCGGCAGGGCACGGGAGTAGACAACGTGGTGGTGGCGATTGCGCTGATGTTTCAGTCGCTGCCGGTATTCATCACGGCGCCGGTGTTGCTGCTGGTGTTTGCGCTGCACCTGGACCTGCTGCCCACGCAAGGTTGGGATGGATTCTTTTCGCCGAAGATCGTGATGCCCGCGGTGGTCATGGGAGTGCCGGGCATTGCCATTGTGGTGCGCCTGGTGCGGGCGAGCGTCCTGGACGTGCTGGGGCAGGACTACATTCGCACGGCGAGGGCAAAAGGGTTGTCGGAAAGGATAGTGCGCTGGCGGCACATCCTGCGGAACGCGATGATACCGGTGGTGACCAGCTTCGGTTTCACGATAGCCGGGCTGGCCGGAGGGACGTTCATCGTCGAAATATACTTCGGCATCCCGGGGGTTGGATTCTTCACCATTAATTCGCTGTTCGCGCGCGATTACCCGGTGCTCATGGCGTTCGCCATCGTATCGACGACGCTGTTTGTGCTGGCCAACCTGATTGTGGACCTGACGTATCCGCTGCTGGATCCGCGGATCAGGCTGGGAGCGGGCAATGTTACCTGACCGCTCGGGTCCGCGGGCCCACGACCACGGGCATGCACAGCACGGGGACGTCGACCTGCCGGGCGCGGACTGGCCGGTCGACGATCTGGCGCCAGGCGAGCGCGATGAATTGAGCGCCGGACCGGCGCGGGGCCACAGCTACTGGAGCCTCTCGACGCGCCGGCTGTTCCGGAAGAAGCTGGCGGTGATTTGCCTCACGCTGATCGTGTTCCTGTACGGCGGAGCGCTGCTGGCGCCGCTGATCACACCCTACGAGTACACCGCGCAGGATCTGTCGCAGAGCCGGGCCGGGCCCACGCTGGCGCATCCGTTCGGCGCAGACCGGTTGGGTCGCGACATGATGACCCGGGTGATCTACGGGCTGAGGACCACGGTGATCATCACGATTGCATCGCTGATGGGCGGAACCCTCGTCCTGGGCATAACGCTCGGATTGATCAGCGGATACATGGGCCGGTGGGTGGATTCGCTGATCATGCGGACGGGCGAGGTCACGTCGTCGTTTCCGGACATCATCCTGATCCTGATATTCGTGGCGGCGTTGCGGCCGCGACTGGTGGGAGCGGTGCAGGGGTTTGAGGACGCAACGGGGATCGACTGGATTCTGCGGTTGGGACTGCTGGACTACGCGATCATATCGCTGGCGCTTTCGATCTTTGGATGGTTCGGGATGGCCCGGCTGGTGCGAGGGCAGGTGTTGCAGGCGCGGGAGAGCCAATACACAGAGGCGGCGTTGGTGGCGGGAGCGTCGACGGCGCGGATCCTGCGGGCGCACGTGCTGCCGAATATCCTGAGCCCGCTGATCGTGTCGATCTCCGCGGGACTGGCGGGGGTGGCGGGGTCCGAACTGGTTCTGAGCTGGATCGGGATTGGGGTGCAGCCGCCGGTGCCGAGCCTGGGACGGATGATGTTCGAGAACGGCAGCATACAGGTGCTGCGGAACGAGCCGCATCTGCTGCTGTTCCCGATTGGGACGGTGACGCTGCTGTTCTTCTGCTTCAACATCCTGGGGGACGCGGTGAACGACGCGTTCAACCCGAGGACGCGTTGAGCCCGCTTTCGAGGGTAATTACATACCGGTGCACAGAGCAGATTCCGAAACTCCTGAAAAACCGAACGCTGCCACGTGATTTGGCCTGCGATCAGGCTTTCTGCTCCGACGCCCAGCGATGGCATGAAACCGGTACTCTGGCCGCAGGCGACAGCAGGGATCAGGATATGTAAAATGACATTAGCGACGCCAACGGGGATGATATGACGACCACAACCTACCGTGACGCCAGCCGGCGCCGGCTGGCGCAGGCCAAAGAGGAACTAGCAGCGGGAGACACTCGACAGGCGTCCGAAAAAGGCTGGGGTGCGGCGGCGCAGATGGTGAAGGCTATCGCCGCTGGCCGTGCATGGGAGCATGGCGGTCACCGTCAATTATTCAGTGCGACAAGACGATTGTCGATGGAATTGAAAACTGAACAGGTCGAAGTTTGGTTTGCAATGGCGAGCCACCTGCACACCAATTTTTACGAGGATTGGCTTGAAGCCGAAACTGTAGACCTACACCTGGACCATGTTGAGCGGCTGTTGGACTTGCTGGAGCCGCTGGTCTGAACCTGTCCTCTGCAAAAGAACCCGTCCCAAAGGGACATGGGCTTGCCTACGGATGGGCTAAATGCGTTTCGACAATTCTCAATCAAAACCCTCGACCAGGCTGGGCCGGGGGTTTTGTAATCACCGTACAGCGTTGTTGCTGGGCCGACCCCGGGGAAACCGAAGCTCCACCGTCTTTCGATTGTTATCGCAAGGAATGTCGCGACGTCCCAGTCACGGTGGGATGCAATGGCAGTCGGCGAGAGTCCTTGCTACGGCAACGGGATTGCCACGCTTCGCTCGCAATGACATTTGGGGCGGCCGGCGGTGACGTTTGGGGCGGTCTGTTGACCCGGTTTGGAACTGGGGTCAAATTGCCAATGGATAGCGGCTGTGTTAACGTTTATGATGTTGCGTGGCGCGGATAATCATTGGGGCAGTTGGAAGCAAGGACGGGGCATTGAGCACGATATCCGGTGAACCTGCGGCGGCTGTTCCGACGGGCGCTGTGGCGTGGCGGCCGTGGGGTCGCGAAGCGTTCGAGCTGGCCCAGAACAACGACCGGCCCATCCTGCTATCGATCAACGCGGTGTGGTGCTACTGGTGCCACGAGATGGATGGCGGTACGTACTCCGACCGGGACGTGGTCGAGTTCGTCAATGCTCATTTCATCCCGGTGCGCGTCGATACCGACCACCGGCCCGACATCAATGCCCGCTACAACGTGGGCGGCTGGCCGACGACCTCGTTTCTGACCCCGCACGGCGGGTTCCTCGCGGGGGCGACGTACCTGCCGGCGGACCAATTCCTGGCAATGCTGGACGAGGTGCGACGGGCATACAACGAACGCAAGCCGGAGCTGTACGAACAGGGCAACGACATCCTGCGGCAGCGGCGGGAACACGCGGGGCGTGTATCCGCCGGCCGGGAACCGGACGGGGCGCTGGTTGACAGCATTTCGCGTCGAGTGGCCGGGACTTACGACGCCATCAACGGCGGGTTCGGGCTGGAACCAAAGTTTCCGTCGGCGCCCATGTTGCGCCTGTTGTTGCACCGGTACCGGACCACGAGGGAGCAGTTCTTCCGCGTGATGCTGGAGAAAACCCTGGACGGGGTGGTTGGCGGCGAACTGCGCGACGGGATCGACGGCGGCTTTTTCCGGTTCACGATGGGCGGCGACTGGACGCAGGCGCAGTACGAGAAGATGGCCGAGGATAATGTCGCGCTGGCCGGCGTGCTGATGGACGCGGGCATCATCCTGGGGCGCGAAGACTATCTGCGGGTTGCGGGCGAGACCGTCGATTACATCTGCGGCACGCTGTACGATCCGACAGCGCGGGGGGTTCGCGGCAGCCAGGGAGCGCATTCCGAATACTACGCCGGGTCGCGCCATACGAGGGCAGAATCCGACGCCCCGACAGTCGATCCGTACTGCTATTCGTCGGTGACCGCGCAGGCGGCGTCCTTGCTGCTGGGAGCGACGTGGAAGCTGGGTCGGCCTGAACTGACGGCGACGGCCGTGACGCTATTGGACGGGCTGATCGACGCGGCCGAGGGCGGGAGGTTGGCGCACACCTACTCCGCATCGGGGGCGCTGCCGCAAGAGGAGGGTGACCTGCTGGTTGACTGGGCAAATGTCCTGGCGGCCATGATGGACGCTTACGACGCACTGCCCGGCGGTTCGGAGCGGTACCTGGAAGCGGCGGGGCGGGCGGCGCAGGCGCTGTTGGACAGGTTCCTGGACGGTGCGAACGGCGCGTTCTGGGACGTGGAAGCGGGGCAGGAGCGGCACGGCTACCTGCACGCGCGCGAAAAGCCGCTGGCGGATAATACGTGCGCGGCGATGGGGATGATGCGGCTGCACCACGCGACGATGGAAGAGCGGTACCAGCAGACGGCGCGGCATACGCTGAGCGCCTACGTGGACGCCAATCGCGACTACGGCGAACTTGCGGCGGACTATGCGGCGGCGGTGGATCGGTACCTGCACCCGGTGGTGGAAGTCACCGTGGAAGGCTGGCCGGGAGCGGTGAGCACGGACGCGATGCTGGCAGCGGCAATGAAATTGAGCGATCCGCACCTGGTCATCAAGCTGGCGCCGGCCAGCGCGGACGATGCGCCGGCGCAGGCACACGTTTGCCTGGACACGGTCTGCTACCCGCCGGTGACGGATCCGGCAGAACTGGTGGCGGCAGTGGCCGAAGGCGGCACGGTCATGGAAAGTCCATTCCAGAACGTGTTTGACCTGTTGGGCTGAAGAGCCGGCGGACAGATGGATATCGATTTTCTCGAATTGCGTGCTCACGGGGCCATGGGGGAGAGTGCGGTGATGGTGTTGCCACGACGAGATTGCCACGCTGCGCTCGCAATGACAGATTCAGTACGCTTGCAATGACAAACTCAATGCGCTCGCGATTACGGCTCGGCTACGAGATTGCCGCGCTGCTCTCGCAATGACAGGTTCAGTATGCTTGCGATTACTGCTCGGCTACGAGATTGCCGCGCTTCGCTCGCAATGACACATTAATCACCCTGAGTACGCCAAGTGATTTTCTGGAGTTGACGCCCTGAAGACCCAAGACTGCGGCGCGTTGCGCGCCGCCCACGATTCCACCGCCACGACGCTGTCCGGCTGGGTAAGCCGGCGCCGAGACCACGGCGGGATCATATTCATAGACCTGAGAGACCGCTCCGGATACGTGCAGATAGTGCTGAATCCGGAGCATTTGTCGGCGGAGCACTACGAGACCGCCGAACGGCTGCGTTCGGAATGGTGCGTTGAGGTCACGGGAACGGTCCGGCTGCGGCCGGAGGGTTCGGAGAATCCGGCGCTGCCAACGGGCGAGGTCGAGGTGATGGTGGAAGGGCTGACGGTGCTGAACCCGTCGCTCACGCCGCCCTTCTACATCACGGATGATGTCGATGCTGACGAGAGCCTGCGGCTGCGGTACCGCTACCTGGACCTGCGGCGACCGAAGATGCAGGACAACCTGCGACTGCGTCACCAGACGGTGAAGTACATCCGGGACTACCTGGACGGTCACGGCTTCCTGGAGATCGAAACGCCCATCCTGATCAAGAGCACGCCGGAGGGAGCGCGGGACTACCTGGTCCCCAGCAGGACGCATCCGGGCAATTTCTACGCGCTGCCGCAATCACCACAGCAGCTGAAACAGTTGTTGATGGTTAGCGGCGTGGAGCGATATTTCCAGATTGCCCGGTGCTTCCGGGACGAGGACCTGCGGGCCGACCGGCAGCCGGAGTTCACGCAGTTGGACCTGGAAATGAGTTTCGTGGAAGAAGAGGACGTGCTGGGGCTGATCGAGGGGTTGTACGCGGGACTGGTCCGAGAGCTGACGCCGCAGTTCAAGATCAAAACGCCGTTCCAACGCCTGCCCTATGCCGACGCCATGGCACGGTTCGGGAGCGACAAGCCGGACCTGCGCTACGGGCTGGAGATGGCCGACGTCAGCGATCTGGCCGCGGAGACGGAGTTCCGGGTCTTTCGTGGCATCCTGGACCGGGGCGGCATCATCAAGGCGATGGCGGTACCTGGCAAAGGCGGACTGACCGGCGCGGACATGCGGAGGATGGAAGACACGGCGAAGGAGTTTGGCGCGGCGGGCATGAGCCACGTGAGGCTGACCGGAGACGGCGCCCTGGATTCGCTGACCGATGACGACGCGTTGCTGTCCCCGGGCCTGCGAATGCCCGTCGAGTGGGTGCGCCGGCTGGCGGAAAGGGCCGAAGCGCAGCGCGGCGACCTGATCCTGCTGATGGCGGGGCCGGCTCGGCTGGCGAACCAATGGCTGGCGGCGATGCGCAGCCACCTGGCGGCGCAGATGGAGCTGGCGGATCCGGCGATGCTGTCCTTCGCGTTCGTGACGGATTTCCCGCTGTTCCAGTGGGACGACGCCACAGAGCGATGGGATTCGGCGCATCATCCGTTCACGGCGCCGGCGCCCGGGTGCGAGGCGATGCTGGACGGTGAGGATCTGGCGTCGATACCGTCGCGAGCTTACGACCTGGTATGCAACGGTTCGGAGCTGGCCAGCGGCAGCATTCGGATACACCAACGGGAGCTGCAGGAGAAGATTTTCAGCATCCTGGGTTACTCCGCCGAGCAGATCTCCGAGCGGTTCGGGCACATACTGGAAGCGTTCGACTACGGCGCGCCGCCGCACGGGGGGATTGCGCCGGGGATCGACCGGCTGGTGGCGATGCTGGCGGGGGCGGATTCGCTGCGCGAGGTGATCGCGTTCCCGAAGACGCAGAGCGGGTCGGACCTGCTGTTCGGCGCGCCCTCGGGAGTTGACGCCGGGCAGTTGCGCGACCTGGCAATACGAATCGTGGAATAGCCTCTGACCGCGGAATTGCGCCATATCGTGGAATAGCGTTTGACCGTGGAATTGTGTCCGGCGGGACCGGTGCCAAGCAGCGGCGCGGTTCCGGCGCAGCGACTTTACCGTCCGTACAGGAGGACAACCGATGAGCGAGTTCAACTACCAAGGGCTGTTCGCGGAGCGGGCCCCGATAACGACGCGGGGGGCGAACCGGCACGCCAAGTATGACTTCGCGGTTGCCTACCCCGACCCGGATACGCTGCCCCTGACGGGCCTGGTGGAGGCGCTGAGCACCGCGCTGGAGAGGGAGGGACGCGACCTGGCGTACTATCCGGTTTCAGCCGGCTATCCTCCGCTACGGGAACTGGTGGCGGACAAGTTGCGGCGGGACCGGCAGATGGATGTCACCGCCGACGACATCATACTGACGTCGGGGTCGGGCGAAGCGATCAATATGCTGATTCAGGCGATGACGGATCCGGGGGACGTGCTGCTGACCGAGGAGTACGTGTACCTGGGTACGATGCGGCAGATGCGGCTGTGGGGCGCGAACGTGGTGGGCGTCAAGTGCGACGACGACGGGATCATACCGGAAGCGCTGGACGAGACGATTCGGGCGCAGGAGGCAGCGGGCCGCCGGGTGAAATTCCTGTATACCATTCCCACGTTTCAAAATCCGCTGGGATGGACGGCGACCCTGGAACGGCGGCAGCGCATGCTCGAAGTCTGTCAGAGTCACGGTGTGCCGATCCTGGAGGATGACTGTTACGTGGACCTGCGGTTCGAGGGCGAGGACGTGACGTCCATCAGCAGCATGGACGACAGCGGGCAAGTGCTGTACACCGGGTCGATGTCCAAGATCATCGCGCCGGGGGTGCGGATGGGATACCTGGTGGCACCGGAAATGGTGCGGGAGCGGGCGCTGAGCTTCAAGTCTGGCGGCGTGAACCAGTTCGCGGCGCTGGCGATTGAGGAATACCTGCGGAACCACATGTATGACCACATCGACGAGGAGAACCAGGCGCTGCGGGCCAAGCGCGACGCGATGCTGGCGGCGCTGGGCGAGCACTTTGGCAACCGCGCCACGTGGTCGAAACCTGAGGGCGGGCTGTACCTGTGGCTGACGATGCCGGAGGGGACCGACCTGGCCGGGTTCCAGGACCAGTCGTTCAGCGAGGGCGTCGGATACTACAGCGGGTCGATGTTCTCGCCGGAGGGGAACGGCCGGCACATGGCGCGGTTGTGCTTCGGACATCCGACGGCGCAGACGGTGTCGGACGGGATTGCGGAACTGGCGGCGATCTTCGAACGGAACGGTATATTTCAAGGCAAATAAGGCTGCGGGCAAAGGAGCGGAATAAGCGAGTTCAGGGGGGAGTTGCGGACAATGGCGACAGTTTCTTGCTACAACGACAGCTTCGACCTGTTGGCGAAGGCGAAATCTGAATTATCGTGGGGCGACACACGCCAAGCGTCAGAGAAAGCTTGGGGAGCGACCGCTTTGATGCTCAAGCACATCGCGGAGCAGAAAGGGCAGCCTCACCAAAGCCATCGCAACATCTGGCAAGTCGCAACCGGGTTGACAGCGGAAACGTCCAATCGTGAAATCTACCGCCTTTTCAGGGTTGCCAATCACCTCCATTCCAACTTTTACGAGAACGCGGACACCGCGGCAGATGTAGCCGAATCGATAGGGGACGTAGAGAGATTGTTAGACATCCTGGGCGAATACGCGAGAACGATTGGCCCTCGATGAGGAGCACACGAGCCCGCGAGCATCAAGCAGTAAGGGGCGGGTCTACGACCCGCCCCTGAGTTTTCCAACGCCCTGGACTATTTCGAGAGCAACCTAGTCGTCGTCGCCGGTTGGCACGGGCCGGGCAGCGGGCTGATGACCGTTGGTGCGGATGGCGAAGCGGTCCACGAGGTCGCCGATGCTCTGGCGGAAGCCGGAGTATTCCAGCTCGCCGTAGGGGAGCATGGCGGCGCCGGACCAACCCTGGGAGCGCATGGCGATGCCTTTCTCCTGGGCCAGTTGGCGGGTGTAGTCCCAAGCCGGGTTATCGAAGAAGTCGGTGGAGGACTCGGAGAACCTACCTTCCGGGCTGATGCTGAAGCCCAGGCAGGAAACCAGCGGCAGGCAGTACATACCGGTCACGGCGGTGTTGATGGGTACCGGCATCAGGGGCATGACGTGGGAGCCCCGGGCGTCGCCGCCGATGTAGTGGGCCTTGGTGTAGGGCGAGATGAGCTCCTCGGGAGCGGGGAAAATACCCTGGTTGCGCACCACCGCGACGGGATCGTCTTTGCCGGTGTAGCTGCCGGCGATGTTGTGCAAGCGCGTTGCCGAGATGGCGGCGGCGGTCTGACCCGTGTAGCGAGAGGTGACGCTCTCGATGGCGAACCGCTCGTTGTCGCGGAGCAACACCGTGATGCGGTAGTAGTCCTCGGGGGCGTTCAGCGAAATGATGCTGTCGCCGTCGGTGTTGTCCATGTCGATGATGTTGAAGGTGAAGCCATCACCCAGCCGGGTAGCATCAGTCCGGCGCAGTACATCGGGTCGGCGAAACCGAGGAAGGTGGGTAGGTTGTAGGCGCCCGGGCCGCACTTGTCCGCGGCGAGAACGAAGAAGGACTCGGCAGGCCGGACGGGGTTGGTCTTGATTGGATCGTGGTCGAAGGTGATCTCGGCCACGGCGGGTCCGGCGCCGCGAATGTTGCCGGAGGGCGCGTCGACGAGGAGGTCCTGGCCGGCGCCGTAGAGGCCGTACTGGCGGGCGATTTCCGTGGCTTCGAGGAAGGAGGTCCAGGCAAACTGGTGGACCGCGTCGTCGTTGTCGCCGCGGGTGTGAGTGGTGATAATGCAGATATCGTCGCCGGTGTGGCCGACGTAGGCATCGATGAGCAGGCCGTCACGGACGGCGCGGTCAGCGGCCGCGCGCACGGCGTCCATCATGCGATCGGATGGCTTGGTGTGGCCGCCGATAGAGCCGACGTCCGCTTTGAGCACAGAAATGGTCAAATCCATGTGAGTTTTCCCTCCCACGCGCGGGCGACCGGGAACGGCAGCCGTCGCCAAACGATGCTTTATAAGTATGAAAATATGCGTCTGCACGATAGCATCGCGCAGGCGAAACTGTCAATTTGAGACGCGACCACACGCGTGCGCGCGCTGACGGATTGGCAGTGCGGCCCGCGATCACTACGAGCGCCAGGTTGCAAGGGCGTTAGGGTGCGGTTGGTCAGTACCGGCGACGGGATTTCCGCGCTGCGCGGGCAATGACAATTTGGGCCCGCAGTGACAATTTGGGCTTGCGATGACACGGTGGGCTTGCGATTGCGAGGTGATGAAACGATGTTCCGTGATCGACCGGATTAGGGCCAGGCGGCACAATGCTGCCCGTACCGAGGGGCTGGATAAGGGTGACGCCGGGTCACCTGGACGGGCATAGTTGTCGATGACGGGCATCGGTGTGAGTGCGGTGCAGGCTTATGTTTGCCGCTAGTGCGACAATCCCGTTATAATGTGCACAAGTCAAGCGATTAAACGGGTGCAAATGAGCATAATCCTTCAAGTCCTGTCGTTGCTGTTCGTGGTGCTATGGACGGCCAAGCTCGCGCGGAACAAAGGGCGCAACGCCCTGGTGTGGGGCGGGGTCGCGGCGATTCCGGCCGTGGGCCTGCTCGACATGTTCCCCGAGTGGATCACCGTGCTGTGCATGCTGCCAATGCTGGCGCTGGTGTTCGTGCCAGCGCGCCGGCCGATGGCGACGGACGGAGCGCAGGAAAGCATGACCCCGTGCCCGCGGTGTCAGCACGCCCACGAGGATGGCCCTGCCTACTGCACCAACTGCGGCTGGGAGTTGACCCGGCCGTACGCGACGACGGATGCGGCCGCGGCGGCGACCGAAGGGAACGAGGCCGCCGGCGCCCAGACAATCGGACAGGGGGCGGCCGAGGGCGTTGACCAGAGCGCGCAAGAGCCGGGCGCAACGGCGGGCCAGCCGACAGCGGAACCAGTGATGGCGTCGCAGCAGGTCGAGGAACCGGGGTCGGCGGTCGGGGTTGACGCGGAGTTGGCGCCGGCATTTGCGGTAGCCCCGTTGAAGATCACGCGACCACTCACCGCGGCCGGTATGACCGAGTTGGGCCTGTCGATGTTCAATCAGGGCAGGGTCCGAGAGGCAGTCGACCAGTTCACCAAGGCTATCGCGTTGGATCCACGCTACCGCGAAGCGTGGGCCAATCGCGCAAAGGCTTACACGGAGTTGGGGCTCAGCGAGAAGGCCGCAGCCGACCGGCAACAACTGGAAGCGATCTGAATACCGGGGGCTGCGGGTAGAGCAACCGCATTCGGGTTGCCGCTCTCCGGCCATGTGGTCCGTGCGTGAGCGGGAATCCGATACCTGAGATCGCCGGTTCTCTGAAGAACCTCCCAGGGTCGTTCGTCGTAGCCGCCGGGTATTAAAGAGCGCGGCCAGGACAACGCGGCAGATCGGCTGGCGTTGAAGGCCGGCGCTTGGGCAACGAGATTGCCACGCTGCGCTCGCAATGACATTCACGCTGCTGGGCATGACCTTGAGGAGACAGCCCTCCAAGTTGGGGTTGGACTCGGGATTTCACACGGCCATGATGTGGTAGCCGGCGTCGACGGGGAGCACGGTGCCGGTGACGCCGCTGGATAGGTCGCTGCAGAGGAAGAGTGCGGTCTGCGCGACTTCGTCGGCGGTGATGTTGCGTCCCAGGGGAGCCTTGTCGGCGTGGGCGCGGCGCATATCGAGGAAACCGCTGATGCCACGGGCGGCAAGGGTGTCCACGGGGCCGGCGGATATGGCGTTGACGCGGATGTTTTCGGTCCCGAATTCGTAGGCCAGTTGGCGAACCTCGTGTTCGAGGGCGGCCTTGGCGGTTCCCATGACGTTGTAGCCGGGGTAAACCCGGCTGGAGGCCTGGAATGTCATGGCGATGACGCTGCCTCCGTTGACCATCAGGGGCGCCGCGTGGCGAACCATGGGCAAAAGGGTGAAGGCGCTGATTTCCAGGGCCAGGCGAAAACCTTCGCGACCGGTATCGGCGAGGCGACCGGCCAGGTCTTCACGGCTGGCGAAAGCGATGCTGTGGACGAGGATGGACAGGGACCCCATCCGATCGCCGATAGCGTCGAAGACGGCCTGGATCTGGTCGTCGTCCGAGGCGTCGCACTGGAGCAGGACCGGGTCTTCGAGGGTCTCGGCGAGGCGGGCAGCGCGGCTCTGCAGTCGCTCGTTCTGGTAGGTCAGGGCGATGCGGGCGCCGGCGTCGGCGAGGGTGCGGGCGATGGCCCACGCGATACTGCGGTCGTTGGCGACACCAAAAATGACCGCATTGCGGCCAGTCAAATCGATGGGGAACACAGAGATACCTCGTCACATGGCAGTTATAGGCGGGCGAAGGGCGCGTTTTCAGCGGCGGAAATCGGGCGCGACCTGCTCCAGGAACACCTGCATCTGCTCTTCCTGGCGGTAGGTGGCGAAGCGGACGATGATCTGGTCCGCGCCGGCCTCGGCGTAGGCATGGATACGCTCGCGCACACGTTCCGCATCACCGAAGGGGCCCCAGCGGTCGCCCCAGATGTTTGCGCCGTAGTAGCCGAGCAGCCAGTCTTCGGCCTCCGCTTCAGCCCGGGAAACGTCCTCATCGAGGTTTACGGTGAGATACATGACCATGGACATGGAGTCGGGGTCGCGGTCGTATTCGGCGCAGTAGCCACGAACCGTTTCCTTCAGGTCGACAAACTCGTCGGGCGTCGCGGAGATGGAGATGGCACCGTCCGCGAGGCGGGCGGCGCGGCGGGCCTGGCGCTCACGCTGGGCGCCCTGACCGTCGCCGCGCCCGTGCCAGTGGACGCCGAGGTACACGGGCACACCGTCGGGCTGCACCGGGGTGGGTTCCATAATCACGTCGTCGAGCTGGAAATGCCGGCCTTCATAGGAGAAGGGTTTGCCGGAACCGAGGCCCTTGACGACCTGGAGCATCTCTTCGAGGCGACGGGCGCGGGTGCGTTGGGGCACGTCGGCGTTGCTCCACTCGGCCTGCTGCATGCCGTTGAAGGCTCCGCCGACACCGATGCCGAGTTGCAAGCGGCCGCCGGAGATCAGATCCACGGTGCCCATCATCTGGGCCAGGAGGACGGGATGACGCAGGGCCATGAGCATCACGGCCGTACCGAGACGGACGCGGGAGGTTCGCGCGGCGATGGCGGCGAGGGTCGTCATGGCCTCAAGACGTGGTTTGGCGGTCAGGCTGTCGCCGACCCAGACGGAGTCCATGCCGGCCTCTTCAGCCCATGTCGCCAGGCGGAGGACGGACTCGGCGTCCGTGGGTTTGCGGTCGGCCAAGAGGAGGCCTCGGGTGGGCAGAAGGCAACCCAACTGAACGTTTGCGGCCATGAGTTAGCGGAGCTCCAGGCTGGTGAGGTTGAGGGATTTAGGTTCGCGGCCGAGTAGACGCGTGAGCAGGCCCGGCTCCATGTGTTCATATTCTTCGATGTCGGAGCCGTCATCCAGGTCGAACCCCATGCCCTGGCTGTAATAGAAAGCCACGGAGACACCCATGCGCGCGGCGGTGCCGACGTGCTTCCGGAAGCTGTTGTTGCCGAGTTCCGGGCGGAAATAGGGTATCAGGTCGTAGGGGACCAGGATGGCATTGGTGCCGCCATCACGCCGGGCGGGGGAAAGGGTCACGTTGTGCTGGTGCTCGGCGCTGCGGATCAGCTGGTGAATGTCGCCGGGCTTGATGAAGGGCAGGTCACCGGGCAGATAGAGGGCGGACACGCCGCGCAGGCGGGCAGTTTCAAAGGACTTGGTGATGGTGTCATTAAGGTTGCGGCCCAAGTCCTCCATCCAGTTGGCTCCGAGGCTGCGAGAGAGGTTGCGGACCCGTTCGTCACCACCGACCACCCAGAAGGGGTCGACTCCTGCGGCGCGGATGGCCATGATGACGCGCCGGAACATGCCCATGGTGAGGTCGGCGCGATCCTCGGGGCCCAGGACCCGCGACAGCCGGGTCTTGCACTGGGCCAGCGCTTTCATGGGAATCACCGGGACTACGGTGGGATTGGCCTGTTCGGGCGCATCGGTCATGATCGTCGATTCTCCAGGTCGGCAGCCAACGCGAGGACACGTTCGGCCAGTTGGACCTTGTCGTCGTCGGTCTGCATGATGGTGGGCATCACGGCGGCGTCGATACCTTCGGCGCTCACGGCGTCGGCCAGGTTGGCGTCCTGGGAGTCGAGGACCAGCACGTCGCAGAAACCACGATATTCCCGCGCCACGCCGACCGCAGAAACGTCCGAGCCGAGTTCCTGCATAATCTTGCCGGCGGGGTCCGCGCACCGCCGCGCCGCCAACGATGGGACTGACGGCGATGCGTGGGCCGGTGTGGGACGCAATGGCGTCGCGCACGCCGGGGACGGCCAGAATGGGCGCGACGCTGAGGAAGGGATTGGACGGGCAGATGATGATGGTTGATGCGGCGTCGAGGGCGGAGGCGAAATCGGGGGACGGTTCGGCGTCCGAGGCTCCGACGTATTCGATTGAGCGCACCACGGGTTCGGCGCGGCGATGCACGAAATATTCCTGCATGGACAGGGTGCCGTCGTCGGTGTCGAGGACGGTGCGCACGGGTTGATCGCTCATGGGGATGATGGGATGCGCGATGCCGAGGTTGGCAGTCAACTGGGCGGTGACCCGGGAGAGAGACGACCCCTGGGCTAGCAGTTCGGTGCGGCGGATGTGCATAGCGAAATCGCGGCTTCCCAGGTTGAACCAGGTATCGGCGCCCAAACGGTTCAGCATCTGGAGAGTCTCGAAGGAGTCGCCGTTGATGCCCCAACCGGTTTCGGGATTATACAGTCCCGAGAGGGTATAGGTCATGGTGTCGAGGTCGGGCGACACGTGCAGGCCGTGGAACCGCTCGTCGTCGCCGGTGTTGACGACGATGGCCAGCCGGGGTCCGGGGGGAGAATCCGGGACAATCCCAGGGCGAGCTTAGCCCCACCGACGCCGCCGGCGAGGGCGAGCACCAGTCCGGTGGTCGACGCGGCCACGGGCTAGGCCGTCGGCTGCACGGCGTTCCGTTCCCGCTGGGCGCGGGGATGCTCGAACCGGTAGCCTTCCATCTGCACCAACTGGTTGTAGGAGCCGAAGATCTCCTCGACGTTGTCGCCGACGAGGTCCAGGGGGTCGAGAGCCTCGTCCGCGTCGCTGTAGACCCGGCGCAAGCCGTAGGTGGTGTAGCGTTCGGCTGGGGTACGGCCGGCCTCACGGATCATCGAGCGGAACTCGGAGGGTCGCATGAGCTGGCCGTGCATGGCGCCGGCGGAGGTGGAGATGCTCTCGTTGATGAGGGTGCCGCCGAGGTCGTTGACGCCGGCGTTGAGGAGGAGCTGGGACATGCGGCTGCCCTCCTTCACCCAGGATGCCTGGATGTTGGGGATCCAGTTGTTGAGCATGATGCGAGCGATGGCGTGGACCTTGATGACGTCCATGCCGGTGGGTCCGGAGCGGACGTTTTCGACGGTGCCCTGGAGGAACATGGGGGCTTCGGAGGCGACGAAACTGAGCGGCACGAACTCGGTGAAGCCGCCGGTCTGCTGCTGGATGTCACGGAGCAGGGCGATGTGGCGAACGATCTGGGCGTTGGTTTCCCGATGCCCGAACATGACGGTGGAGGTGGTCGGTATGCCCAAGTCGTGGGCGTTGGTGATGACCTCGAGCCATTGGTCGACGGTGATGCGCCCGGGGGAGATTATGTCGCGCAGGTCCTGGTCCAGGACCTCGGCGGAGGTTCCGGGCAGGCTGCCGACGCCGGCGTCTTTGAGACCCTGGAGGTACTCGCGGATGGTGCACTTGGAGCGAATGGAGCCGTAGAGCACTTCCTCGGGGGAGAAGCCGTGGACGTGGATGTCGGGCAGCTCTTCCTTGATGGCCTCGCAGAGGCGGATGTAGAGGTCGCCTTCCATTTGGGGAGGCAGGCCGGCCTGAACGCAGACCTCGGTGGCGCCGTATTCCTGAGCCTCTTTGGCGCGGCGTATGATCTCGTTGACGGGCAGGAAGTAGCCTTCCTCCTCGCGGAAATCACGGCTGAAGGCGCAGAAGGCCGCAGCGCTTGATGCAGACGTTGGTGAAGTTGATGTTCCGGTTGACCACATAGGTCACGAGGTCGCCCACCACGCGGCGGCGCAACTCGTCGGCCACCAGGGTCATGGCGGTGAACTCAGGGCCGGAGGTAGCGAACAGGATGTCGGCTTCGTCGACGGATATGTCGCCGCCGGCCAGCGCATGTTCCAGCACGGACGCCACGTCCGGGCGCAGAGATTGGATCAGAGCAACCAGGGTTGCCGGGGCGTCGCGGTCAGTTGCGGTGGACATAGCGTTGGATTCCCCCTTTGACGTATCCGGACTCGTCGGTGAGCCGGAGCAGTTTTTCCTTGAGAGGCGGCGGCAACGGCCATTGGGAACCGTTGGCGAAGTATTCGGGGTACACGGGCAGCCGGGGCCGCAGTTCGTAGCCGGCTTCGCGGGTGCGACGTTCCAGCTCGGGCAACTGAGGCCACGGGGCCTCGGGATTGACGTAGTCGATGGTGAGCGGCGAGACGCCACCCCAGTCGTTGATGCCGGCGGCGATGTAGCGCTCGTAGTTTTCGCTCAGGTTGGGCGGCACCTGGATGTTGACGCGCTCGCCGAGGATGAGGCGGGCGACGGCGGTCGTCCACATCAGTTCGTCGGGAGCGGCGTCGGGAGTCTCGGCCATCGGGGTATCCGCCTTGGCGCGGAAATTCTGGACGATGACTTCCTGGATGTGGCCGTAGCGCTGGTGGAGTTGGCGGATGGCCAGCAGGGATTCCACACGCTCGCGACGAGTCTCGCCGATGCCGATGAGGATGCCGGTGGTGAAGGGGATGCCCAACTCGCCGGCGAGTTCCATGGTGCGGAGCCGAACGCGGGGGCGCTTGCTGGGGGCGAACTCGTGGGGTCCGCCGGGTTCGTAGAGGCGGGGGGCTGGAGCTCTCGAGCATGATGCCGATGGACGGGTTGGTGGGCTGGAGGGCTTCGAGTTCGCGGCGGCTCATGGTGCCGGGATTGCCGTGGGGGAGGAGGTCGGTTTCTTCGAACACCGTGCGGCACATCTGGGACAGGTATTCGAGGGTGGTGCGGTAGCCACGACCGGCGAGCCACTCGCAGCTTCCGGGTACCGCTGCTCGGGTCGCTCGCCGAGGGTGAACAGGGCTTCGGTGCAGCCGAGGCGTTGGCCGGCGCGGGCGACGGACAAGACCTCATCTACGGTGAGATACAGGCCGTCGGATTGCTCGGGAGACTGACGGAAGGTGCAGTAACCGCAGAAGTCGCGGCACAACCGGGTCAAGGGTAGGAACACCTTGGGCGAGAAGGTGACGACGCGGCCGCGGCCACGGTGGCGCAACTCGGATGCGGCGGCGCACAGGTCGGCCGTGGATTGGCCATCAGCGTCGACGAAGGCGAAGGCCTCAACGTCGGACAGCGCGGCGCCAGAGGCCACGTGATCCAGCGAAGGCAAATTGGAGGCGGTTGGATGGGCTACTGCTGCGGAAGGCACAAGGGTTGTCCGGGGGTAGATTGACAAAGGTGCGATCAATTGTATGCAGAGGGTTTTGCGGATTCAAGGCGTACATGGCGAGCGCGGGTTGGTGCGCCGGTGTTATGTAAACCAACACAGCTGATATGCGGGCAGTTAGCAGATCCAGAGTGCGACTGCAATTACGTTATGTCAAGCGCCGAACAGATGGCCCTGTCGGTTGGGGTCCACGCCGGTACCGGCCCACGGCCAGCCGAGGTATTCGTAGGCGTGGCGGGTGGCGACGCGGCCACGGGGGGTGCGCTCCAGAAAGCCCTGTTGGAGCAAGAAAGGCTCCAGGACTTCCATGACCGTGCTGGCGTCCTCGCTGAGGGAAGCGGACAAGGGTGTCGAGGCCAACGGGTCCGCCGGCGAACTTCTCGATGATGTTCGTGAGCAGGCGGTGGTCGGTTTCGTCCAGGCCACGGGCATCGACGCCGAGGCGGTCGAGGGATTCGCGCGCCACGGGGCCGGTGACGCGGTTATCGGCGCGGACCAGGGCGTAGTCGCGGGCGCGGCGCAGCAGGCGATTGGCGATGCGGGGGGTGCCGCGAGAACGGATGGCGACCTCGCGCAGGCCCTCGCCCTCAGAATCGATGTCCATGATGCGGGCCGAGCGGTTCACCACGGTTTCCATGTCGGCGTCGGAATAGTAGTCGAGGCGGAACACGGAGCCGAAACGGGTGCGGAGGGGGGCGCCGATCAGGGAGTAGCGGGTGGTGGCCCCGACCAGGGTGAAGGGGTTGATGCGCAGGTTGATGCTGCGGGCGGAAAGACCCTTGCCCACGACCCAGGAGAGGAAGAAGTCCTCCATGGCCGAGTACATCACCTCCTCGACGGCGCGGTTGAGACGATGAATTTCGTCGATGAAGAGGATGTCGTTGGGCTGGAGGCCGGTCAGGATTGACGCGATGTCGCTGGCGCGCTCGATGGCCGGCCCCGAAGTGACCTTGATGGTGGAGCCCATCTCGTGGGCGATGATGTTGGCGAGGGTGGTCTTGCCGAGGCCGGGAGGGCCATAGATGACAACGTGGTCGAGGGCCTCGCCGCGGATGCGGGCGGCCTGCATGGCGATGCTGAGGTTCTCGCGCACCTGGGGCTGGCCGACGAAATCCTCGAGGCGGGCCGGCCGGAGGCGAACGTCCTGCTCGCCGTCATCGCCTTGGGTCGCGGGCGAGATGGGACGCGCTTCGGCGTCGATGGGCCCTTCAGGCCGCTGTGCGGTGGTCATAACCGCATTCTAGGGGCCGCGCCGTTCGGGGGTCAACCATAAGGAGACTTCGTGCAAGCGAGAACTCGGTGAAGCATGAGGGTTGCGCGGTTCGGTTTCCAGACTCACAGCAGGCGCCCCAACGTGGCCACCACCCAGGTTGACGCGCACGTGCCCAAGGCGAGGCCAAGAAGTGCTGCTGGAGCATCACCCCGCTGGCCAAGCCCGAGCCGACGATTCGTTACGTCGCCGCGAACCAACCGAGGAAAAGGGCCGGCTAACTTAGCCGGCCCCTGAAAGCAGCGTTGGGTGAGGGGAGGGGCTGATTAGATTGCGGCCGCCTCGGGCTGAGGGGGCCATCAGGGCGATAGTTTCCCGTTGAGAGCTGCGCAACTGCTCGTTGAGATCTCGGATATCGCCGATCTGCTCCTCATATAGCTCCCGATATTTATCGGCATCCTGTATGGCTTTCTTCAAGTCGTTCTGCAGGCGCTCCTGATCCCGCTTTTGAATCTCCTGGTTGTAAATATCCAAAGCCTGCTGGAAAGCGACCATGTTGAGGTACTGCTGGTCGCCGGTGGAGCCGATGGTGATGATGTTCCTGCAGAGTTTGTCCTTGTTCACCGCGCGGGCGATCACGGGATCTTCGCGCCATTCTTTGATCATCCACGCGACGGTTGCGTCGACATCAAAGTTGCTTCTGAGGAAGTGCAAACACGCCTCCCTCCGCCTGGCTGGAGATACACTCATTGTCATTCTCCTTGTTTGATGAGAGTGTTTCTTCGAGGGCCTTGAGTCTCGCTTTGAGATGCTCATTTTCCTCTCTATATTGCCGGTCGCGTTTGGCAAAGGCCGCCACGCGATTCAGCAGGTAATCCCGGTTGCCACCGGTTTCACCCAACGCTTCTAACAGCTCGTTTGTGCCGATGTTGCTGCCCAGCAACTGCTCGCGCTCCATCTGTAGCAGCTCATTGATGACTCCCTTCAGCTTGCCGCGTTTACTGAGTTGCGATTCGCTGCCGACGAACGACAGTGCCGCCTTCTCCAACACGTCTATGGGCACAAGGGCGCTATTGGACACTCTGGTGATCGCTCCTGCCGACATCCCGGCTCGGCGCAGGCTGCGCTGCAGAGCGAAATCGCGTGGCCACTCTTTGGGTTGGGCCCACTGGCGGGGAACTTTCACCGCCTTGGTCCGACGGCCTTTTCCGATGCGGACGCGTCTCGTGCTCGCGCGTCTAGCGATCTCGAAACGCAGGGCACGTAAGGCTCGAGTGATGGCGACCGAAGTGCCGCCAGTTGCCTTGACCAAATCTTCAACTGTGGTGGAACCGTGAAACCGGCCTTCGTCAAACAGATCCATGATCAGGATCCGGCGGTCCATCGGGTTCGTTGGTTTCTCGTTGGTCATAGTCGGCGGGTCAACAAGTGTTGCGCCCTGAAACATCGAGGGGTTACACTCGCTGTTCCGGTTGCTGGTCAATCAAGGCCGAGCCAGTGCTGTGGACCCAGACAGAACGAGTGCGCTCTTCTATCTCGGCCAGCCGGCTGGCCCTGGCAAATTCGCTCTCGGTCAAGTAAACCATAAGACATTAGCTTTGCCGTAAGGCAGGGTTAACCGTTGCCTGCGGCAATGTATAGCACTTCGCTATTGGGAACGTCAATCCGATTTTCCTGTGGCCGGGGGCAGTTGGTTAGAGTACTTGCTTGACGCGTAACCGACTTGCTCGACCAGGGCAATCGCGTCTTGCGGTATTCGATATAGTCAGCGCGCTGGAACATTTTGTTGATCAATACTGCCCGATAACAACGGCTTTACAGTTAATACAATTTAGGTCCGAAATTTGCGAACGCAAGCCTCCCAAACTCGCTCATGAAGCGCCGAAAATGGATGCTACACGGGGTTTGTCCGGATTTCCCTCGAGCCCAATTAAGACGCGATTGTCGTGCTTGCTCGATATGCAAGTTGTTTCCACCCGGCCATCCGTGCTACCATCGTCGTGAGCCGATCAGGTTCACCCGTGGGCGGTTAGCTCAGTTGGTTAGAGTACTTGCTCGACACGCAAGAGGTCAGTGGTTCGAGTCCACTACCGCCCACCATTAGCGCACGCTCCCGCGGGTTTGGATCAGATGCGAAGAGACGCGGCGAGCGGGTTGATTCCCTAAGCCCCATGTATTTGCGGTTTGCCGCGGCTCCGATGGGACGACGCTTGGGACGGCGTGTCGCCGTGAATGGGTTGGTTGCCGAGATGGTATGGGCCAGGTGACGATGCCGGTGAAGCGTCGTGGGTTGGGGATTAGCCGGACGATCCTGGCCGGGATGCCGTTGTCGTTTGCGATCCTGTTGATTGCCGTTGTCGCGTGCACGGCGGCGACGCCGCAGCCGGAATTCGCCGAAGACCGCAAGAACCTGTTGGAGCATTGCGGCGTTCCCGGTGAGGTGCGGCGGGCTATCGAACGGAACATGCGTGATCCCGATAGTTTCCAGTGGTTCCGAACCGTGGGGGCGCGGCCGTCGGAGGAATCTCTGGTCTGGGGGTCCGCCGACGCGAACGGGGAATCGCAATTCTTGGCGCTGGTTCGCGGGATCAATGGCGTGGGCGTGCTCGTGGAGAGCCGGTGGGGCGGCGTAATTGACCGGGACAGCTGTGCCGTGACCTCGCTAGGGGAGTTGTAGGGGAGCGGTTCGGCGGCGAGATGGCGGCGGCTCCGAGCGTTGTGTCGGGAATGACGCGATGAGCAGATTGCGGAGCCTTGGCATCGCTTTCGGGAAGGGCGCGTGCTACAGCGGCGAGATTGCCGCGATGCGCTCGCAATGACGGATCAGGGGACTGAGAGTAGTGATGGGCGCACCCAGGCGAGCTGCGCGGCCAAACAAAAACGGCATGGGTTTTTCCATGCCGCTTTCGTCCGATCAGCCCGGCGGTTAGGCGGCCGGCTGGGGCGACCACTTGTAGATGTTGGTGAGGGCGCCGCCCATTAGGACCTGGCGGTCGGCGTCGGACAGGGTGTCGGTGACGCGGAAGGATTCGACGCCCTGCTCGTAGTTCAGCAGGTTGACCGCGCGAGTCCAGTCGGTGCCCCAGAGGCAGCGATCCAGGCCGAAGGCGTCGAAGATACGGTGCAGGGGTTCCCAGATGTCGGCATAGGGGAAAGGCTCGTGGGCCAGCGTGCCGGCGCCGGAGATCTTGATGGCGACGTTGGCACATTCGGCCAGGGCGAGGACGTTGGGCAGATCGCCGAAGGGTTCGGGCGGAGCGGGCGGTTCGAAGGGCTGGACCAACCCGAGGTGGTCGACGACGAGCTGAGTATCCGGGTTGCGGCGGGCCAACTCGAGCATCAACGGAAGCTTGCCAGCGCACATGATGTTGACCGGGGACGCCAGCGCGGCCGCCGGCGGCGATAATCTGATTCACGCCCGGGTGATCGGCCGCGTAGTCCACGTCGCGGAGCATGATGCGGGCGCCGACAACCCCGGGGCGGCCGGTCCATTCCGCCATCTCCTCGTCGATGGACGGAGACTCCGGGTCGAAGGGGCGCACCAGGCCGAAGCGGTTGGGGTGACGGTCGTAGGCCTGCAGAGCGTAGCTGGCGTCGTAGCGATACATGGCGAAGGGCGAGATGAGGATCGCGCCAGCGACGCCGACGGCATCCATTGCGACGGCCATATCGTCGCCGGTGACCTCATCAGGGCCCTGCAAGTAGCCGGCCCAGGGTCGTTCGGGGCGGTTCCGTTCGTAGCAATGTACCTGGCAATCGATGGTTTGGGCGCTGGCGGGCATGGTGGTCCTCCGTGTGGGCTGAGGGCTGAGACGGGATGCGGGTGGGCGTCGGGATCAGTGGGACTGGGTCTCGTAGTTCAGCATCCAGTTGACGCCGAAGCGGTCGGTGCACATGCCGAAGTAGGCGCCCCAGAACATTTCCTGCGGTTGCATGGCGACGTTTCCGGCGTCGGATAACGCCGCGAAGAGGCGGTCGGTTTCCGCACGACTGTCGGACGAGATGCTGATGGAGAAGTTGTTGCCGGGCACCGGAGGCGGGCCGAAAGCGGAACAGGTGTCGCTGCCCATGAGCACGCCACCGCCAACGGGCAGGGAGACGCGCATGATGCGACCGCGCTCGTGTTCGGGCAGGGTCGGCATAGCGGCCGGGCCTTCGGCGAACGTAGCGATGAAGGCGAAATCGCCGCCGAAGACCGAGCGGTAGAACTCAAAGGCTTCACGGCAGTTGTCGTCGAAATGGAGGTAGGCGTTGAGGTCCATTGATTGCTCCAAAATATGACCCAGCAGTGAATTTGAAGCCGGCGGAAGGGCGCGCCTATTCAGCTGCGCCGTCCGCTTTCCAAGAAAGCGAGCATCTGATTGACAAAGTGGTGGATTCCGGGGCGTTCCACCGCGACGTCGTAGTCTTCCATGTTGTCATGGAAGAAATTCTCATGGAACCGCTCTGCGGCTGCGAACCCGGTGATGATGTATGGGTCGGAAAATTCGCTGGACAGTTGTGAGACGGCCTGCTTCATGGCGCGGTGGCTACGATATCGTAGGCCGCGCTGCTGGCACATGGCGATCACCACCTGGGTGGCGGATCCGTAGAGTTTTTCGGAGCCCTGCAGGTGGTCGCCGGCGGTAAACTCGCGGTCTGAGGCCGCGAGAAATTCCCGGGCGGCCTGGGCGTGTTCGCGAACATTCATTTCTTTCGTGGTCATAAGGAACTGCCGTGGCGAAAAGTGGCGCAGGTTGCATTATGCCAGATAGGGGATACGAGGGAGTGCCGCCAACACCCGGGTCGATCGAGAGCCGGCGGCGCGAAAACGGGACCGCCGAACGGCTGCGGCTCCGGGAGGGCGAGGGCCCCGGGATTGGCTATGACCAGCAGTGAATTTGAAGCAGGCGGAAGGGCGCGCCTATTCAGCTGCGCCGTCGCTTTCCAGAATGGCCAACATCCTGGCCACAAACTGATGAACGGCCGGGCGTTCCGTGTCGATATCGTAGTCTTCCAAATTGTCGTGGAAGAAATTCTCGTGGAATCGTTCCGCCGCCGAAAATCCGCCGATGATGAACGGGTCATCGTATTCCCGGGAAAAGTCGGATATGGCCTGCTTCATGGCACGGTGGCTACGGTATCGCCAGCCGCGCTGCTGGCACATGGCGATCACCACCTGGGTGGCGGCTCCGTAGAGTTTTTCGGAGCCCTGCAAGTGGTCGCCGGCGGCAAACTCGCGGTCTGAGGCGGCGAGGAAATCCCGGGCGGCCTGGGCGTGTTCGCGAACATTCATTTCTTTCGTGGTCATACGGAAGTGCCGTAGCGACAAGTGGCGCAGGTTGCATTATGCCAGATAGGGGATACGAGGGAGTGCCGCCAACGCCCGTGCTGATCGACAGCCGGAGGTGCAAAAAATCGGACCGCCGAGCGGCTGCGGCTCCGGGAGGGCGGGGCTCCGGGATAGGCGCGGCGGTTGCAGGCCGCACCGTAGTTTTTCGGTTGGGCGGGCTCGCCGAGAACCAACGGAGCAGTCACCGGCGGGAAACCGGTGACCGTTGCAAGCGCCGTCGATACCATGCGCCAGGAACAACCCGGCAGCTACTCGTCGTCGGGATGGGTGGTAATGAAGCGGCCGGCACGGGCAGGATCGACATGGGGGGCGCGGACCTCGACGCCGGCCTGCTCCTCCTGCAATCGGACGGTGACGCTGCTGTCGGATTCGGCCCAGCCGCGGTTCATGGCCTGCATGGCGATCTGCTCGGCAAGGGTGGACATGGGCATGGGCACGTCGTACTCCCGCGCGAGTTCCGTCGCCAACGAGATGTCCTTGTAGGCCAGGTTCAACGCGAAACTCGCCGGCTCAAACTCCCCGCGGAACATCGTGCGAACCAATCCCTCGTGGAGCACGCGCATGCGGCCGAGCGAGCCGCGACGGATGCACTCCCAGAGGGCCTCGGGTTCGACGCCGGCCTTGACCCCGAGGGTCAATCCCTCCGCGATGGCCTGCCGCACGCTGTGCCCGATCATGTTGTGCACCAGCTTCGCCACACTCCCGGCCCCGATCTCACCGGCATAGAAACACCTTGTCGCCAAAGGCGTCCAGGATCGGCTTCACCCGGTCGAACACCTCGCGGTCTCCACCCACCATCACCGCCAGGTTCCCCGACGCCGCCCCCGTCTTGCCTCCGCTCACCGGCGCGTCCAGGACGTGGCAACCCTTGGCGCGAAACTTCGGCTCAATCTCTCGGATCAGCGTGGGACGGCTCGAGGACAGGTCGATGTAGACGCCGCCCGGCTGGATACCCTCCAGCACGCCCTCGGCACCTGTCGCCACCGCGTCCACCTCGTAGGGACCGGGCAGTGAAGTGAAGGTCACGTCGCTGGCTGCGGCGACCTCAGCGGGAGTGTTGGCCAGGCGGGCACCGCCTTCCAGCAATGGCAGGGCAGCCTCCTCGCGCAGGTCGTAGACGATCATGGGGTAGCCGGCCCGCTGAATGTTGGCGGACATGCCGCCGCCCATGTTGCCCAGGCCGATGAATCCTACAGTTTCCATGGCGTTTTTCGCTCCATCAATCAAGATAACGGCGGAAGTATAGCGCACCTGCGGTGGGCTCCCGCGACGCTGGCCGCGATGAATGGGGAGATGGGACGGATGGGGCTCGGGGGTACCCGGTTTGTTGTTGCGAGATTGCCACGCTTCGCTCGCAATGACGGTGGGGTGTGGGATCGCAATGACGGTGGGTTCGGATCGCAATGACGGTGGGTTGGGCTGTTGGGATGGCGAAGTGGGTGCGGGTGAGAATGGGTGCGGGTGGGACGGATAGGTGTGTTGCCGGGCCGGGATGCTTGCGATACACTCTATCTAGTTATGGTGACTGAACCACACACCCAATGCTGACAGTTGAAGACCTGAACACAACCGGTGGCGATGGCAACGGCGGGTCCGTTGGTGGCCACCGGTTCATTTTGGACTCGGTGGCCGGCATAGCAGAAGACTCGGGTTTCAGGGCCTACCTGGTTGGCGGCCCGGTGCGCGACAGTCTGCTGGGGACATCCACCACGGACCTGGACATCACGGTGATCGGCGACGCGACGGCGGTGGCGGCGAGGCTGGCGGAGGAGATCGATGGCAGGTTGACCGTGCATCAGAGATTTGGTACGGCCACCGTTACTTACGGGCTCCTCACCATCGACCTGGTCACGGCGCGTCGGGAAACCTACCGCTCGCCGGGGGCGCTGCCTGACGTGGAACCGGGCGACATCGGGGATGACCTGGCGCGGCGGGACTTCACCATCAACGCGATGGCGATGCCCCTGTTCGGGAGCGCCGCGGAACCAGTGGACCCGCACGGGGGGCGTGCCGATCTGGACGCGGGGGTGATCCGCGTACTGCACGCGGGAAGCTTTCGCGACGACCCGACGAGGATCCTGCGGGCCGTGCGCTACGCTGCGCGGTTTGGGTTCAGGATCGAGCCGGCGACGGCAGGGTTGATGTCGGAAGCGCTGGGCGCGCGGGCACTGGCGACGCTGAGCGGAGATCGGCTGCGGCACGAGCTGGAGCGCACGTTGGAAGAGGCCGACCCGGCGCCCTCGTTGCGGTTGGCCGACGATTGCGGGGTCCTGCAAGCGGTTCATCCGGCGCTGACCGCAGAGCACCTGGCGGGAGCCGGCGGCGAGCGAGCCACGCCGTTGACGTGGCTGGCGGCGTTGGTCTGGCCTTTGAGCGCGGATGAGGGAGCGGCGTTGAGCACACGGCTCAACGCGCCATCGGATTGGACGCGGGTGATCGCGGATATGGCTCGGATCCGCGGAATGGTGCCGGCGCTGTGCACAGACGGCGAGGACGGATTGAAACCCTCGGATGTGTGCGCGCTCCTGGATGGGCTGGCGCCGGACGCCTTGCGCGGAGCAATCATGACGGCGGGAGGCGGCGCGGCGGACCGCATCGGGAGGTATCTGAACGAGTGGTGGTCGGTGGCGCCCCGTCTCAGGGGCAACGACCTGCTGGCCCTGGGGGTTCCGGCTGGGCCGGCGGTGGGAGAAGCGCTGCGCGAGCTACGCAAGGCGCGCCTGGACGGGGTGACTCGAACGGTTCAGGATGAGGAAGATCTGGCCCAACGGTGGGCGGAAGTATCGAATAAAATCGCGTGCTAAAGTCCGCGATATGCGGATTGAAGGGAGGTAGTGCAGTGGCAACCATATTCCAGGTATCGGGCCCGGTATATTGCGTGGTCTGCAACGACGAACTCAACGGGCCGCACCGGTCGACGTGCCAGATGTGCGGCGGGCCGTTCCACCAGCCGTGGTCGCCGGACAGCGACGCTCCACGGTGCGGACAGGCCGCGAGCCATGACGAAACGCTGGCCGTCGTGTTCCTGTGCAGGACTGCTACAAGAACCGACGTCCGCCGCCACAGTGACGGTACCAAGGAGGCAAAACCAACAATGAAAGCCGTTTACATCGAAGCGCACGGAGACGTGGGGGTGCTGCAGTACGGGGATCGCCCGGACCCGTCGCCAGGAGCATCCGACGTGGTGGTCAGGGTCGGCGCGAGCGCGCTGAACCGGCTGGACATCTTCACCCGGGAAGGGCAGCGAGGGCTGGAGCGGGAGTTTCCGCCGCCGTTGGTCCTGGGCGGCGACACGGCCGGAGAGGTGGTTGCCACCGGCGACGCGGTAAGCGCGCTGAGCGTGGGCGACCGCGTGGTGGTGAACCCGAGGTTGTCGTGCGGGGTTTGCCAGTGGTGTGGTTCGGGTCGGGACGACCTGTGCCGGCGCAGCCGATTCCTGGGAACGGCGATGGACGGGAGTACGCCGAGCTGGTGGTAGTGCCGGAGGTCAACGCGTACAAGCTCGAAAGCAGCGTGTCCTTCGCGGACGCCGCGGCGGTTCCGACCACGTACCTGCCGGTATGGAACATGGCGGTGCGTCGGGCGGCGCTGCAACCGTGGGAGACGGCGCTGGTGTTTTCGGCTTCGGCCGGCGTGGGCGCGGCGGCGATCCAGGTTTTCAAAAACGTGGTGGGGATCCACTGTGATTGCGACCACCAGCACGCCGGAAAAGGCGGAACTGGCGCGGAGCCTGGGCGCGGACCACGTCATCAACTACAACGAGGAAGACATCGCGCAGCGGGTGCGGGAGATCACCGGCGGGGCCGGAGTGGACCTGCTGGTGGACCACGTGGGTGCGGACGTGTGGGCGCAGGGTTTCCGGTCGCTGCGGCCGGGTGGCCGTTACTGCATCTGCGGGGCGACCAGCGGACTGAGGGCGGAGTTGCACCTGGGCCTGTTGTTCAGCCGGCAGATCGAGATCTACGGCGGATACATGGGATCGCGGGAGGACATGCGCCAGATTGTGGCGAGCCTGAACCGCGGGGTCATCAATCCGGCGATCCACAGGACGTACCCGCTGGCCAACGCGGCGGACGCGCACAACGACATGGAAGCGACGAACTTCTTCGGGAAGCTGATCCTGGAGCCGTAACCGGGGCGGGCCAGAATCAACAGCGAAGGGGCGGCTCATGGGCCGCCCCTTTTGTACGCCAGGTTGGGTTGGGAGCGGATCCGGCGATTAGGCTGGCTGCAGCGTTCCGCGAACAGCTTCCACGACATCGTCCACGGCGACCATCTCCGCTTCTTCGGAGGTGCGGCCGCGCATCTCCACGGCGGACTGGCGGAGGTTGCGCGGGCTGACTACCAGGCGCACCGGGAGGCCGATGAGGTCGGCGTCGTTGAACTTGACGCCGGCGGCCGCGTCGGTGCGGTCGTCGAAGAGGACCTCAATGCCGGCGGCCCAAAGGCGGTCGTACAGATCGACGGCGGCTTCCGCCACCGCCTCGTCGGCCATGTTCAGGGCGACGAGGTGGACATCGTAGGGCGCGATGGGGGCGGGGAAGATGATGCCGCGGTCGTCGTGGTTCTGCTCGATGGCGGCGGCCAGGATGCGGCTGACGCCGATACCGTAGCAACCCATGGTGATGGGCTGCTGTTCGCCTTCGGAATCGAGAAAATAGGCGCCCAGCGTCTCACTGAAAAAGGTGCCCAGCTTGAAGATGTGGCCTACCTCGACGCCGCGGGTCGCTGTCAGTGGGGTTGAGCACTGCGCGCAGAGGTGACCGGGTTTGGTCAGGGCGATGTCGGTGACCAGATCGGCGACGAAGTCGCGGGGGTAATTGGCGTTGCGGTAGTGGGTGTCGTTTTTATTTGCGCCGACCACGAAGTTGCCGCCGCTGGAAATGGAGGGGTCGGCGACGCGGCGAACGTTGGTGATGCCGATGGCGGAGGCGGAGCCGGCAACCAGGCCGGCGGAGGCGATCTCCTCGTCCTCGGCGAGACGGAGCTCGTTACAGTGGAGGGCGTTCTTGAGCTTGATCTCGTTGACGTCGAGGTCACCGCGGATGGTGACGAAGACGACCTCGCCATCGGCGGCGTAGAACACCGCCTTGAGGGTTTGCGCCTCGTCGACGCCGAGGAACTCGCACAGGGAGGCGATGGTCTTCATGCCGGGGGTGCTGACTTCCTCGAGGGGCAGAGGTTCGGGAATGGGTTGGTCGGGATAGACACCGGAGGCTTTTTCGGCGTTGGCGGCGTAGCCGCAGGACGGGCAGGTGATGACTGTGTCCTCGCCGGTGTCGGTGGGGAGCAGGAATTCGTGGGAGTCCTTGCCGCCGATGGCGCCGCTGTCGGCCTCGGCCATGACGACGGGGATGCTGCAACGGCGGAAGACGTTGCGGTAGGCCTGGGCCATGGCCTGGTAGGATGCGTCAAGGCCCGCGTCGCCGGCGTCGAAGGAGTAGGCGTCCTTCATGGTGAACTCCCGGACACGGACGAGGCCGGCGCGGGGTCGTGGCTCGTCGCGGAACTTGGTCTGCATCTGATAGAGGATAACGGGCAGATCGCGGTAGCTCTGCACGTTTCCCTTGACGATGTTGGTGACGACCTCCTCGTGGGTGGGCGCCAGCGCCAGGGGACGGCCACGGCGGTCCTCCAGGGAGAACATGTTGTCGCCGAAAGCGGCGGCGCGGCCGGTCTGCTCCCACAGTTCCATGGGCTGGAGGGCGGGCATGCGCAGTTCCTGGCTGCCGGCGGCGTCCATCTCCTCGCGGACGATCTGCTCGACCTTGCGGAGGGAGCGCCAGGCCAGGGGGAGGTAGGCGTAAATGCCGGCGGCGACCTGCTGGATGAGGCCGGCGCGCAGCATCAGGCGATGGCTGGCGGTTTCGGCCTCGGGCGGGTCGTCGCGGAGGGTGCGGGTGACGAGGCGGGAGATACGCATTATGGGGAAGTTCCTTCGGTTGACCAAGGGTTGGTCACAATAATACCGCATCCATCGAAGGTAGGAGGTTCGCTGATAGCCTCTCGGGGAGGTAGTTCCAACTCGACGTCGGCCAGTGGCGCGAATCGGGCCCTGATGGCTTCGGCCATATTCCGCGCGGCGTGGGGTAGTTCCAGCGCGTCGTCAAGAAAGCGACGCGCCTCTTCTTCTGGCGACCTGCCGTGAGGCCCCGCGCTCCAGCAACCGCCTCCCCGTCTCATCATCACTATCCCAAACGACCATGGTGGGCATTGTGCTTCCCCCGTCCGCAATTTCAGCGACAGTTTGCCAAAGTCCAGCCAATAGTATCGAACCACCGGGTCGGGGTTCGGGCTTCGGGGCCGGACCTCAACGCCAGCTCCTCGATCTTTGAACAGTTCATGGATGGTTGCGGCGTAGATGTCGCGCATACGGGTTGCAATCCCCGGCCGCTGCGCTATTGGCCTGTCCTATTGTTCTGCCGCGCAATGTATTCCCGGAGCGCCTGGTTGATGCGGGTCTGGTAGCCGCGTTGTCCGGGAGCGTGGTTCTTGAACCAGGTGACAACGTCGGCGTCCAGCCTGATGTGGATTGCGGTTTTGGCGGGTTCCTTCTGCTTGCCTCTGCTTCGCCGATATTGCTCCAGGACGTGGGGCACGGCTTCGTGGGACAGTTTGGCGCCAGTGAACCATTCGTCGCTCAGCTCGAATGTATCGGGGTCGTCAGCGATAGCGGCGTTGATAACAGCGTCCTCTTCGGGACCGGGGATTACGATTTCAAACTTGTCGCTCGACATATCTGATTGACTCCCGTGCATTAGCCTTACGGAGACTGATGATGCGGACATTTGGTCCTCGTTGCGTCCAAACAACGTGGTACAAGCGATTGCCGATCAACCCCAATGCTGACCAGCGGGTCTCGCCATCCCGTCGCTGGCGCGATGTAGTGCGGTATCCCAGTCGAAGTATTCCATTGAGGCGAAGTCAACCTCGTGCTTCAAGAGCGTCTCGGCACGTTTGGCTTCGTCCCATTCATATTGCATAGGTTATTTCATTTCACATTGTAGCCACAATAAAAGACGGACTCAAGGGCAGCACGTCGCGTTACCGCTACTACCCCATGGGGTTGACGTTGGGGAGGCCGAGGCGGAACTGGCCGAGGTTGTCGTAGGCGCTGGTGTTGACCATGAAGTGCTGGGCGGCAGCGTTGATGTCGCGCATGCAGCGTTGCAGCACGCGGTCGTTGTAGATGGCGCTGCCGCCGCCGTAGCGGAAGGCGGTGGTCGCGATCTCGCAGGCGACGTCGGTGGCGTAGGCGCAGGCGCCGCGGAGGCGGAGCTGGCGTTCCAGGTCGGGGCGTTCTCCGCGCAGGCAGAACTGCCAGGCTTCGTCCAGGACCTCGCGGCACAGGGCGCGGACGGCGCGGAGCTGCTGGTCGCAACGACCAAGGTCGCGATGCAGCGAGCCGCGCTGGGAGATGGTTGAGGTCAGGTAGCCGCGGCGGTAGGATCCGGCCTGCAGGGCGATCTCATCCAGGGCGCGGCGGGCGACGCCCAGGGCGAAGGCGGCGTGGTCCGGGGTGACGAAACCGGGCCGGCCCAGCCAGAACTGCGGCCCGCCCTTTCGTGGGTCGCTGGTGAGCAGGTCGAAGGCCATGTCCGAAGGCACGAAATAATCGTCAACCACGAAATCGCGACTGCCGGTGCCCTTGAGGCCCATGACCTGCCAGTTGTCCAGGAACTGAACGTCGTGAATGGAAGCGGCCATCACCATGTGCTCCGGCCCGGGTTGGCCGTCTCGGATGATGCGGAAGCCGGCCAACAGCCAGGAGGAATGGGCCGAACCGCTGGCGAAGGGCCATTGCCCGGTCACCCGCCAACCGCCATCCACCGGGGTTGCCTGTCCGCGAGGGATCAGCGCACCGGAGGCGATGGGCATACTGCCGTCGGGGAAAACGCGTCGGGCGCCGGCGTCGGGCAGGAACGCTCCGAGCAACGCGGCGCTGGTGCTGTTGATGAACGCGCACCAACCGGCCGACGGATTGATGTAGGACAGCTCGTCGCAGAGCTCAAGGTAGAGGTGCGGATCGACCTCGGGGCCGCTCAGCTCGCGAGGGACCTTGAGGGACAGCAGACCCTCACGGTACAGGGCGACAACGGATGACCACGCCAGAGTCTCCGCAGCGTCGTTGGCCTCGGCGTCGGCTTCCAGGACGGGGCGAATGCGCGCGATGGCGTCCAGCAGGTGGAGGCGCAGGGCTTCGCGATCAGCCGGCAAGGCGGGGATGCCGAGGTTCTGCAAGCCGGCGATGTCGAAGGGAGCGACGGCGGAAGCGTGGACGCCAGTGGTCATGCGGCGGCGCTCTCGCCCGTCAGCGCACGGATTTCGTCATCGGATAGCGCCAGTTGAACTTTGAGGATCCGAAGGGCGATGCGGCGGTCTTCATCGTTGCCACCAAGGAGTTCGATCGCGGTTTCCCGTCGCAGGCGGGCGAATTCGGGGTCGCGCGCCGCCCGGTCGCGTACAGCGTCATCGTGCCGAATGAGAGTCATGGTCTCTGCTCCTTTATGGATAAAGTCGTGAAAGACGCAGCGCCTGCCGTATGTCCGATCTTTGCTGGGTGGACTTGTCACCGCCAGTTAGCAGAATTATAAGCCGGCTGCCGCGCCGGCAAAAGTAGAGCCTGATCCCAGGGCCACTGCCCAGCAACCTTCGTTCAAAGATGCCGGGAACACCAGCTATCGGTTTGTAATCACCCCAATTGCCCTGTTCCATTCGATCAAGAACATTGTCAACGCGGTTGGCGATTGACGCATCGAGCGTCTGTGTCCACTCAAAGAATTCCGGCGTTTGCAGGACCTCGTACATGAGCGGTCAGGCTTTGGATGGTGTTTTCTCGATCTCCTCCATGAGGGCGGTGAGCATTTCGGCTTCGGGGACTACGCGGACTTTTTCGCCCTTGCGGAAGATGATGGCGCGGCCGGCGCCGGCGGCGATGCCGACGTCGGCGTCCTTGGCCTCGCCGGGACCGTTGACCTCGCAGCCCATGACGGCGACCTTGACGTTGCGGTCGGTGCCCCGGAGCAGGGCATCCACGTCGTTGGCCAGCTTGCGGATGTCCACGTCGGCGCGGCCGCAACTGGGGCAGGCGACCATCACGGCGCCCTTGTCGCGCAGGTTCAACGACTTCAGGATCTCGTAGCCGGCGATGACCTCTTCGACGCTGTCATCGCTGAGGGAGACGCGGATGGTGTCGCCGATGCCTTCGTACAGCAGCACGCCCAACCCGACGGCGGTGCGGATGGAACCGGACTTGGCGGTGCCGGCCTCGGTGATGCCCAGGTGCAGCGGGTAGGGGACCATCTCAGAGAGCCGGCGATAGGCTTCGACAGTGGTGGGAACGTCGAAGGCCTTCATGGATATCTTGATCTGCTCGAAGTCCTGTTGCTCCAGAAGGCTAATTTCCCACAGGGCGGTGGCCACCATGTGGTCGACGACGCTGTAGTCACCGGATTGAGCCTCGCCGGCCTTGGGCAGGCGATTGACGAGGTCCATGTGGCGGGAGAAGCCGCGGGTGCGGCCGATGCCGCCCACCGGAGGCAGGCTGCCGAAGTTCACGCCGATGCGGATGGGGATGTTGCGTTCCTTGGCAGAGGCGACGACCTCGCGCACCTGATCCTCATTGCGGAGGTTGCCGGGATTGAGGCGCAGGCAGTCCACGCCGCCGGCGGCGCACTCCAACGCCAATTGGTAGTGGAAATGGATGTCGGCGATGAGGGGGATGCTAATCTGCTTCTTGATTTCCGCCATCGCCTGGGCGGCTTCCATGTCGGGAACGGCAGAGCGTATGATCTCGCATCCGGCCTCTTCGAGTTCGTGGATCTGCCGCACGGTGGCCTTGACGTCGCGGGTGTCGGTCTTGGTCATGGACTGCACGGTGACGTCGGCGTCCCCGCCCACCTTGACTCCGCCGACGTATACCGGTTTGGTTACCCTGCGCTGGTTAACAGTCATCATCGTCACCGCCGATTGAGAAGATGAGAGGATTTGCGAACTCAATGGACCTGATCTTATGGCTACCAATCATACACGAGGGGCGGGTGGGGGTGCCACCGCGGGAGCGGGCGCCCGGCTGTCAGTGCGAGGGTTTCCGGCGTGTTTCCGGGACATGGCCGCCGCGCATTCCGGGCAGGACTGCGGGAGTAGGAACGCGAACTCGAAACGGGGTTGCTGTATAATGACGCCAGCAAGGTGAGGCCGGCGCAACGGTGGGTTCCGGCGTGAATCGGCGTACAAGCCCGACAGAATCGGGCGTCAGGCAGGTGATAGCGTGCGCGATGTTATTCAGGAAGCGGTAAGTCAGTTGGAATCTGGCAACCCCTGCGTGCTGGCCACGGTCGTGCGCACCAAAGGGTCCACGCCGCAGAAAGCAGGGGCGATGCTGCTGGTGCGGGAAGACGGCACGGCGGTCGGGACGCTGGGCGGCGGCTGCGTCGAGGGCGACATCTGGTTCGCGGCGCGGGAGATCCTGCGGAACCAGGGCGGGCCGGAGTTCAAGGACTATTACCTGAACGAAGACATCGCGGCCCGGGACGGCCTGGTTTGCGGCGGCACGATGTACTTTTACCTGGAGCCGTTCTGGGAAACCGACGACTTTTCCGACATTGGATCGGAGTTGCTAGGCGCGTACGACGGGGCTGAACCGGCGGCGCTGGCGACGGTGGTGCGGTCCGACGGGGACACGGCTCGCCTGGGCGCGAAGCTGCTGCTGCGATCCGATGGCTCGGTAGCCGGCGGCATCGGCACTGCGGAACTGGACGAGGTCGCGCTGGAGGCTGCCAGCCGCGTGGCAGCGGTGGGAGCCAACCAATCAGTGGACATTGACGACCAGACCGAGTTGTTCATCGAAGGGTTCACCACACCGCCGACGCTGGTGATGGTGGGCGGCGGACACGTGGGGAAGGCGACGGCCGACCTGGCGCACCGACTGGGGTACCGGGTGTACATCGTCGACGACCGGGAAGATTTCTCCAACGCCGAGCGGTTCCCCTACGCGGAAGAGACGATAGTTACGCCGTACACCAACTGGGCGCAGCACCTGGATATCAACGTCAACAGCTTCATCGTGGTGGCGTCGCGCGGGCACTGGTTCGACGACGTGGCGTTGGAGTCGGCGCTGACGACCAAGGCGCGATACGTCGGGCTTCTGGGCAGCCGGCGCAAGACGTTGATGATCTACCAGCGGTTGCTCCAAGAAGGGGTGTCACGGGAGCGCTTGGCGGAAGTGCGAGCGCCCATCGGGTTGGACATCGGCGCGCTGGAGCCGGAAGAGTTGGCGGTCAGCATCATGTCCGAGGTCATCATGGCGCGGCGCGGCGGAAAGGGCAGCCCGATGACGATGGACGACTGGTACCTGGATCGGGCCGAGCAGCGCGCCAACCGGGCGATGGGGATGCCGGCGGACTGATAATCGGGCGGCCCGGTTCTGTTGGAGCTCGATGTTGTACCGTCAACGGGAACCCTGTGCTGGCGCTGTGTGGAGTGTTCCCAGCTCGGCTACGGTGACGAATTTGGAAACCGTCGGAAACCGCTTGGGCTGCAGTCCTGCCGCCCCGTCCACCGTGTACGCAACGTATGACTGACACCTCGCCATTTACGTCGGCGATTTTGCTGGCGGCCGGCGTGTCGCGGCGGATGGGAACGCTGAAGGCGCTGCTGGACTGGCACGGACGGTCGCTGATCATCCACCAGATCGTGGCGTTGCGGGAAGCGGGGGCAGATGAGGTGATCGTTGTGTTGGGGCACCGGGCGGACGAATTGCAGGCCCGTATCGGGGCGAACCGAGACGTGTACACCCTGGGGAAGGTGCGATGCGTGGTCAATGATGATTACGCGCTGGGCAAGACAACGTCGATCATAACCGGGTTGTGGGCGATGGGCCCGTCGGGTGATCCTGATGCGGCAATCATGATGCTGAACGTTGACCAGCCGCGGTCGGCCAGGGTCATCGGGCAGGCTCTGCGGGCGCACCGCAACGGGGATGGCAATCTGATTACAATTCCCACCTGCGAGGGGAAGGGGGGCCATCCGATTGTGGTGAGCCGGACGTTGTACGGCGAACTCATCGCCATCGACGAGCGGACGGAGGGTATGCGGGCGGTGACCGAACGGCATCGTGACGCCACACAGCGGGTGGAGTTGGGAGCGCCGGAGTTGCTGTGGGACGTGAACACACCGGAGCAATACCAGGCGGCGCTGAAAGCGTCGGGGGCCGGCTGACCGGCGTCGGACCGCGGATCGTGGCGGACGGCCGACCAGCGTCAGACCAACGGACGTTTCGCATGGGCGAACGTTTTTGACGGCGGGGGCAAAACTAAACCGGGGCCCGATAAACAGTCAGGGCCCCGGTTGCTGGTTTCCGTTCGTCCCGTCGCCAGGATGCGTCGGGTTGACGGGTGTTCACCCTGTCAGCGGCCGTCCAGCATCGTCATGCCGTGGCGGTCTCGCCAACAGGGCGTTTACAAGGGTAATGCCAGCTATGGTTCAGCTCGATCAGCGTGACCACTTCTAACCTCCTGTGTTGACGACGGCTTCGCCATCGGGTTTTCGGCGGGTGGCGGTTCCCTGTACCCCCAGCACCTTGAATACATAGTATACGGGGTGCGGATGCTTGTCAACCCCAAATCAAAATAATTGATATTTGATTTTTATGGCATCGGCGCAACGGCAAGGAAATGGTCTAAACTACGGCAAAATTGTGATGACTCCGGAGAGATGGCAGGAATGAGCGCAGCCCGCGGCAACGGCAGCCAACCGCAACGGACCGCCCCCAGCGTTTACGGCGAGGACGGCGTGACCATCATTGGCATGATCGGCGTGGTACGCGAATCCGCGGCCAACCAGGGAGCCACGTTGAGCCTGTTCGGGGGCGGGATCAACCCGGGCGCCGAAGTGCCGTCGGGGGTGGATCCGGACTACATCCTCGACTTTGCCCGCACGCACGAGGCGGCCGGTTTCGACATGGTGCTGACCGGATATTCTTCGTCGACGCCGGACGGGTTCGAGGTGGCGGGTTATGCGGCGGCGCACACCGAGCGGCTGGGTTACCTGATCGCGCACCGGCCCGGCTTCGTCGCGCCCACGCTAGCGGCGCGGAAGGCGGCCACGCTGGACCAACTGACCAACGGACGCATTGCGTTGCACATCATCACCGGGGGCAACGACATCGAGCAGCGGCAGGACGGCGACTGGCTCGACCACGATTCGCGGTACCGGCGCACGGACGATTACCTGGACGTGATGCGGCGCATCTGGACGGAGACGGAGCCCTTCGACCACGCAGGGGAGTTCTACCAACTACAGGCGGCGTACAGCCAGGCCCGGTGCCGGCAGAGTCCGCACGTACCGCTGTTTTTCGGCGGAGCGTCGGAGGCGGCGCTGGATACCGCCAGCAGGCGCGCGGACCTGTTCGCGCTATGGGGAGAGCCCAGGGCGTCCATCGCCGAACGCATCGCGGATGTGCGCCGACGGGTGGCGGCGACGGGTCGGGACCCGGCAGAAATGCGGTTCAGCCTATCGGCACGGCCCATCATCGCCGCAAACGGAGGAAAAGGCCTGGCAACGGGCGGAGGAGATCCTGGCGCGGATCCAGCAGGCGACGGCGGGACGAATCACCCCGGGCGTGCCGACGCGGCCGCAGTCGGAAGGGCGTGGCGTCTGCTGCGGTTCGCGGCGGAAGGCAACGTGCACGACGAGCGGCTGTGGATGCCCATCGCGGCGGCGAGCGGCGCGTCGGGGAGCACCACCTGCCTGGTGGGCACGCCGCAGCAGGTGGCGGACGCGCTGCTGGCGTACTATGACCTGGGGTGCAGCGCGTTCATCATACGCGGGTTTGACCCGCTGGCGGACGCCGCCGATTACGGCAAAGAGCTGATACCACTGGTGAGGGAAGGAGTCGCGCAGCGCCGGCGAGTCGGGGTGTGACCGAGCACTTTCGACGGGAAGCGCGGTAAAATCCGTCCGATTTGCGCCAACGTATCTGATAGGATACCCAATATCGAACGCCGGAGGACCCGATGGTAGATTACGCGACCCTATTCTCCAGCAACCTGCCCCGGGCGGTTGCCACGCCGCCGGGCGCCAGCGCGTCGGTGAAGTACGTCTTCTCCGTAACGAACGCCATCCCGGAGGTCGTCGACTCCGAGGCCTACCTGTCGGCCATCCGGTCCGGTCTGGACGCCGATGGAGCCGGTTCGCTGGCAGGGTATCCGCCGCCGGGCGGGCACGTGGGCCTGCGGGAACTGGTGGCCGAGCGGCTGGCCGCGAACCGTGGATACGAGGCCTCACCGGGCGACGTGGTGATCACGGACGGCGCCGGCGGGGCGATCACCAGCCTGTTGGAAGCGTTCATCGACCCGGGCGATGCGGTGTTGGTGGAAGAGTTCACCTACATGGGCAGCCTGCGCATGATGCTGGAACGGGGAGCCCAACCGATCCACGTGGCGGGAGACGAGGACGGGATGCTGCCCGAGGCGCTGGAGGAAGCCCTGGAGTCGCTGGAGCAGGCGGGGCGGCGGGCCAAGTTCATCTGGACGATCCCGGTGTTCCAGAACCCGTTGGGGTTCACGGTGTCCGAGGGGAGGCGACGGGCGATTCTGTCGCTGGCGCAGCGGTACGGTGTTCCGATCCTGGAGAACGAATCTTACGCGGACTTCCGCATCGATGGCGATCCACTTCCGCCGGCCATGGCCGGGATGAGCGACGAGGGAGATGTCATTTACGTGTCGTCGTTCACCAAGTTGTTGGGGTGCGGGCTGCGGGTCGGATTTGGAGTGCTGCCTCCGGGCGTAAGGTCAGCGTTGCCACGGGCCAATTCCGAGAACCTGCCGCGTCGGGGCGTCAGTCACCTGGCGACCATGATGGTCTACGAGTACATGAGGAAGCACGAGGCGGAGCACATCGAAACGGTCAGGCAGGCGCTGCTGACACGTCGGGACGCGTTGCTCGGCGCGTTGGAGGAAAACTTCCCGGCGTTCTGCGAGTGGACGCATCCCCACGGCGGCATGATGGTATTCGTGCGACTGCCGGAAGGGGCCGATACGTGGTCCACGCTGGAGAAAGCGACGGAGCGGGACGTGAAATACAACCCCGGCGGAGTGTTCCGGGCGGACCGGGGACGCAGCAACTACCTTCGGCTCACCTATAGCCACAACTCGCCGGCCGAGATACGGGAAGGCGTGGGGAGGCTGGCCGAGCTATTCAGAGAAGAGGGTTATTTCGAGGGCTAGCCAATAGTCAATCGCCTCCCGAATTGCGGGAGCAGCGGGTTGGGGGTACCAACGATGGTCGTCGCCAGTCCAACGATCAGCGTAACAGTTGACGGGATCCCGGTCGCCGTGGCCGCAGGGGCAAGCGCGCTGGATGCCATAAACGCGGTCGGCGTTCCGCTGTCGCAACTGTGCAAGGACGCCGACATGCCGGCCATCGGGGCGTGTCGGACCTGCCTGGTTCAGATCGACGGGGTAAGAGGGTTTCCCGCATCCTGCTCGACGCCGGCGAGCGACGGGATGGTGATACGAACCGACACGGCCGACGCGAAGCGCATCCGCTCCGGCGTGATCGAGCTGACGCTGGGCATGGTGGGCGACGGGAACGGCGGCAACGGATCGATTGAAGGGTACGGTCTGCTGTCGGACGCAGCCGAGTTGCATGGCATCTCCGGCGGACGGTGGGACTCCCGGGAACGCCAGGCGACGGACGAGTCCAACCCGGTGTTCAACCTGGCGATGGACGCGTGCATCCTGTGCGCCCGGTGCGTGAACGCCTGCCAGTCCGGCCACCAGTTCATCGGCGCGATAGACGTGCTGGGAGCCGGCGGGTCGGCGCGCATCGCCACGGCGGGGGACAAGCCGCTGGCCGAGAGCATCTGCACCACCTGCGGGCAATGCCTGAGCGTGTGCCCCACGGGGGCGATCAGCGTCAAAGCACCGCCGGAGACCGGGGCGCCAGCCCACCAGGTCAAGACGACGTGTCCGTACTGCGGGGTCGGTTGCGGCATTAAGCTGGAGGTCAGCGACGCCACGGAAGGACCGGAGGCGGGCAGGATTGTCGCGTCGCACGATGATCCGGACAACCTTTCGAGCGTCGGGATGCTGTGCGTGAAGGGCCGGTTCGGCTACACGTTCGTGCAGCACGGGTGATCGCATCAAACGACCGCTGATCCGGGAAGGCGAGCGGTTTGCCGGCGAGTTTCGGGAGGCGACGTGGGATGAGGCGTTGGACCTGGTAGCCTCGCGCCTGGCCGACTATCGCGGCGAGGCTTTTGGAACGCTGTGCTCCGCCAAGGCCACCAATGAAGACGGCTACGTGCAGCAGAAGTTCGCCCGCCTGGTGATGGGCAGCAACAACATCGACCACTGCACGCGGCTGTGCCACGCGCCGTCGGTGGCTGCGATGCTCACCTCGCTGGGCAGCGGGGCGACGAGCAACTCCTACACCGACTACGAGAACGCCGGCTGCCTGGTGGTGATGGGATGCGATCCCACGTCGAACCATCCGGTGGCGGCGTCGCGGATGCGGCGGGCGGTGGTGGAACGCGGAGCCAAGCTGATCGTGATCAACCCGCGCCGGATCGACATGTGCGACTACGCCGACCTGTGGCTGCGGCCGTATCCGGGGACGGACGTGGCGCTGCTGAACGCCATGGCGCACGTCGTGGTGGCGGAGGGTCTGGCGGACGACGGGTTCGTGGATGGCAGGACCGAGGGGTATGACGACTGGAGGGCGGTGATTGACGGGTACACGCCGGAGCGGGCATCGGCGATCACCGGGGTTGCAGCGGAGGACATCCGCGCGGGCGCGCGCATGGTGGCGCGGCCGCCGGTGCCACGACACGGGGATGCTGATAGTGATCGCGGGGGGGCCTGCCTGATATGGGGAATGGGACTGACGCAGCACACCAACGGTACCGCCAACGTCCATTCCGCGCTCAACCTGGCGTTGGTAACCGGGCAAATGGGCTTCCCGGGTTCGGGCATTTCGCCGCTGCGGGGGCAGAACAACGTGCAGGGATGCGGCGACGCCGGATGCGTGCCTGACTCGCTGCCAGGGTACCAGGGTCTGCTTCCAGAGTCGGTGGAGAAGTTTGGCCGGGCCTGGCAGGCCGCCGGGGCGCTCCCTGACCAGCCGGGCCGGGTGGTCACGGACATGGTGGATTCCATTGGCGAAGCCGGCGGAGTGCAGGCGATGTACATCACCGGCGAGAACCCGCTGCTCAGCGAGCCGGACCTGAACCGGGCGGAGGGACTGTTCCGCAAGCTCGATTTCCTGGTGGTGCAGGACATCTTCATGCACGAGACAGCCGAGCTAGCGGACGTCATATTGCCCGCGACCAGTTTCGCGGAGAAGGACGGCACCTTCACCAACAGCGAACGCCGGGTCCAGCGGGTCCGGCAAGCCGTGGAGCCGGTGGGGGAAAGCAGGCCAGACTGGGCCATCATCGGGGAGCTGGCTGCGCGGTTGTGCGATCTGCTGGGCCTGCCGTGGCGGGAGCAATTCGCCTTTCAGGATCCTTGCGAGATATTCGTGGAGATGGCCGGGCTGACGCCGCAGTTGGCCGGGATCTCCTACGGGCGTCTCGACGCCGAGGGCGGTATCCAGTGGCCGTGTCCGACACCGGACCATCCCGGTACCAGCTACCTCTATCGTGACGGTTTCCCCCGGGGGGACCGGGCCAAATTCGTGGGCTACGAGCAGGGGCCGGTGGCGGTGGAGACTCCCACGGAGCGGTTCCCGCTGGTGTTGAACACCGGGCGGGTGCTGTACCACTGGCACGGCGGCACGATGACGAGGCGCGTGGGCGGACTGCTGGCGCGGATGCCGGAGCTGGAAGTGTCAATCAATCCCGTAGACGGAGAGCGGTTCGGGTTGCGCGATGGCGGGCGAGTGCGGGTCCGTTCGCGACGGGGGGAGCTGAGCGGCGTGGCGCGGTACACCTACCGGATGCGCACCGGCGAGGTCTTCATTCCGTTCGTGCGCCTGAACGACTCGGCGGCGAACTTTCTGACTAACGCGGTGTACGACCCCGATTCGCGGATACCGGAGTACAAGGTGTGCGCGGTGCGGGTGGACGCCGAAGGGTGACGGGTTTGCAGGCCCGTCACCTTACAGTCTACTGGCTGCGCAATCGGGCACGTTCACGGCCCTCGATGAAATGCACGGCCTCGTCGGGGCTGACGCGACCGACGGGTCCGCTGGCGTACATCGAACCCAAGATGGTGCCGCCGCGCCCGAGCAGCAACTCGGTGGGCTGGATGTAGCCGCCGCGGTCGTCGGACCACCAGGAACCGAGCACATCGGCCTGTTCCCGGGTGACACCGTAGGCCATCGGGTAGCTTACGCCCGACTTGGTGGCCATCTCCTGGACTATTTCCTTGGGTTCGACACTGGCGCCGATGATGGAGAGGCCCTTCTCGGCCAAAGAATCCTGTTGCGACTGCCACGCGGCCAACTGCCGCGAGCAGTAGGGTCACCACACGCCGCGATAGAAGAGCACGGCGAGAGCGGGACGACATATCGCCGGGCAGGCTAAAGGTCCCGCCGTCGATGAGGTCCAGGGTCAGTTCGGGCAAACGGTCGCCCTGTTGCAGTTTTTCACTCATCATTTAACCTCGCGGTCGGTAGGCTGGACGCCCGAAGGGTGGTCGGCCCAGAACAGTTCGTAGATGCGTTCGGAAAGCTCTTCGCACAACACCAGTCCGGCGGCCACCTCGGTCTCGCTCTCTTCGTCCTCGTAGAAATTGGTATGCAGTGACCGGGCACTCCTGAAAGCGTTGTTGATCCATGCCTGCGTTTGCTCGTCTCCGGACTCGCCCACCAACTGGCTCAACTCGCGGAGCACGTACCAGATGGAACGGTGAGCGTGGATGATCCCTCCGTGATGAGCGCTGACGGCCTTGATGGTCTCCGCGACCAAACCCCAAGCCTTGCCAGAGGCTTGGGGCAGATCGCCGTCAACATTGAGGTGACGCGAGGCGCTGGCGCGGAAATCTGCGCTCAATTGAGCGTATTTAACCGGCGACCTGCCACCGTCTCCCGGTTGGGCCGGGTCTCTCGCGTCAGCCAAACCGCGCGCCACGGCGGCTGCGATTTCTCTCTCGCCGAAAGCCACGGAGTTCAACGTGGTCAGTCGCCGACCGCTTCGGCGGTGGTGGACTTGAGGCGCTCGGGCCACCACGGGTCATCGTATTCGTTGAACATGCCCTTGATGTGGGGCATGACCTCGTTGGCGAACAGGTCGGTGTTCTTGCGGACCAGCTCGGGGGGCATGCTGCCGATCTGGAGGAGGACCATCAGGTGGCCGACGCGCAGCAGATCGCACGCCTCTTCCAGCTTGCGGCGGACGGTCTCCGGGCTGCCGCCGATGACGTGGCCCTGTTCGATGTAGTCCTTCCAGGTGTTCTCCTGGGCGGTGCGTTGGGCTTCTTCACCCATCTGCGGACGCAGGGACTTGCGGATGGACTCGAGGGACCGATAGCCGGGGGACTCGGCGAAGGGCGGGTACACGCGAAGCATCTTTTCGTAGAAATACTTGACGTGCTGCTCGTAGTCCTGCTCCGCCTGCTCGTCGGTCTCGGAGACGCATACCAACTGCAGGAAGCCGAGGCGATGCGGGTTGTCGTCCATGCCGCGCTCGGCGACGCGCTCCCAGTATCCCTTGACGATGTTGTGGCCGCGGAGGTAGCCGTAGTAGGACAGGTAGCAATAGACGTAGTCGCGGTCCAGAACCCAGTCCCAGGTTTCCAGGCTGCCGGAGCCGGGGATCCAGACCGGCGGATGCGGCTCCTGCATCGGCCGCGGCCAGATGCTGATGTAGCGCAGTTTGTTGTACTTGCCGTTGAAGATGGTGGGCTGGTGCTGGGTCCAGGCCTGCATGATGACGTCGTGGGCCTCGGTGTGGCGGTCACGCAGGGTGATTGGGACCTGGCCGTAGGAGAAGGTGGTGTCCATGGCGGTGCCCACGGGGAAGCCGGCGACGAGGCGACCGCCGGACAGGACGTCCAGCATGGCCATCTCTTCGGCGACGCGCAGGGGCGGGTTGTAGAGGGCGAGGCTGTTGCCCAGCACGATCACCGCGCCGTTATTGGTGGAGTTGGCGAGCACCGAGGCGATCAGGTTCGGCGACGGCATGATGCCATAGGCGTTGTTGTGATGCTCGTTAACGCAGATCCCGTCGAAACCGACCTCGTCGGCGTAGCGGAGTTGGTCGATGTACTGGGCGTAATACTCGTTGCCCTTGGCGGGGTCGAAGTTTTCATTGGGCAGATCGACCCAAGCCGAGTGGTGCTGCTGGGCGAAATCATCCGGCAGGTCCTGGTAGGGCATCAGGTGGAAGAAAGAGACTTTCATGGCAGGTTACCTCGGCGACACGTGGGCCGTCGCAATCGAATGAGCGGATTTTAGCATGGCGACGTTGGCGGATCGGGCCCGGGGCCGGGCCCGATCCGCGGGAAGCGCTACGGATCGATCAGTCGGTGAGCCAGGACTTTACGGCGGTAATGAAGTCGGACGGGTTGTCCTCAAACACCATGTGGCCGGCGCGTTCGATGTTGACCATGCTGCCCTGGGCCAGGGTGTCCACCATGCGGTCGGCGGTATCCTGGGTGAGCAGGTCGGTTTCCGTGCCGCGAACCACCAGGGTAGGGCAGGTGATGTTTTCCAGCGCGGGCCAGAGGTCAGCGGCGGGAGCGGCGGTGCCGTTGATGCGCTGCTCGCGGATGGCGGGGTCGAATTTCCAATCGATCTTGCCGTCGGGTAGTTGCCGGGTCTGTCCCGCGAGGCGGCGGCGCATGACGGGTTCCGACGCGAAGCGGTTCGCCGCCTGGACGTGGGCCAGCGCGTCCTCGAAGTTATCGAATCCAGGCGGGAGTCCGCGCAGTTCTTCGGTGATGCGGTTGCCGCCGGTGGGTTCGATGCGCGGGCCGATGTCCACGATGCAAAGGCGTTCCAGCCTTTCGGGATGGGCACCGGCGAAAGCCAGGCTGTTGCGGCCGCCCATGGAGTGGCCGAAGAGGACAAACTTTTCCAGGCCGATGGCATTGACGAAACCGAGCAGGTCGGCGACGAAAGCATCGCCGGAATAGTCGCCGCCCGGAGCATGGTCGGTGTCGCCGCGCCCGCGCTGGTCGACGGCATAGACGTGATAGTCGCCGCACAGGCATTCCGCGACGTCGTCCCAAACGTGGGCGTGCCCGCGCAGGCCGTGCAGGAGGACGAGCGGAGGATTGCCCTCGGCGCCCCAGTCGAGATAATGCAGGTTGATGCCGTTGGCGGTGACGGTCCGGCTCTTGGGTTGTACTTGGGTGGTCATGTCAATTCTCCTCGCTAATTCTTGGAGCGTGAAAACAGGGAACCGATGGGTCCGAAAACTGAGCGTTGGAAGCTGAATGTGGCCGTAGGCGTGTGATCAGAGACGACAAATCCTGGCGGAGGGGTGAACAGATCGGGATGACTCTCGCGCAACTCGGCAGCTACGTTCGGATGTATCCCCGTAGTCCGGTACAAAGAGCGCGCTTCACTCAATTGCCCTGCGGTATAGCCAGTGGCGAATTTCAAGTCAGCGTTAGTCAGGTCCGCGCCGTCGAAATTCACGCCGTCCAGTTTGCTATGGCGTAGGTTAGAGGAAACAAGTTTAGCGTTGGACAGATTGGCCTCGATGAGATCCGAAGCGACCAGTTGCGCATTGGTCAGGTCGGCTTCCTGTAGCAAGGCCTGGTATAGGTTCGCGTTGTTGATCGACGAATTTCGGAACACGACTCGTTGCAAATCGGACTGAACGAACCGACTATTGCTGAAATCCAGATTGTCCAGCAACTTGCCCTGCAAGTTCTCACGACTGAGTTCGCGGCCCATCTTCCGCATTTTGGTCATAGTAAACACCTCCATCCCGGGTGTCTTGATTCAGCATCCGGGTGGTGATATCCCACTCATCTCTATCTTCGTCCTGGTCAAGCGATTTGGAATGGGCATCCACCAAGTCGAACACTGTCCGACGGTAATCCGACGCATCCCGCGCAATGTGGTGTAATTGGTGAAGGCTGCCTATCCTGATAACTTTTTGCTCGCTGCCCAAGTTGACGATGGCGGAGTTCAGTCGTTCGGTGATATTGCCCAATGCCGTCAACTCGGTGGTGCGCTCCGCCGACGTTGCGCGACGGTTGGCGACGTGTATTTGCCAGATTAGTAGAAGACCGCCGACTGACAGCAGATACACTCGCACTATATCAAGTTTTTCACTCGCAGGCAGTCCCACATATCCGGTGACCGCGTCCAACTTCCACCACAAAATACATAACCCCGCCACGGCCAGCGCGCCGACGACCGCCACCGGCAGCGCCAGTCGTAAAGTTGTTCCCCATTTTGACGACATCGAAGGTTAGCCGTCGCATGGTGAAGCGCTCTACTTGAGCTGCCAATTGGGGCGGCGCTTTTCGGCGAAGGCGCGCGGGCCTTCTTTGCTGTCCTGCGTGGTGAGGATGTAGTCGTAGGCCACGTAGGTCTTGGCGCTGATTTCGGCAATGGACATGTCGAGGCTGCTGTAGGCGAGGTCCTTGATGGTCCGAACCGCCAAGGGCGCGTTCTGCGCGATGCTCTCGGCCATTTTGACGGCTTCGGGCACGAGTTCGTCGGCGGGAACCACCTTGTTGAGGAAGCCCATTTCCCGGACCCGTTCGGCAGGGCAGGAGGTCGGCGGTCATGACGAGTTCCAGGACGTTGGAGATGCCGATCATCTTGGTGAGCTCGACGGCGAAGGGCGGCATCAGGCTCCACTTGGTCTCGGTGATGCCGAGTCGGGCGTTGTCGGCCGCCAGGCGAACATCGCACATCTGGGCGATGGACCAACCGCCGGCAGCGGCGGCGCCGTTGACCGCGGCGACCAGGGGTTTGGCTGGCCGCTCCCACATGTGGGGCTTGTTGGGCGACATGCTGTTTTCGGCGCGCGCCTGCACGCCTTCGGCGTTGTCGGAGGCACGCTCTTTCAGGTCTCGACCGGAGCAGAAGTTTCGGCCGGAGCCGGTGACCACGGCCACCCAGGCTTCATCATCCTCATTGTCGAAGTGGTTGATGACCTCCTGCAGCTCGCGCCGGAGTTGCCGGTTGATGGCGTTGGACGACTCGGGCCGGTTGAGCGTTATGACCGCCACGTGGTTGTCGGTCCCGGTCTTTTCGTAGAGGACGGTTTCAGGCATAACGGCGAAGTCTCCTTCGGTTGGGGGATTCTAGGGATTGGGGTTTTCTTGGGATCACACGGGCATCAGGCGTAGTGGCCCAGGAACTGACCGCCGATGACGTGCACGTGGCCGTGGGACTGGCTCTGCAAACCATCGTAGCCAAAGTTGGACAGGATCCGGAACCCGTTGGGGCAGTACATGCAGCCGAGGGTTGCCGCCACGTCACCCAGGCGGGTCATGATCCCGCTGCTCCACATTTCGAGTTGGGACATGTGGCGGCGTGGCATGACGAGCAACATTACCGGAACCCACGTCAGGCGGTTGACGATGGCGATCAGGTCGTTGTCGAGATAACGGATACGGGCCGGTTCGCGTCCAGCGACGATTTCACAGAATACGCAGTTGGTGGGTTCAGAGCTCATGTGAGTGTCTAGAAAGGTCCTCGGAAATGCGCAGTTGGGTGGTCAGCGTGCGTTGGGGTGACGTTGGTCCAGTTCGCCTGATTACTATACGTATTGCGTGTTTGCAGTGTCAACGAGGGAGGTGGTGGCGCCGGCTGCGCGTGGCGGCTGATGCGCCCGGGGCGTGTGGTATCATTGCGCCCGTTACACCCTCGTACACCACCTGTGCCCATCCGTGACATGTACCGTCTGGCAATTCTGACCATCAGCAGCTCGGGCGCCCGAGGGGAGCGCGAGGATACCGGCGGACAGGCGATACGCGACAAGCTGCCCCCTCCAGATTATGAGGAAGTGCGCTACGAAGTGGTGGCGGACGACGCGGACACGATCACCGGCAGGATCAGCGAGTGGGCCGATTCCGGAGAGGTGGACCTGATCGTCAGCACGGGCGGGACCGGGATGGGTCGGCGGGATGTTACTCCTGAAGCCGCCGTGCGGGCCATGGACCGGGAAGTGCCGGGGATGGCCGAGACGATGCGGGCGCAGACGCTGAAGTTCACGCCCATGGCGATGTTGAGCCGTTCGGTGGTGGGCATTCGGGGACAGACGCTGATCATCACGCTGCCGGGGAGCCCTCGCGGCGTGGGCGAGTGTCTCGACGTCGTCCTGCCGGTGCTGCCGCACGCCATCGAACTCCTGCAGCGCGAGTCGGTGCAGGAACACCCGCGCTAATCGCAGATCGCCAATCCATAGATCATCCATCCGTAGTTCATCATCCGCCAACGTTGCATCAACCGGAGACCACCGCAAAATGAGCACCGACGCCCAAACGAACGAAGCCGCTCCCGTCTACTGGCCACGGGTCAAAGAACTGCTGGACGTGATCATGGAACGCTGGATCGAGCGGCACGGAAGGCAACCTTACCCCGGCATACACGAATACTGGTGGGAGACGCCGGAGGAGTTGGCCGCGTCGGTGTTGAACGGTTTTCCGTCGATTGAGCCGGGGGTGCCTGGAGTGGACACGCATCTGGTGCGTTCGCTTCGCCTGGGTTGCGGGACCTTCGGCCGGATGCCGCTGCGAGGTCCGTTCCTGTCGCGCGCGGAGGCTGCGGAGGTCGCCGCCTGGATCGACGCCGGGATGCCGAAAGGTCCAGAGGACTGATCTCAAGTCGTCGACTATGTCGGCGTGTTCCGCCAGAACGGGAGACACGCCACAGATAAAAATAGGGGCGAATGATCATTCGCCCCTACTGATCAGGAATTGCCGTTCGCTGCTAGAGCAGTACGGGCTCCTTTTCCTTCTGGTAGACCTGGATGCGGCCACGGGTGTGGTCGAGGATCGCGATCTGGCCGGAAGAGGTTACGCGCACCGCGCACGGGTTGGCAAAAATCTTTTCGAAGGTGCCGCTGTCGTGCGTGATGGCCATGGTCCGCTGGCGGATCATGTCGGGGTTGGAGTTGAGCTTGCTCTTGCCCCAATCCGAGATCTGGTGGTCACCCTTCAGCTGGGCGCGGAAGCGTCCGTCGGGGGCCAGGATCTGCACGCGGTCGTTCTCGCGGTCGCAGACGTAGATGTCGCCATCGTTGTCGACGAACACAGCGTTGGGCCGCTTGAACTGGCCAGGGCCGTCGCCGCTGGTTCCGTAGCTGGCCTGCCACTCACCGGCCTGGGTGAACACCTGGATGCGGTCGTTGCGCCAGTCGGCGACGTAGACGAGGCCGTCCTGGTCCAGGCAGATGCCCCAAGGCATATTGAACTGGCCGTCGCCGGAGCCGGTTTCACCAAACTGGCTCTTGAAAGAGCCGTCGAGGCCGTAGCTCTGGATCCGGTTATTCTTGCTGTCCACGACCCACATGGTGTCGCCGACAATGGCGATGCCGGACGGGGCGTTGAACTGGCCGGGGCCGCTGCCCGCCTCGCCCCAATGGGACACGTAGTCGCCGTCTTCGGTGTAGATGGTGATGCGGTTGAGCCACTCGTCGGCGACGTACAGCTTGTTGTCGCCGTCCAGGGCGCAAGACGTGGGCCAGTACATGTCGCCCGGCGCCTCGCCGAACTGGCTGAACTCGCTCACGTAGTCTTCATCCAGCGTGGCGACGGTGACGTGCACGCCGTCGGGCCGGTTTTCGTACGAGCGGTTCAGGATGTAGACCTTGCCTTCCTGGTCGATAGCCATGTCCACAGGGTTGCGGAAACCGGTTCCGTTGAACTCGTTGCGGCCCACGGAATGGCTATAGGTGAAAGCAGTGTCCACGAGGCCAAACAGATGGGTACTCATAGACTTCCCTCTCTTGTCGGTGGTCAGTTGTCAGGATAGGGCGGAGGATTGGCCCGCAGGCGAGGACCCTCCGCCCCGATTGGCGCGATACCGTTGGCCTACAGGAAGGGAACCTTCTCGAAGACGCCGCGGTTGATGGGGTTGGAGTCGAGACCCATCCAGTCTTCCAGGATGGTCGAGTAGACCTGGCGGAAGTCCATGTTGGCCCTGAGGTTGCCGCCCTCTTCCTGATCGGCCGGAGCCAGGGAAGGATAGACGCCGTAGATGCCGCCCTTGACCTTTTCGCCGACGGCGAAAGCTACGGAGCCGGCGCCGTGGTCAGTGCCGGAGCCGTTGTCACCGATGCGGCGACCGAACTCGGAAAACATGAACGTGATGACGTTGTCACTGGCGTCGTGCTCCCGCAGGTCGGTGATGAAGGTGTCAACGTTGGCGGACACGTCAGTCCACAGGCTGCTATGCAGCTGGGACTGGTTGGCATGGGTGTCGAAACCGTTGTAGGGGCTGGTGGTGAAGAGCACGCGGGTACCCAGGTCAGCCAGATGGGTCTGGGCGATGTTCCTCATGTACTGGCCGACGGTGGTGCTGGAGTACTCCACGTTGGAGGTGTACTTCGGCGGCGCGGTGGCCAGGATGTCAGCGCCGATGCGGGCGTAGGTGCCCGTGGAGCGCAGGTAGTCGTTGACGAAACCCTGCCCGACGGTGGGAGCGTAGATCTTGCTGAAGAGATCCAGGGCCTCGGCGCGCTGGTCATCACCTTCGATGCCGGTGAGCAGGCCGTAGGTCTCGAGGTTGCCGACGGAGGCGACGGGCACGCCTTCCTTGGCGAGGGCGCGGGGGAGGCCGCGGCCGAAGTTGACGCCAGTGAGGCCTTGGCCTTCGTTCTTCGGGTCCAGCTCTTGGATCACCTGGCCCAGCCAGCCTTCGGTCCCGATGGTGTCGGGCTCGCAGGTGTGCCAGATGTCCATGCTGCGGAAGTGGCTGTACGAGGGGTTGGCGTAGCCGATGCCGAGGAAGACGGCGAGCTTGCCCTCATCCCAATACTTCTTCAGAGGAAGCATGGTGGGGTGCATGCCGATTTCGCCATTCAGGTCGATGACCGATTCGGCAGCCACGCCCAGGTTCGGGCGAAAGTCGCGGTAGTGGCCGTCGTTGTAAGGAATGACGGTGTTCAGGCCGTCGTTCCCGCCGGACAGCGAGAGCACCACCAGAACGTTGTCTTTGTTGGTAGAGACCATTTGACAGTCCTCCATTTGGTGTATCTGGTCGTAGTGATGGTAGTTGGCCGGTCCGACGCCGGATTTAGCAGGCACTGGGCCGGCCAACAGCAGGATGCTTCGCTGATTACTCGAACTGGAACTCCGAGGTCGAAGCGATGATCTGGAACATCTCGCCGGAGCGGCGGGTGAACTCGGCACGCTCAGCGTCGGTGCCGTGGGTCAGGTCGCCGCCACGGCCGGCGTGGGTGACCAACTGCTCACGGGTGTCGTCGCTGAGGTTGAGGCAGCCGACCAGGTCAGCACAGCTATCGACGAACTGCTCGGGGGTCAGGCTGTCACCCTGGCCAATCAGCCGGGAGATCATGCTCTGGACGCCGGGGAGCTCGGTCCGGCCCAGGTAGTCGGCGGCGAAGTTGATGCGCTCGACCAGGGTACCGGAGTCGATCCACTCGTGGCCGGTGTGCCAGCCTTCGACGGTGGGCGGGTTCATGAGGTCCATGCCCATGTACTTGGGCTCCTGGCTGAGTTCAAACATGCCAGGCTTGATCTCGTCGCGGTGATCGCCAACCATGCGAAGGGTTCCGGCGACCATCTCGGCCGGGTTCTTCACCTTGGCGTAGCGGGCGTTCTTGAACGCGTCGGAGTTGAACAGGGTGCGGAGCATCTCGGTGACGTTGTAGTCGTTGTCGAAGTACGCCTGCTCCAGATCGGACAGAAGCGTCTCGTCCTTAGGCGGTGTCTGCCGCCAGCTGGGAACGGGAACCTCGTCGGCGACGAAGTAGTTGTACAGGTGCCGGGAGATGAACCGAGCGGTGGCCCGGTGGGCGGCGATCATATTCAGGATGTCGTCGCCGTTCCAGTTGCCGGTCTGACCGAGGAAGGTCTTCTCGGAGGCGTCGTGGTCGGCCGGGTCAAACCGGAATTCCCAGGGGCTACGGCCGTAGGGGAACGGAGGATACGGAGGGGCGATGTTCCAACCGGTGAAGGCGCGCGCCGTGGTCTTGACGTCGTCCTCGGAGTAGTTGAAGTCGCCGTTCATGCCAACGCCCATGGAAAACAGTTCGAGCAGCTCGCGGCCATAGTTCTCGTTGATGGCGGCCTTGTGGCTCTCGCTGTTGTCCAGGTAGTAGACCATGGCGGGGCTGGTGGACAATTCCATCAACAGTTCCTGGAAGCTGCCCATGCCCCGGTCCCGGAACATCTGGACCATGCGGCCCATTTCCTCGCCGGAGTCGATCTTGGAGTGGCCAGCGCAGAAGATCATGTGCCAGAAGAGAGCCATCTTCTCTTTGAGCTGGTACTCGGTGTTGACCATGCGATACACCCAGTTCTGGATGTTGATCTCGATGGCGCCCGGGTGGTTGTAGGTGGGGTGATAGCGCAGCATCAGGTCGTCTTCAACGCCCGAGGTGTTGCCGGGGTTCAGCAATTCCTCCACCACGGTGTCATAGCCCTTCGCAGCGGCGGTTTCGATCTCGTCACGGCTGGCGTTGAAGCCGGCCCGGCGGAGAAGGTGCGCCATCAGTGCGACGTCGTTGCTTCCTGCCATTGTTTCCTCCTTTGGTGTACCTTGGGGACGGGGTCCCGATCGGCCGATTCTTTGTGGTTCAAATATACCGCAAGTACAAACGTACCGGCAATACGGAACGGTTTGATCCGCCGTCCCTATCGCGGAACGATTATCAGTTTAGAATCGTATCGCCGGAAGGGTCGAATGTCAATAAGTTTACGATTGAACGTGGCGCGCATTCGCACCGGTTATCCTGATCCGGGAGCCGTCCACCGGCGGCACGCGGCGAGGGTTGCCGGCCAGTTTAGCCGAGGCGAAAACGCTTGAACACTTCGGCATATTCCACGCCAATTCTGGGACCGTCGCGGCGGCGCCATTCGCGCAGGTGATGGTCGGCACCGGCGTGGTCCACCTGGCTGCGGTGGGCGCGGAGGGCGGCGACGGCCGTTTCCATGTGATCGGTGACGTCCACGAAGTGATCGGGACTGGTACGGCCCATAACCCAGATCTCGCGCACCTTGTGGGGTTCCAGGCCTTCGTCGGCGATGAGCTCGGGGAAGGTGAGCGGATCGCGCGCCGACGGGTAAACGGCGCCCATGGCAGCGTCACCGGACGCGAAATGATCGGGGTGATCGATGTAACCGGCGCCGTCGAGGTTGCGAACGGGGTTCATGCAGACCAGCACGTCGGGACGGTGCTGGCGGATCTGCCTGGTGATGGCCTTGCGCAGCTCCAGGTTGGATTGCAGGTAGGCATCGGGAAAGCCCAGGAAGACCACCTCCGACAGGCCGAGGACGCGGCCGGCCTCCTCCTGCTCGGCGCGGCGGGATGCGATGACCTCTTGCGCGGAAACGGCCGGGTCGGAGGTGCCCTTGCTGCCGTCGGTGCAGATCACGTAAACGACGTGCATGCCCTCGTCGCACCAGCGAGCCACCGTCCCGGAACAGCCCCACTCGGCATCGTCCGCGTGGGCGACCACGACCATGGCGCGGTGGAAATCTTCGTTATTGCTGTCGGTCAAAATCGCACCACCTGCGGAGGACCCGGGGTACACGAACGGGTTCGAGGCTCAGAGGTGAGCCGGCGCCGCGGCGTCTCCGGCGGCGCCCGTATCACGAACTCGGGTCATTATGTGAAGGGTGAAACCCAACCCGGCACCGATCAAGGCCGCGCCGGAGGCCATTGCGAAAGACCATCTCAGCGTGCCGGTGGCGTCGGCGATTGGGCCGGATATTGCGGGAGAGATTGTACCCCCGATGCCCGCTCCCATGCCCATCAATCCGAATGCGGCCGGGGCCATAAAAACGGGCACAAAGTCGCCGGCCGCGGCCGCGCAGATGGTGTATGTCGCGCGCAGGGCCAACCCCGCCAACACCGAAGCGATGATGAAAAAGACCAATTCAGGCATCAACCAGAACAGGGCGTGGCAGGCGACTTCGATCAGGAACGTCGCACCGAACGCCAGACCGCGGCCAACCCGGTCGGACAGCGCGCCGGCTCCGACGCCGCTGCCGATGCTGAGAATGCCGATGAGCATGAACAGCGCGCCCACCACCGCCACATCCGTTCCGTGTTCGACCTCCAGGTAGGCGCCGTAGCTGGAGGTGAGGATGCCGTGCACGAACCCGGAGCAAAACGCCATGCCGGTGATGAGCCAAACGTAGGGATTGGTGTAGACCTGGACCGGCCAGCCGGCGGGGCCGCTGCGGGTTGGGTGCTGCCGCGCAGTTGCGACTGCCGGCGGCCCGGCCGACGACTGGGACCACGGCGGGCGGCGCTCCCCGAATGAAGCCGACGCATACCAACCCGATCAGGACACTGGTCACGGCCAGCACGTACCAGGTGTATCTCCAGGCCTCGTCACCGAACACGCCGGTGAGCGGCGGGACAATGACGCCGGTGAAAATTATCGCCAGGCTGCCTCCCGAGGCGGCGATGCCGGCAGCAACACCGCGGTCGTTGATGCGGAACCAGGGAGCCAGCATCCCCATCATGGGAGTCAGGGCGGCGCCTGACGAAACACCCACGGCAACCATGGCCATCAGGGCTACCCAATAGCTGGGCGACCAGCCCAAGAGGGCCATCGACGCGGCCTGCACGAAAATGCTGGCGATAACCATCCACCGCCCGCCGTAACGCGAGGCGGCCGCGCCTGACAGCAAGCCGGACACGACGCGGGAGATCGACAGGGCCACCACGAGCACGAATACCGTGGTGTAGGACAGCTCGAAGGTGCTCTTCATCCCCGGGATGGTGAGCGCCTGAACGTAGAGGGAAAAGCTGGTGATCAGGTTGACCGCCAGCGATACGGCCAGGATCACGGCCGCATAGGTGCGCAGCCAGTGGGGAATCAGGGCAGCGGGGATGAATGCCATCGGCGGATCGACAAGGACGGGAGGGCAGCGACGGGGTGCGGGACGTGGGTTGCGGAATGATAGCACAGGGGCGGCGCGACCCTCGTTCCCGATACCGGGCCGGCTGATAAAATAGATTGTGTATATCGGCTCCGGCAGCACGGTGCTGCGGCGACGATGGATCTAGATGGGTCGGCGGAGGGACACAGGACTGCCATGGATGACGACGTTTTCGTCGCGCGGGTGGAAGACGGGTTGGAGCGCGTCACGAACAGGAATGTGGAGCTCCGGGTGAACGAAGACGAGCCAACTTACCTTGAGGTCGGCCTAGACGGTCTGGCACCGCGGGTGGCGCTGGCGCGTGACCAAGGCCGGATCACGGTGTGACGATGGATCCGCGGGCGGGGGAAACCGAGCAGCCGGAAACGGCGAACGAAGGGCAGGGAGCGCCGGCCTACGAGCCCCTGCCGCCACCGCCGCCGGTTCCACCGGAGGCGCTCAAACCCTGGTACTACCAGGGCTGGTTCCTGGTGCCGACCTTCGTTTGGTGGCCGTGCACGGCAATCCTTTTCATACGGTCGCCCTGGCATAACGGCGTGGTCAGCGGGGCACTGTCGTGGGCGTGGATCATCGTGGGCGGCGGGTTCATTTTCCTGCGGTTGCAATACCACTGGCAGAAACGGCGAGCCGGCCATCGTGGATCCCACCCTGTGGGCGCTGGCAGCGCCGGGGATCGTGCTGACGGTGATCACGCAAACGCTGTGGCTGACGCGCGACCGCCCGCGTATTCGGCGCATCCGAAACACCGGCGGGTTTGCGGCCTACGAGGATGAGGCCAATGATGGGTCGACCAGGGCTGCGATCCAATCCGCCCCCCCGGAGAGGCGCCGGCGGGCGAACCGGGGCGGCGTCCGCAGCCGGCGACGACGGCGATGAGGACCGGACGCCGGAGAGGTCAGGCGGCGGCGGCACCCACTCGGCAGACCTTCGACCAGGCCCTGAACCATCTCGACGCGCTCGTCGGTGGTTGAGAATGCCATCCCCATGGGGGTGATGCCGATATATTTGGACTTGCTGGCGTCGATGTCGGTACCGTCACCGCCGGCCAGGACCGGGCGATTGCGCGAGATCCAGTAGCGGCGGTGGCCGAAGGACTCCTCGGAACGCACGGATTCGCCGTAGGCTCGCCCGCCCAGACGGGTAACCTTGACGCCAGCGATCTGGTCCGCGGGCTCGTTCGGAACGTTGACGTTGAGGAAATAGGCCGGGGAGACCTCGGGGGCGTCGGCCAGCCGGCGGGCCAGATGCGCTACCACCTGCGCCGCGAGCTGGTACCGGGGGGCCTGGACGGATCCCACCGAGATGGCGATGGTCGGGTAGCCGCGAACCCAGCCTTGCACCGCCGCCCCCACGGTGCCGGAAACGATCACGTCCCAGCCCAGGTTGGAACCGCGGTTGATGCCGCTGACCACGAGGTCGGGTTTGGGGGTGACCAGGTTTTCGAGAGCCAGGATGCAGGCGTCGGCCGGGGTGCCCTGGACCGCCCATGCGGTAATGGGATGGAGCGGCGCGAGCGTGGCATCCGGAGCCGGTACGCGCACGGCGTCGGCGCTGCGGGGCGGCGTATCGTCGCCGGGGGCAAACTCGGCCAGGTACTGTTCGGCCGGCACGGAGTGGACGAACAGGGGGGAGTGCAGGGTCATGGACGCGCCCACGCCGGACTGTTCGCGGTCGGGCGCGACCACTGCGACCTCGCCGACTTCGGCCAGAGTGCGCGCCGCCGCCCAGATACCGGAAGCGTGAATACCATCATCATTCGTGAGCAGGATTTTCAAAAGATAGCCTCTACGTTCAATACGGGCCGATCATACTCGAGGTCGCAGCGGAAGGTCAGGAAGCCAGTGACATCAAACTGGCCGCCGTAGCGTTTACGGCGGCCAGTCCAATTGCCGGATTATCCCAACAACCTAGTGGTGCGCCAGGCTGATGGCGTGGAGGAGGGCGTGCTTGACCTCCACGGGAGCGACGCCGGAACGGAACTCCGCGGAGGCGAACACATCGCCGATTATGTCCACTCCGGAGAGATCCTCACTGAGCCGCGCCGTCGCATCGCCGATGCTGGACGCGGTGAGCGTCGTGCCGGACAGAGCCTGTTCCACGGCCACTGCCTTCACGGGACGCGGGGTCAACCCGCCCACAGCCACGGAAGCGGCGGTGCAGCGGTCACCGTCCATGGTTACGACCACGGCGCCACCGACGACGGCGTAGAAACTGGCCGGGTGGGACATCTTGGCGTACTCGGCGCGCTGATTAGCGGCCACGGTCGGCACGCTCACCGTGGTGATGAGCTCATCTTCGCCCAGAACGGTGGTAAATGCGTCCTCGATGAGGTCGGCCACGGCGATGTTCCGGCTTCCCGTGGGTCCCTGCGCCGAGACGCTGGCGCCCAATGCCGTGAGCACGGTGGCCCAATCGGACGCCGGGTCGGCGTGGGCGAGGTTGCCGCCGATGGTGCCTCGGTTCCGGACGGCCGGATCGCCGATGCCGCTGGCAGCCTCGGCCAACATACCGTTGGAGCGCTGAACGTCGGCGGACGCAGCGATCTCAGCGTGGGTGGTCAACGCACCGATGTTGATGGTGTTGCCGGTCACCGTGATACCACGCAGGTTGGCGATGCCGCCGATGTCGATGACGATCTCGGGGCGGGCCAGCCGGAAACGCATGAGCGGGATGAGGCTGTGGCCACCGGCCAGGAGTTTGGCTCCCGGGTTTTCGGATAGCAACTGCACCGCTTCCGCGATGGAACCGGCCTTCCGGTATTCAAACTCTGCTGCAAACATTGCAATCAGTCCTCCTGTGCCGGCGCCGGTTAGTGATTGTGCCCATGACCATGGTCATGGCCGTGACCGCCGTGGTCATGTCCGTGCCCGTTGCCGCCGTAATCGCTGGCCTGGATCGCGCGCCAAACCTTTTCAGGCGTGAGCGGCATGTCCAGTCCGGTGATACCCAGGGGCTTGAGGGCGTCCATGACGGCGCTGTAGATGGCGGCGGTGGACGCGATGGTTCCGGTCTCACCGATGCCCTTCACGCCCAGGGGATTGTGCGGCGAGGGGGTGACGGTGGAATGGACTTCAATATCCGGCACCAGGTGAGCGCGCGGTATCGCATAGTCCATCATCGTTCCGGTGAGCAATTGCCCGTTGTCGTCGTAGACCGCGCCTTCCCAGAGGGCCTGGCCGGCTCCTTGTACGACGCCACCGTGAACCTGGCCTTCGACGATCATGGGATTGATCTGCGGGCCACAGTCGTCGACGGCGACGTAGCGATCGAGGGTGATGTGACCGTTATCCGGGTCAATACTCACGATCGCCGCGTGGGCTCCGAATGGGTAGCTGAAGTTGGGCGGGTCGTAGTAGGTGCTGGCTTCCATCCCGGGCTCGATGCCGGCGGGAAGGTTCCAGGCCACGTTGGCCTGAAGGGCGACGTCCTGGATGCTCTGGGAGCGATCACGGGCGCCGCGCACGAAGAACTGGCCGTCCTCGTACTCGATGTCGGCCTCGTCGGCTTCCAAAAGGTGCGCCGCGATGATCCGTGCCTTGTCGCGGAGTTTGCGCATGGTGAGGGCGACCGCGGCGCCACCGACCACGGTGGTCCGGCTGCCGTAGGTTCCCCAGCCCATGGGAGTGATGTCGGTGTCGCCGTGGATCACTTCCACATCATCGACATCAACGCCGATCTCGTCGGCGACGATCTGGGCGAAGGTGGTTTCCTCGCCCTGTCCGTGGGGAGAGGTGCCGATGAAGACGTTGACCTTGCCGGTGGCATAGATGCGCACGGTCGCGCTTTCCCAGAGGCCGCCGCCGAAACCGACCGCGCCGGCCACCTGTGAGGGTCCCAACCCGCAGATCTCGCAGTAGCAGGCGACGCCGATGCCCCGAAGGGTACCGCGTTCGCGCTCGTGGGTCTGGTCATGGCGGAACTGATCGTATCCGATGTGGCCGAGGAGTTGGTCCAGGGCCGCGGTGTAGTTGCCGCTATCGTAGGTGATGCCGATGGCGACATCGCGGTTGTTGTCGAAGGGCTCGATCAGGTTGCGGCGGCGCACTTCGACAGTGTCGATGCCGACGGCTTCGCCGACCTTGTCCATCAGGCGTTCCAACAGGAACGTGGCCTCGGGGCGGCCAGCGCCGCGGTAGGCTTCGACGGGGGTGGAGTTGGTGAACACGCCGTAGATGTCGGCCTTGATGTTGGCGATGTCGTAAGGGCCGGAGTACATCAGGCCGTGGAGGATCGTCGGGATGCCGGGCGCGGCGGTGGACAGGTAGGCGCCCATGCCGGCGTAAACCACGCTGCGGACGGCGCTGACCTTGCCGTTGGCGTCGGCCGCCATCTCCACGTATTCGACGTGGTCGCGGCCGTGGGTGGTGGCGATGTAGTTCTCGGAGCGGGTCTCAGTCCACTTGACGGGGACGCCGAGCTTCATGGAGCAGAAGGCGGCGATCATTTCCCAAGGGTAGACCGCAATCTTGGCGCCGAAACCGCCGCCCACCTCGGGGGCGATCACCCTGATCTTGTGCTCCGCGATCCCGGTGACCAAGCAGGTGATGAACCGGGCGATGTGCGGGTTCTGGGTGGTGTTCCATAGCGTCAGTTCGCCCATGGCAGACGCCCACGAAGCAATGGCCGAGCGGGTTTCCATCGGAGTAGGGATGAGCTTCTGCTGGTTGATGGTCTCGCTGACCACGATGGCAGCATCGGCGAAAGCGGCGTCGGTGTCACCGCCGGCCGCTACCCAGTGGAACGCCTGGTTGTTGGGAGCGTCTTCGTGCAGTTGGGGAGCGCCGTCGGCCAACGCACCCTCCGGGTTGATGACGGAGGGAAGCGGAGCGTAGGAGACGTCGATCAACTCGAGGGCGTCCTCGGCCTGGTAGCGGTCTTCGGCCACCACCACGGCCACGGCGTCGCCGACATAACGCACGACTTCAGAGGCAATGGCGGGGTAGGCGACGGCTTTCAGGTCGGAGTCGGGAATGGCCCAGGCGCAGGGAATGGGGTTCAGCACGCCTTCAATGTCAGCGCCGGTGTAGACGGCGAGCACGCCGGGCGAGCCCTGAGCCGCGTCGGTGTTGATGCCGGTGATGCGGGCGTGGGCATGGGGGCTGCGCAGGATGGCCGCGTGGACCATGCCGGTCAGCTTGATATCGTCGGTGTAGGAGGCTTGGCCCGTGATCAGGCGGGGGTCCTCACGACGCCGAATGCCGGAACCGAATATACGGGTAGTCATAGCGTCAGCCTCCTTGCCCGGCAGCGGCGGCGGCCAGCGCGGCCTTGACGATGTTGTTGTAACCGGTGCAGCGGCACATGTTCCCTTCCAGTCCGGCGCGGACTTCGTCGGCCGACGGGTCGGGATTGCGCTCGATGATCTCGGTGACCGTCATGATCATGCCGGCGGTGCAGAAACCGCACTGGAGGCCGTGGTTGTTCCAGAAAGCTTCCTGCACGGCGGTGAGGTTCCCATCCTGGGCGATGCCCTCGATGGTGGTGACCTCGGCACCGTCGGCCTGCACGGCGAAGGCGGTGCAGGACTTAACGGTGATTCCGTTCATGCGAATGACGCACGCGCCGCACTGGCTGGTGTCGCAGCCGACCTTGGTGCCAGTCAAGTTCAGGGTCTCGCGGAGGAAATGGACCAGCAGGGTGCGGGGCTCCACTTCGGCGGAGCGGGAACGGCCATTCACGGTTACCGTGATGGGTACTTTATTCGGCAAAATACACCTCCTCTATCAGGAACAAACTGCCATACCGGCGGCGGCGAGGGTGGGGTAGTGAGCAGACACGCAATTACGGCCGCGAGCGGCGCCGGTGCGTTGGTGCGGCAGTATAGACGGCGGGCCGGCGGACGGTCAAATTGGGCGATGCGTAGCGTTTTCAGACATCGCTGCCAGGAGCGCACCGACGCGGCGACCCCGTCTTTGGCTCCGTCGGCGTGGCGAGCGCATCAAACGCAAACAGTTCGCTGACCGGCACCCCCAACCCAGCGGCCAAGGCTCGGATGCTGGAGAGGGATGGATTGCGGACGCCGCGTTCGATGCCAGATAAGTAAGTGACATGGATGCCGGCACGGTGGGATACTTCTTCCTGGGTTTCGTCTCGGCTCAGGCGGATTTGCCTAGCGTGACGACCGAAGGCGATTTGGTAACTCATCGCGGTTGCGCAGTTGGGCGATAATAGACGTTAAGTCTATAGACAATCGTCTATGGACACAGATTTGTCGGGCCGGGTTATGGTACCGCATTCCACTCCCAAAAAACCATGCAATGTTACCGTGCGAAATGGAGGACAGATGCCTAGTTACGTTGATGCGAATTTGATGTCAGGCGAACAGGTTGTGCACCGAGCGCGATTACACTGGGGCATTTTCGTTGGTCCCGCGATAATTCTTTTCATAGGACTAATTATCGCGCTTGTCGCGGGCGGCGCGATCGGCGGCGGAGGTGGAGCGTTCACCGCTTTGGTGATTTTAGTTCTGTTCGCAATCCCCATTATCAGAGCGACGATCAGGTACGTCACGACGGAATTCGCGGTTACGTCGCGGCGAGTCATCGTGAAGGCGGGATTTGTGAAAAGGACGACTCTGGAGCTGAACCACAACCGAGTCGAAGGTCTCAGTGTCAACCAAGGAATCATCGCCCGGGTGTTCAACGCGGGGACCATAACTGTACTCGGAACCGGAGGAACTAGACAAGGCGTACCGTTTATCCTTGCCCCCATGGAATTTCGGCGAAACGCGTTGGAGACCATCGACGCCGGACCTTAGTGCGCACGAAGCAGGCGCGACGATGCGCCAAGCGGCTCAGCTTGGATTAAAATCGTGGAGGTCTAGAAAAATGGCGACCAACGAAACTCCCGACCAGCCGGAGCAATCCGAAGAATTGCAACCACAACCAGCCGAACCTCAATCGGGTGGCGGGCAACAATCGGGCGGGGTATTCGGCATTCCCACCAAGTGGCTCGCGATCGGCGGTGGTGGCGGCGGCATCCTCCTGATCGTGATAATCGCGGTAGTGCTGTTCGTGCTGTTGGGCGGCGGCAACCCGCAGCCCACGTCCATACTGGACGTGGTTCCAGACGACGCTACGAGCGTGGTCCGCATAGACCTGCAACGTACATTGGCGAATGATTTGCTCGCCGACGATCTCGACTTTGAAGATATGCTGGACGCATTGGAGGATGAGTTAGGTATTAACCCCGATAACTTGTCCGAAATAGCCATTGCGGATTGGAATAACGGCGGGGTTGTTGTGCTGAAAGGCAATTTTGACCTTGACTACATAAGGGATGAATTGGATGATGCCGACGCAGCGGATAACCCTTACCGAGGCTATGAAGTGTGGGAGACCGAGTCCGGCGGCGCGGCTGCACTGCTTGAAGGATATCTCGTTACCTCTAGCAGCTCAGTCAGGTCAGTGGAGAACGTGCTCAAGGATCTGTACAACGGTTCCGGTTCGTTGGAACAGGCTGACGAAGACCATGAGATGAAACAAATCCTCGACAAGCTTAGCAACGGCTATATTGTGGCCGCTGCAACTGGCGATTCCTGCCAGGTAGATCGCTGCGAGGGATATGGGTGGGTTGCCACTGAGGTCGATGAGGATGATGACGAGGTTACCCTTGAAATTGCGCTCTTATTCCGCAACGAGAGGGCGGCGGAAAGTGCGGCCGAAGATTATGACGAGGTGGCCAATTTCCTGGAGCGTACAGAAAGCATTGAAATCGAGGATACCGAGGTCGAGGGTAGGTTTGTGGTGGGCATTGCCATTGATAGTTTGGAGGAAGAGGACACCCGTTCAAACCGGTCCAGCGATCAAACGCAAGAGACGCCGGCTAATACGCCATCACCTGTAATGGCACAGTCAACGGCGACCGCGCCGGAGTCAGCTGCGGCGGTGGCGACTTCCACACCACGCCCAGCGCCTACTGCGACACCCGTTCCGCAACTGAAACCGACGTCGGTATTCAGTCTGATACCGGAGAATGCCAACAATGTATTGTGGGTTAACTGGGCACAAACATTGGACGGCAGCTATTTGCCCGACAAGATAGAACGCCAAGTTTTTAGTACCATGGATATTTTCCGGAAAGATTTGGACGTTAGCCCGGAGACTGTATCGGAAATGGCTCTTTTTCCCGATCAGAGTCTGACCGTGCTGAAGGGCAATTTTGATCTCAGCAGCGTCAGAGGTGCATTGGACCGTCGCAACGCCGAACAAGTCAACTACCGCGGTTATGAATTATGGCGAGGGAGTGGAGGAGAAACACTCGCGCTATTTGACGAATACATTGCGTATTCACGGCGTCCCATTGAGCCGGTACTTCAGAGCCTGTACCGAGGTTCAGGTTCCCTGGCGGATGCCAGCGAAAACAACGACATGAGACGAGTTTTGAGCAAACTAGGCGACGCCGTAATCGTGAACGCGGTGGTGGCGGGGAATTGTCCTTTCGAACATTGTCTTGGCTACGGGTGGGCGATCACCGACATTGATGAAAGCAGCGGCATTGGCGACATGAGCATCGGGTTCTTGTTCCGCAACCAACGGGCGGCGGCAGGAGCTGCTGCTGAGTATGACGGGATACTGAGATTCCTGATGAGTACACACGGCATCAACATCCAGGACACTAAACCGGACGGTAATTTCGTTGTGGGCAAGGCCATCTGGGAGTTTGAATAAAGAGGCCGGTTGCTACCGATGCCACAACTCGCTACCGGGATCAACTTGAGGACAATGTGATGCGCAGCACAGTTCATCGATTTGCACTAGCCGTTCTCATGCTCATGCTGACGTTTCTACTGGCAGCATTGCCTGATGCCATAGTGTCAGCGCAATCGCCACCGCTGCCGCCGACCGTCCTGGGCGGAACCGCCTGGTTGGACGGAGAGTTGGTCCCGCCCGGTACATTGATACAGGCAATGCAGGGCAACACCGAACTGCAACGGATTACGGTGAGGACCAACGGTCGGTTCGGCCCATTGCAGGTGCGCCAACCGCCGGGTAACGGCCCGGTTTACTTCCTGGTAGGCGGCCACCGCGCCGACAACGAAATGAACTGGCAGCCTGGTTTCTTGCAAGCCGGCCTGGAACTGCGCGCCGCTTCGACGGCGAGGCCGGTTCCGGCTGCGACCGCGGCGCCGCGGCCGGCCGCAACCGCCAGTCCCGCGCAACCCGTGTCGCCGACCGCGGTTACGGTAGCTGGGCCGCGAGGAGAGCGGGGCCCGGCGGGACCGGCCGGGCCCCAGGGCGCGACGGGACCGGCTGGCCCACCGGGAGAACCAGGCACGCCCGGTTTGCAAGGACCGCAAGGCGAGCGTGGAGCAGAGGGAGAGGAAGGCCCGCGGGGCCGTAAGGGAGAGACCAGCGGCTACGGCCTCTATACCCTGGTTGCGGCCGCGGTCGCTGTATTGCTCGCGTTAGCGGCCCTAATAGTGGCGATCGTGGCGTTGTCGCGTCGAAATCGTTCCACGTCGGCTGCATCGGCGCGACCTAACGACGATACTCCGTAGTCAAGCAACATAGTCCGCTCCAATGTACCCGCTGGGATGACGCCAGCGGGTAAATGTTCATTCAGAGTGGTAAATCGTCAACGGTCAGCGACCATGGCTTTCGATTGTTAACGCTTGGGACGCGGAATGAGGCGGTCTCGTGGCGCCGCAGTCGTTTGTCTTGGGCTTCACGCTACTCCAACGGGATCGGCGGGCTTGGCTCATAATGAAAAAACGGCAACGCCTCTGGCGGATCGGCATAGCCGCAAGAATGCGGCCGGTATGCTAAATTGATCCGTGCTTCTGTCAATCAATCCGATACTTTGGAGTCGCGTTGCCATGCTACCCCAGCACCTCACTCATGTTTTCCCTGATACTGCCAACACGAACGGCGCGGGTCATTTGACCCTGGGCGGCTGCGATGCCGTTGATCTGGTGGAGGAGTACGGCACGCCGCTGTATGTCCTCGATGAGGCGACGCTGCGCTCACGGTGCCGGCAGTTCGCGGACGCGTTCGCGGCGCGGTACTCCAACGCTCAGGCGGTGTATGCCTCCAAGGCGTACATCAACCCGGCGTTGGCGCGCATTTTCGCCCGAAGAGGGCCTGGGGCTGGACGTGGTTTCCGGCGGCGAGCTGGCCGTGGCGATGGCCGGGGAAGTGCCGCTGGACCGGGTGTACTTCCACGGCAACAACAAGACGCCGGCCGAGCTGGAAGAGGCGGTGGCTGCGGGCATAGGCCGCGTCGTAGTGGACAGCTTCCACGAGCTGGACCTGCTGGAACGCATCTGCGCGGAGGCAGGAAAATCGCAGGACATCCTGGTGCGGGTTTCGCCCGGGATCGACCCGCATACGCACGCCTACACGACCACGGGAATCATCGATTCCAAGTTCGGTTTCTCCATTCAAACCGGCGACGCGGAGAAGGCGGTCCAGCAGGCCATCGCGGCGCCGCACCTCAACCTCCGGGGACTGCACTTCCACCTGGGCTCGCCGATATTTGAGCTCGAACCGTACCAGGCGGCGACAGACCTGGTCTTGCGGTTCGCGGCAGGACTGCGCGAACAGGGCCTTGACCTGCAGGAGTTCAGCCCCGGGTGGAGGATTCGCGATTGCGTACACGCGGAACGACCAGCCGCCGGCCGCGGACGATTACGCCGAGGCCATCGTGGGCACGTTGACCGCGACCTGCAACGAGCTGGGCATGGAACCGCCGGCGCTGGTGGTCGAGCCGGGCCGTTCGATCATCGGACCGGCGGGAGTTGCGCTGTATCGGATCGGGGCGATCAAGGAGATACCGGGCGTGCGCACGTACGTCAGCGTGGACGGCGGAATGGGCGATAACATCCGGCCGGCCCTCTATCAAGCGTCCTACGAGGTGCTGTCGGCCAACCGGCCAACGGCCGAACCCGACGCCACGGTGACAATCGCCGGCAAGTATTGCGAGTCGGGAGACGTGTTGGCCTCAGATATTTTGCTGCCGTCGCCGGTGGCGGGCGACGTGATCGCGATACCGGCGGCGGGGGCGTACTGCCCGTCCATGGCGAGCAACTACAACCTCAACCCGCGCCCGCCGATCGTGCTGGTCAACAACGGAGAAAGCAGGATGATCCGCCGGCGAGAATCCTACGCGGACATGATGTTGTGTGACCTGTAGGCCGGGAAAGGGATTGCGCGCCAGCGATTCGGCGGCAGGATCCACCGCATGTGGTCAACCGTCGGGCAGGACCACCTGCTGAAGCAACTGGACGCCGGCCTCACCGCCGGCCGGTTGGCGCACGCGTACCTGCTTTCGGGTCCGCCCCACGTGGGGAAATGACGCTGGCGCTGGATTTGGCGGCGGCGGTCAACTGCGCGGTGCTGGGCGGGAAACAGGCAGGTTCCATGTTCGGAGACACGGGCGATGCCGACGGCCCGTGCGGCCACTGCGACCCCTGTATGCGGATACGGCGCGGGGTCTTTGCTGACCTGAAGATCGTCGCGGTGGGTGGCGATCCGAGGGTTGCCACGCGGATCAGCATCGATCAGGTTCGGGAGGTCGAGAGCTTCCTGGCGGTCACGCCCGTCGAGGGCGCGTGGAAAGTCGTGATCTTTGATGGCGCCGAAACTCTGTCCGCGGGGCAAAGCGAGCCGGCCAACGCGTTGTTGAAGACCCTGGAGGAACCGCCGCCCCAGGTGCTGGTCATGCTGTTGACCACGAACGAGGATGCGATCCTGCCAACCATCCGGTCGCGGTGCCGGACACTGCCCCTGCGGCCGATGCCCGGCGGGTCATTGAGCGAGTACCTGGTATCCAAGCGGGGAGCCGAACCCGACGCGGCGCGCCGACTGGCGCGACTGGCCCGGGGCTGCCCGGGGTGGGCGATCAACGTCCTTGACGATCCCAATCTACTGGACGCCTACCGTGAACAGCTGGCCCAGATCTCGGAGGTCGGGTCGGCGGCATTGGACGCGCGGTTCAATTATGCGAACGCCCTGGCGGGGACCTTTTCGGGTGACCGCGAATCGGTTCGGCAGGAGCTGTACCTTTGGGAACGCTGGTGGAGAGACGCGCCTGCTCATCAAAGAGGGGCTGGTCGAGCACATCCACAACGACGACTGGATGGCGGAACTGACCGCCCTGGCGGACGCGACCGAGACCGCGGGCATCGTGACGTTGTTGGAGAGTATCCGGGAAACGTTGACGGCGCTGGACGCCAACGTGAACCCGAGATTGGCGCTGGAGTGCATGATGCTGGCGGTGCCGACTACGTGAGCGCTTGAAACACGCCGCGGCGGCTTTTGGCGCAACGGATGATTCCCCGGCAAAGACTCTGATGACGACCTGCAACTTTCGGATGCATCCGCTTTTAGCCGCTGCTTTGGTGATCGCAGTGGCGGTTTCAGTCATGGCGTGCATGGGTCCGCCGCTGCCCGATCCGACACCCTATCCCACGTACACGGCGGCGCCGACCTACACGCCATATCCCACATACACGCCGGGTCCGACGTACACACCGTATCCGACACCGACACCTACCCCCACGCCCTACCCCACGTACACGCCATATCCGACCTATACACCACTACCGATCCCGGCGGACACCAACGAGGTTTCCGATGGTGAGTTGGTATCCGACCTGATAACGTGCCTGGAGCAAACGCCCTGGCTTTGGGAAATCATGAAATCGGCGATGGCGGAGGAATTTGCTGAAATGGGGTTGTCGGGGGCGGTGACGGAAGAGAGCGAGCCAGAAGACCTGCGGTTATTGTTCGTTTTAGCCATTCAGGACGACGAATCACTCAGGGACGATATAACCGCCATCGCGACCGAGTGCAACTGAACGACGATCTCGGCAGGTTATGCCTGAACACTCAGGGGTAGCCTAAACGGCTGCGTAGGCTTTGTTGCGGCCTTTGGCCACCGCGCGGAGGCGGCCCTGTTTTTCCAGGCTGCGGATGGCCTCGATCACTTTTGGGTCGCCGTAGCGGCGAAACTTGCCCGCGATCTTGCTCTGGGTGCGGGCGGTCTCGCAGTATTCCAGCACCTGCTCCGCGAGCAGATCGCCAACCTCAGGCAGGGGCCTGACGGGGAGGACAATGGTATGCCCCGGGTTGCCATCCGACTCCTCGCCGGGTTTGAACTCGAGACGGTCGTTGTGGGCCGTCAGGAAAGAGCGCACGCGTCGGCGCAGCGACCCGCCAGTCCCCGAGGAGCCGTAACCGTGAACCACCTCGAGGACTTCCGACGACGGGCCGGTGGTCAGGATCCGGTTGTACGTCGCGATCAGTTCGCCCAGGGATTCGGACCAAGTCCTGCCGTGGAGGTCGATGCTGGCCATGGAAGGTCAGTCGGCTACCGCCATCAACGCCGGTTCGCCATCGGCGCCGTTGCGCGACCTGCCAGGGGTCTGCCAGGGTATGTACTGTTTCCATTCCTCAAGGATGGTGCGGTTCTCCAGGATGCGGTAGGGGTTGGGCTGAGGGGCCGTCGGGGCCCGCTTCAGCTTCATGTTCGCTTCTTCCGGCGTGCGCCCGGCCTTGTCGAGGTTGCAGCGGCCGCAGGCGGCGACAACGTTGTCCCAAGTGTGCGGACCGCGCTGGCGACGGGGGACGACGTGATCCAGGGTGAGCTGCTGGGACCGCTTGCCGCAGTACTGGCAGGTGTAGTGATCCCGCAGGAAGACTTCCTTCTTGGACAGCCGGCGCGGAGCAAAAGGACGCTTGACCAAGTAGACGAGCCGTATGATCGAAGGGGCATCCAGGGAGGCGTTGTAGGTGCGGATACGGGAAGTTTCGGCCCGCTCCTCGAGTAGTTCGGCCTTGCCCTTGGCGACGAGCACGATGGCGCGGCGGACGGTGCAGACGTTGACGGGAACGTAGTTGAGGTTCAGAACCAGGACCGGTGCGGTGAGTCGGCCCGGGATCGGCGTTTTTCCGTTGCGTTGATCTTCCTCGGATGCCGCAGAGACATCGGCCTTGCCGGGCCTGCCGCCCGACCGGTTGGCGTTGGGTTGCCGGCCATTGTTCCGGTTCTTGGCCGCACCCTTTTTTCGACCCGTTCGTCCCCGGCTTTGCCATCTGCCAACCTCTAGTGCAGGTAGCGCATTCGCTGCCGCGTCGTGCCGAAATGATAATTCCCTATTGACATTGCTTCGCCCATTATAACGCCGATTTCCATAATTCGACACGGCGACCGATATCCGGTTGGCGGCGCGCATCGCACGGTGCGTCGCGCAATTCGGAGGCACCTGCGGGATTCGCCGGTTGGCATCGACAACTGAGGGACGCCAGAGCCCCGGCGTGGCTTGGCAGATCACCCGTAACTGCTTTGTAATCGCGAGGAGCGCGGCGACGTGGCGAAGCCGTTGAATTGAGCGAGGATCCCTCCAGCGACGAGATTGCCACGCTGCGCTCGCAATGACCGATGGTGCAAGGGACGAGGCTGCCACGCTGCGCTCGCAATGACCGATGGTGGAAGGGACGAGATTGCCATGCTGCCCTCGCAATGGCGTTGATAGCACCTGGTGTCGCTTCTCACGGGGTGCGAAAGGCACACAACCCGTGTGATAAACTGGCCGCCGAATTTAGGAAGAGCGTACGGCCCGGCCCGTACCGCTCCAGGGAAAGACGAGATGGTTCCGCCCGATTCGCTTTTTGGCGTCATTCCCGTTTGGGTGGGCGTCTACTTGTTGACACTCGTGACGATGGGAGCGGCGAGCTACGTGGTGTACCGCCGCGTATTTCGACTGGTGCTCCAGGGGTTGCCGGTGGCCCGATTCGACCGGCCGATGACGAGGCTGATCGGAGCGGCGGGGATAGTGCTGGGCCAGCGCAAGGTACTGCAGCGGGTTGGGCGGACCGATCCCCGCTCCCGAAGCATCGACCTGGCGGGCCTGGGCCACGCGGCGATCTTCTGGGGCTTCCTGTCTTTCAGCCTGTCGTACCTGATTTTCATCTTCGGCGGATCGATCTGGCATCCGCTGGGCGAAACCATCCTCACCAGGACCGGAGTGCTGGTTTACAGCATCTACCTGGATATTTTCGCGGCGATCATCCTGGCGGCGCTGGTCTGGGCGCTGGTACGGCGGTGGATCGCGCAGCCGCACCGCCTGAGCTTTGACCTCACGCGCAAGGGTGAATCGGTGGTCATCGTCGGACTGACTGCCGGCCTGATGATCGCCACGCTGCTGGTTCATGCGTTTTACGTGGCTGCCGGAGGCGGGGGTCCCGAGGCCGGCGTGTTCATCGGCCGCGCCATCGGCGGTTGGCTGAGCGGACTGGGCATGCCCGAGGCAACGGCCGGAGCTTTGCAGGCGATCTTCTGGTGGGTACACCTGCTGATCGTGCTCGGGTTCGGGCTGTACATACCCTACTCGAAGCACATCCATATGGTGGCCGCGCCGCTGAACGCGTTCTTCCGCAGCCTGGAGCCCAAGGGTACGCTGGCGACCATTGACCTGGAGACCGTAGAGCGGTTCGGCGCGTCGAGGGTGCAGGACTTCACCTGGAAGGAACTGCTGGACGGATACGCGTGCGCGGTGTGCGGGCGTTGCACCGACGCGTGCCCAGCCCACACGACGGGCAAGGTTCTTTCACCGATGCACATCGTGGAGAACATCAAGGAGCACATGATCGCCATCGGCCACCAGGGGGCTCGGGATGCCGAGCACGTGGAGCCGATGCCGCTGATCGACGGCGCGATACCGGAGCAGGCGGTGTGGGACTGTGTTTCCTGCGGCGCGTGCATGGAGGAATGCCCGGTGGTGGTGGAACACGTGCCCACCATCATCGACATGCGGCGCAGCCTGGTGCTGGAGGAGTCCCGGATACCGGAGACCGGCATGAACGCCCTGCTGAGCATGGAGCAGCGGGGACACCCCTGGCGGGGCACGACCTTCGCGCGCACCGACTGGGCCGAAGGTCTGGGTGTTCCGACGATGGCTGAAAAGCCGGACGCTGAGGTTCTTTTCTGGGTGGGCTGCACCGGAGCGCTGGAGCAGCGCAGCCAGGGCATCGCCCGTTCGATGGCCAAGGTGCTCAAGTCGGCGGGCGTGGACTTCGCGATCCTGGGCGACGAAGAGAATTGCACCGGCGACCCCGCGCGGCGCATGGGGAACGAGTACCTGTTCCAGATCATGGCGCAGCAGAACGTCGAGGTGCTGAACGGGTACAACGTGAAGACCGTGGTCACGATCTGCCCGCACTGCTTCAACACCATGAAGAACGAATACCCGCAGTTCGGCGGCGATTACGAGGTCCTGCACTACAGCCAGTTTGTGGACGGCCTGATTCGAGAGGGCAAAATCAAGCCCGTGAAGGTGATGGACGTGTCGGTGGCCTACCATGACTCCTGCTACCTGGGCCGCCACAACGGGGTGTATGACGAGCCGCGCAACGTGGCCAAGGCCATTCCGGGGCTGAAACTGGTGGAGATGGAGCCGCGATGCCGCGAGCGCGGGTTCTGCTGCGGCGCTGGCGGGGGTCACATGTGGATCGAGGAGAGCCAGGGCGAGCGGATCAACCACGTGCGCACCGACCATTTCCTGGAGACGCAGGCGGACACGGTTGGGGTCTCCTGTCCCTTCTGCCTCCAAATGATGACCGAAGGGATTCAGTCCAAGGGGCAATCCGACACCAAGGATGCGCGCGACGTCCTGGAGATCCTCGCCGACAGCCTGGCGGACGATTAGCCACGCACCGGTTGCAACCTGCCGGGTCAGGTTTTCCGGATTCGATTGCCATGCGGCGGCACCGGGGAGCGGCGGATAGCACGCAGGTGGAGACGGTTTGCAGGTACGGCCGCAGATTGTCGCCAATGAGATTGGAGAGAACGGGCGATTTCGAGTCTCGCGTTTGGGGATGTTGAACCATGCTCATGGAGATGATGGAGCGCCGGCTGATGTTCCAACCCCGGCCGGTGACTGAAGCCCGACCGACCGACCTGGGCATGGAGTTCGAGGAAACCTGGTGCGAGTCGGCGAGCGGGAACCGGCTGCAATGCTGGTTCATGCCCGGCGACCGCAGAACCGATCTGACTTGGATGTGGTTCGGGGGAGCGGGAGGCAATCTGAGCGGCCGGGTCGGCGAATTCGCCGCGGTGAGGCGCAACACCGGCGCCCATATCTTCGGGTTCGATTACGGCGGTTTCGGGAACAGCCACGGCAAAGCTTCGGTGCGGAACACTGCCGCAGATGCGCGCGCGGCGTTGACCCACCTGCAGAGCACCTACGGATCGGAGCGACACCGGACGTTGTTTTTCGGCGTATCAATGGGCGCGGCGGTGGCGGTACGGCTGGCCGCCGAGTCCTGGTCGCCCGCTTGGAATGGCGTTGGTGGCTCCGTTCGCTTCTCTGAGAGACATGGGCAAGCTGTTGCATCCAACGCTGACATTGTCGGGACGGCTGGTCGGCAAGCGGTATGATTCGGCGTCGCTCGTAGACCGCATCGGGTGTCCGTTGCTCATACTGCACGGTACGGACGACGAAATGGTTCCTATATGGCAAGGGCGCAAGTTGTTCGACGCGGCGCGCGAGCCCAAGCAGTTGGTCACGATAGATTCCGCCACCCACATGGACCTTGGTGACTTCCCGGGGTTCTGGGCCGGGCTCTGCGGTTGGATGGACGAGGTGGCCCAACCGGAAAGACCGACAGCGATGACGGGCCAGCAGTGACGGTTCGCTCGGCCCTACCACGGCCCTTCGATTATTGTCGTGGAGAATCAAAAGGCGCGGCAGCAGCGAAGCCACGCAACCAATTTTGGCAGAGAACCCATGCCGCGGCGGCGAGATTGCCACGCTTCGCTCGCAATGACATTCAGGAAAGCCGCATACCCGGCCGGAGAACCGAATGACCCTGGACTGCCAGCGGAGCATTGCGCGGGCCGGGTGATTGCCCTATCATCCGCACCAACAAGCGTGACCGACTTGCAAGCATGATCGACCAACGAGCATAACCGACCGACGAGCATAACCGGGAAGCCAACACAACGGGAGGAAACTCATGGCCCAGAGACCCGACCTAAAGCGGATGGAAGTTGAAATCGTCTACTGCTGGGATTGAGGGCACGCCGGACGCGCGGCCTGGATGGCCAGCGAAGCATTGACCCGCACCGGCGACAACATATCGACCTTCAAATTGACGCCGGGTGAGCACGGCAAGTTTGACATACTGATCGATGGCGAACTGGTCGGGGAGCACAAGCACACCCCCGACGCGCACCTGTTCCCGGACCTGCAGGACCTGATGGCCGCGATCCACGATCGGACCTGAGCAGCTTGGGAGTCGACGCCCGGGCCTTCGGTTGCAGCCGAGGGCCCGGGCGATTTTTGTCCTAGAAACCGCTCATGACCTCGATCTGGTAATCGAGGAGTTCCAGGTCGGGGCGCACCTCGGCGATGAAGGCCGCCACGTCGTCGACGAGGGATCTGGTGAGATCCGCGCTGGCGCCCACGCAGGAGACCGCCAGGGTAAGGCTCTGCCACGCATTGCCGTCGGCGGCGGCATCCTGGGCGACCGAAACGTTGAAGCGGCTGCGGATCCGTTGGATCACGCTGCGGGCGGCCTGGCGTCGGGTTTTCAGGCTTCGGCTTTCGGGCACCCGGAGGCTGATGTGGGCTACGGCGACGTGCATGGGTCCGGTTCTTGGCGGTGTGGCGGGCGCAGTGAACGGTCCAAGGAGTCTACCTGATTCGGGGTTAGCAGACGGAGTCTCGGCTCACATTTTCGGGGCGCAGGCAGCGTCGCGGTCAACAATCGTGCGTGCCGGTATTGACGGTGGATAATCGTCGGGATAGATTATGCTCAGGCTCCGAGTGGTATGGGAGCGGTTGATTCGTGGTATGGGAGCGGTTGATTCAATGTTTGGTCATACGTAATGTTTCTGAGAATATTTGACGCATTCAGGATAAGGCACGACAAAAGCGCATGACATCCAGTTCCAGCGGACCAGGTATTCGCCCGGTGACGGCGCTGCCTCCCGGAGAGGTCCCCGAGGTGGTCATCTCGCGGTTGCCTCAATATGTGCGCATCCTGTCGCAGTTGTTGGACGCGGGCGAAGAGGTCACCAACTCCCAGCAGTTGGGAGAACAGTTGCAGGTGACGCCGGCGCAGATCCGCAAGGATCTTTCGTATTTCGGCAGGTTCGGAAAACAGGGCCGAGGTTACGTGGTGCGGGATCTTTTGCGGGAGCTGAAGCAGATCCTGGGTCTGAACTCGGAGTGGAATGTTGCGGTGGTAGGAGTCGGCCGGTTGGGGAACGCGATCCTGAACTACCCGGGCTTCAACCCCGACGGGTTTCACCTGGTGGCGGCGTTCGACAACAACCTGGCCAACGTGGGACGCGAAGTCGGCGGGGTTTCGGTCCAGCCGATGGCCGAGATGGCGCAGACGGTGGCCGACCGCAGCATCAGCATCGCCATCGTGGCCGTACCCAGCGCCCACACCCAGACGGTGATCGACCAATTGGTGGCGTGCGGGATACGGGCGATATTGAACTACGCCCCGATCAACGCACAGGTGCCGGACGGGATCCGGGTACGCAGCATCGACCCGGTGCTGGCGCTGCAGTCGATGACCTACTACCTCACCGAGGATGGCCCGTCGATCAACGGATCCACGGCAGCGCGGTGAGGTTACTGCTGGGCTTGCCGCGACAGTGAGCGGTGCGGCGTCGAACGCCGGCGGCGGGCCACGGTCACGCGCACCTGGGCCCGACGCAAAGACGCTACGGCCTGCTCCAGCTCGATGTCGGTTTCGCGGCTGGAGATGCGTTCCTGAGCGCGCGCCAAGGCTTCCTGAGCCCGTGCCTCGTCAATCTCGTCCACGTCCTCGGCCGCATCGGCGAGCACGATGACCTGATTGCCCAGCACTTCCAGATAGCCGCCGGACAGGGCGAGGTAACTATCGTCGCCGCCGGTGCGCACCAGCAACTCACCCGGTTCCAGCACCGTCATCAACGGGGCGTGGTTGGGAAGTATCCCCAGTTGCCCGGCAACGCCGGGGGCAACCAGCGCGTCCACCTCGCCGGAGAACACCTCGCGTTCAGCGGTGATGATTTGCAGCTGCATCGGCATTGGGGAGGGCTCCTATCGATGGGCCTTGAGCGATGGGCGATGGGTGAGGATCAGGCGATGGCCTGCATCTCGGCGGCCTTCTCGACCGCTTCTTCGATGGTTCCCACCATGTAGAAGGCCTGTTCGGGCAGATCGTCGTGCTGGCCGTCCAGGATTTCGGCGAAGCCGCGCACGGTGTCGCGCAGGGCGACATACTTACCCGGCTGGTTGGTGAATGTCTCGGCAACGAAGAAGGGTTGGGTCAGGAACCGCTGGATCTTGCGGGCGCGGAACACGGCCTGACGGTCATCGTCGGAAAGTTCTTCGATGCCCAGGATGGCGATGATGTCCTGTAGGTCGCGGTAACGCTGCAACACCTGCTGCACGCCCCGGGCGACCCGATAGTGCTCCTCACCGACGATACGAGGCTCGAGGATTCTGGCGAATGAGGCCAACGGGTCCACGGCGGGGTACAGGGCCTGCGCGGCCAGGGCGCGCTCGAGCGACACCACGGCGTCGAGGTGACCGAAGGTGGTCACGATACCGGGGTCGGTATAGTCGTCGGCCGGAACGTAGATGGCCTGGAAGGAGGTGATGCTGCCGCTCTTGGTGGAGGTGATACGCTCCTGGAGCGCGCCCATCTCGGTGCTGAGGGTCGGCTGGTAGCCCACCGCGGAGGGCATGCGCCCCAGCAGCGCGGACACCTCCATCCCCGCCAGGATGTAGCGGTAGATGTTGTCGATAAAGAGGAGCACATCCTGGTTCTGCTCTTCGCGGAAGTACTCCGCCATGGTGAGCCCGGTCAGGCCGATGCGGGCGCGGACGCCGGGCGTCTCGTTCATCTGGCCGAACACCAGGACGGTGCTGCCCAGCACGCCGGAGTCCTGCATTTCGTGCCAGAGGTCGTTGCCCTCGCGGGACCGCTCGCCCACACCCGCGAACACGGACACGCCGCTGTGGACGGCGCCAATGTTCCGGATGAGTTCCTGGATGATGACGGTCTTGCCCACGCCAGCACCGCCGTAGGCTCCGACCTTACCGCCCTTGGGGAAGGGAGTGATCAGGTCGAACACCTTGATGCCGGTTTCCAGAAGCTCCACGGTGGAGCTCTGGTCGTCAAAGGCGGGAGGATCCCGGTGAATGGGCCAGAACTGTTCGGCCTCAACCGCGCCCAGGTTGTCCAAGGGGGTGCCGGTGACATCGAACAACCGCCCGAGGGTTTCGGGCCCGACCGGCACCGAGACCTTGCTGCCGGTATCGACAACCTCGCTGCCGCGGGCCAAGCCGTCGGTGGAACCGAGGGCGAGGCAGCGGGCCCAGTGGTTGCCGATGTGCTGCTGGACTTCCAGCACCAGACGCTCGCCCGTATTGTCGACCTCAAGAGCGTCGAACAGGTTGGGAAGCTGATCGGCGGGGAATTCAACGTCCACCACCGTGCCGATGACTTGGGCAATTTTACCGGGCATTTTGTCTATCCTCCGGATGGGCTAACTGAAGAAGGTGGGAACTCCGTGGTCCTGCAAGGCGTGGGTCACGCCTGCAAGGCCGGACGGATCATCCCTGCATAGCGACCTGACCGCCGACCAAGTCCAACAGTTCGTTGGTGATGCTGTCCTGGCGGAGCTTGTTCATTACCAGCGTGAGGTCGGAAGCCAGTGAATTGGCGTTATCGGTGGCGTTGCGCATGGCGACCATGCGGGCGGACTGTTCGCTGGCGATGCTTTCGAGGATCGCGTGGTAGACCTGCATCTCGACGAACTGGGGAAGCAGGGCGCTTAGCACCGTGGCCGGGTCCGGTTCGTAGATGTAGCCGACGCGCTGAGCGGATTCCAGTTCGGCCGGCTCGACGGGCAGGATGCGCTCGATAACCGGCTGCTGCTGGACGGTGGATACGAAGCGCATGTAGGCCAGGTGCACCTCGTCGAATTGGCCGTTGGTGTACCCGTCGATGACCAGGCGCGAGATCGCGGTGGTGTCGGCGAGGGATACGCGGTCGCTGAGGTCGGTGAAAACGGCCTGCACGGTATCGGTGTAACGGACCAGGAAGTCCCGGCCCTTGCGCCCGACCACGATGCTACGCACGGTGGCGTCGTTTCCCAGTATGTACCGGGCGACCTGGCGGTTGATGCTGGCGTGCATTCCCCCGGCGAGCCCGCGGTCCGGAGTAATCACCACCATGCCCACGGTTTTGACCGGTCGGGTGGCCAACAGCGGGTGAACGGTATCCTCGTCGGTGGGTTGCGCGGCCAGGGTGGCAATGACCTCGTGGATTTTTTCAGCGTAGGGCGACCGTCCGTGACGGCCAGCTGGGCCCGGCGCATCTTGGAAGCCGCGATGAGGGACATCGCGTTGGTGACCTTGCCGGTGTTCTCGACGCTGCGGATGCGTCGGCGGATGTCTCTAACGCTAGGCATGTGCTGACCCGGGCTCCGGCCATCAAAGGACGGTTAGCGGTCGTCTCCTCTTATTGGAAAGTTGGCTTGAAGTCGTTGATGGCGGCGGTCAACTGCGCGCTCAACTCGTCGGGCAGGGTACCGGAGTCGCGGATGGCCTGACTGAACTCGGGATGCGTGGCGTTGACGTGGCGGAGCATCTGCTCCTCGAACGCGCCGACGCGTTCCAGCGGCACATCCTCCATGAGCCCGGAGTTGACCGCGTAAAGGACAATCACTTCGTCGCCCAGGTTGAGGGGTTGATATTGCCCCTGCTTGAGCGCCTCGGTGGCCAGCTGACCGCGAGCCAGCTGGGCGCGGGTGGCCGCGTCGAGGTCGGCGGTGCCGAACTGGGCGAAGGTGGCCAATTCACGATACTGGGCGAGGTCCAGCCGCAAGCGGCCGGCAACCTGGCGCACAGCGCGGGTCTGGGCTGCGCCTCCCACGCGAGAGACGGATAGACCCACGTTGACCGCCGGTCGGATACCGACGTTGAACAGTTCCGGTTCGAGGTAGATCTGCCCGTCGGTGATGGAGATCACGTTGGTGGGAATGTAAGCCGACACGTCGCCGGCCTGGGTCTCGATGATGGGGAGGGCCGTCAGCGAACCGCCGCCGAACTCGTCATCGAGGCGGGCGGCGCGCTCGAGCAGCCGACTGTGAAGGTAAAACACATCGCCGGGATAGGCCTCACGGCCGGCGGGGCGACGCAGCAACAGCGACATCTGGCGGTAGGCCCAGGCGTGCTTGGTCAGGTCGTCGTAGACGATCAGCACGTCCTTGCCCTCTTCCATGAAGGCTTCGCCCATGGCGCAGCCGGCATAGGGGGCGATGAATTGCAGCGGCGCGGAGTCGGCGGAGCCGGCGTTGACCACGATGGTGTGGTCCATCGCGCCGTACTCTTCGAGGATACCCACCACCTGGGACACCTTGCCCTGCTTCTGGCCAATGGCCACGTAAATGCAGATCAGGTCCGTTTCCCGCTGGTTGATGATAGTGTCGATGGCGATGGCCGACTTGCCGGTGGAACGGTCGCCGATGATCAGTTCGCGCTGGCCCCGGCCGATGGGAATCATGGCGTCGATGGCCTTGATACCGGTCTGCACGGGGGTGTCCACGGACTTCCGGACCACCACGTTGGGGGCGGTGCGCTCCACGGGCATGGTGCGGTCCGTAGCAACGGGGCCTTTGCCGTCCAGCGGGCGACCCAGCGGGTCCACCACGCGGCCGACCAGAGCGTCGCCAACCGGCACCTCAATGATCTGTCCGGTGGCCCGGACGCGGTCACCTTCTTTCACCCCGGTGGGATCACCCAGGATCGCAGCGCCGACGACGTCGGACTCCAGGTTCATCGCGAGGCCCAGCACTTCGTTGCCGAAATCGAGCAACTCGTTGGAACGCACGCTCTGCAATCCCTGGATACTGGCGATACCGTCACCGACTTGCAGGACGGTGCCCACGTCGACGAGGGAGAGGTCTCCGCCAAACTCCTCGATCTGACGCCTGATGAGGGATACTATTTCTTGTCCCCTGACTGCCATCGGCGAGTCTCCTAAAAGTTGCGTTGGTTAGGCTGCTTGCGCGCGAACCGTCCGGCGCAGGCGTTCCAGGGCGGAGCTTGCGCTGCCGTCCAACAGTTGGTCGCCGATCTGAATGATCAGTCCGCCGAGGATAGACTCGTCCACCAGCGCGCTGACCACCACTTCCTTGCCCACCATCCTGCCGACGAGATCGGTGATGCGATCCAGTTCGGCCGGCTCCAGCGGAACGGCGGCGGTGACTTCAACACGTTGACGGCCCAGCCGTTCGTCCAGCAGGCGGGTGTAGGCTTCCTGCACGTCCCGCATGGCATCCACGCCGCCCCGGCTGACGATGAGCGCGACCAGGTTCCGAACCATTGGGTGGGTTTCGGAAAGCACTTCGTCGATGGCCGTGATCTTGCGCTCCAAAGGCACTTCGGCGTGCCGCAGGAACAGCCCGAACTCCTCGTCGCCGAGCACGTCGGCGGCGAGTCTGAGTTCCTGGTCCCACGGTTCCAGCTGCTCGTGCTGCTCGGCCAACTCGAAGATGGCCTGGGCGTAGCGCTGACCGGACAAGCGGTTTGCCACGGGTTTCTGTCTCCCTGGTTGTTAAGTCAGCGTGGTCGCGATTGAGAGCGGCCACGCATCATTGGTGTCCCGGTATACCGGCCGGGTGAGCGGGTCAGTTGCGACGGAGCGCCTGCTCGCCTTCGGCCAGGACCTGGTCGATCAATTCCTGGTGCGCCTGGCGGTCCACGCTGCGTCGAATGATACGCTCGGCGGCGGATATTGCCAGGTCGCCGAATGCGGCCCGAACTTCGCTGATGGCCGCGTCGCGCTCCCGGCCGATGTCGGCGCGGGCGCGCTCGGAAAATTCCTCAGCCGCCTGGCGGGCGCGTCCCATTTCCTCTTCGCGGAAACGTTCGGCAGCCTCGCGCGCCTGATCCAGCAGGCGCTGACCCTCACGTCGAGCCTCGTTGAGCTCCTCCTCGATGGCGGAGCGGGAGGTCGCCGCTTCGTCGCGGGCGCGGTCGGCAGCGGCCAGACTCTCCCGGATGCTGTCGACACGACTGTCCAAGGCGTTGAGCAGCGGGCGGTAGGCCAGCACTCCCAACAGGACCAGCAGAACGATGTAGTTGATCAGGTAGCTGATCAGCGCGGGAACGTTCAGTCCCAGTTCAACCATGTTGCTACACCACGAAGAGCAGGATCACCGCGACGATGAGCGAGTAGATGCCCAGAGCCTCAGCGAACGCGATGGCGAGGATCATGTTGGTGGTGATGGCGCCGGCGGCGTCAGGATTGCGGCCGATGGCGTTCATCGCGCCAGCGCCGAGAATACCGATACCGACGCCGGGGCCGACAACGCCGAGGGCGATGGCAAGGCCGGCTGCCAGGAACTTTGCGCCTTCCGCGGTCAGCGCCTGAGAACCCACCGCCAGCAAAGTGGTGAACATGGAAAGGTCAAGTGCCATTGTTGATAATCCTCCGAACCAATATTGGTCTCGTGATTTTTCCCAGCCCCCCGGCGATCAAGCCACGGGGCAACGGTACCATGATTAGGCCAATCGGGCGATCAGTGCTCCTCGTGGCTGACGGCCACGGACAGGAACACCAGGGTGAGGCCCGCGAATATGACCGACTGTATCAGACCCACCAGCAGTTCCAGGCCAAAGACGAACTGGGTGGCGATGAAGGGAACCAGGAAGGTGATCATAACCACCAGGATTTCGCCGGCGGTCATGTTGCCGAACAGACGGAAGGTGAACGAGACAATACGGACCATCTCGGACACCAGCTCGAGGATGCCTACGAACACGTTGATGAGGCCAGAAGGCCGGCCGCGCAGCAGGTCGCCGAAGGCGAAGAACTTTTTGAGGTAACCGAAACCGTGAGCGCGGAAACCCCAATACTCGACGAAGACGAATGACACCAGGGCGAGAGCCAGCGGGAAGTTCAGGTCGGTGCCGGCGGGGCGCACCAGGTGTGTCGCGAGCTTGAATTCGCCGCCGACGTTGGCTCCGTAGCCGACAGCCTGGTAAATCGGGATCAGGAAGATGGCGATCCAGGCGTTGAACAGGACGAAGAAGAAAATGGTGGCGATCACGGGGAAAGCGCGACGCCCCATTTCGGGTCCGAGAATGCTGGAGGCAAAGTTGAGGACAAGCTCAAACAGCATTTCGATCAGCGCCTGCATCCGGCTGGGGATCACCTTGGGATTGCGGGCGCCGCCGATGAAGAACACCAGCATGACGAGGCTGGTCACCCAGGCCGAAAGCATGGTGTTGGTGACGGCGAACTGCATCAGGCCCAGGCCGTGATGCTCTTCCTCGGCATGGTCGTCTGGGCGTCGTCCTTGGCCTCGGTTGCGCCGTGATCGGCCTTGGGTTCGCCGTGGTCCGCGGCAGCTTTGTCGGCCACGCGGTAGCCGACGACGCTATTGCGAACGGTCGCGGGGAACACCGGATCCGGGGGAAGGTGGATCCCCGGCTGAGACACGAACGGCCGTTCCAGCCCGAATATCCGGGAGCCAACCGCGCCGACGACGAAACCTACGATGAGCAGGACTACCGACACGATGCCGATCAGCAGAAGTACTCGTTTGGTGGTCACGACGGTTCGTTGCCTCCGCAATCAGTACACGGTTTTTGGGAACGGGCAGACGGGCGGTTGGGATTGTTGCTTCCGTAGACGGCGGGAATAATCATACGATAGACCCCATAGAAGGCCACCACGCTGCCGACGATCGTACCTACCAATACCAAGAGCGCCACCTGGCCGGTCAGATTGCCCAGCCAAAGCCCTCCGAGAATGCCCAGGACGATACATATAGCAACGAACCAACCCAAGCCGGTCAGCCGCAGTGCAGTAACTACCCACTGCGGCATTTCCGTTTCCAAACGGCGGGCATCGTAGCATCCGCACTCCGACCTGTCAATCGGCAGTTTTTGCAGAAATCGTAACCGACCTTACGAGAATGCCCCACCATAAGCGGCGGGGCAGCATTGGTCGTCGCGCCAGGGTTTCGCATTCCGAGCCTACTTGCGTTCGAAGTCTTCCATGTCCAATTCGTTGATCAAGTCCGTGAAGGCTGACAACCCCTGGAGTTCCTCTTCGGTAACCTCGGCGGGCGCGGACTCGCCGACCGTTTCCGGAGCGACGGCGGGCTGACCGGTTTCCTGGTCCATCGAGATGGCGGCCTTTTCCATGACCTGGTCAGCGACGTAAATCGGGACCTGGGCGCGCACGGCTACCGCCATGGCGTCGCTGGGCCGGGAGTCTATCTCGTGAGTACGATCAGCGACCGTGATGACGATCTTCGCATAGAAAGTCTCGTTCTGAAGGTCGTTGACCAGGATATGCTCAAAGGTGCCACCCACGGACTTGACGAGGTCGACAAACAGGTCGTGAGTGAGCGGGCGGGGAACCGACATGCCCTGCATTTTCACGGCAATGGCTTCGGCTTCAGTGGGGCCGATCCAAATCAACAGGAACAAGTCGGTGGCCAACTCTTTGAGGACCACCACCCGTTGGTAGTTCATCTGGCTGATCCGAATGCTGTCGATTACCAGTTCACGCATCTTGCTCCGTCACTCCAATCAACGCTTCCGGTATGGTCTGGTCGTTGCGCCGAGGCGCGGTTCCGACCAGCACGCAACGCGGATTGTACACCCGCGCGAGTCGCCAATGTCAAGCGTCAGACGTGCTTGCGACGGGCGCCGGCATCGCGTCGCGCGCCACGGGCGATCGCACACCACGGGCGAACGAAGAAGGGGCGGGAATTTCCCCGCCCCGGTCGCTAACGTGTTCGGGCGAACGGCCTAGCGAAACCTGCCGTAGTCGGCTGTTGCCCGCTCGTCTTCGGGGTTAGGAGCGAAATCGTTGGGTGAGGGGATGTTGGAACCCGCGCTGGCGGCCAACGTGGACCCAGCGAGCGCGTCGATGCCCTTGCGCACGGACCCGGTGGCGGAGGCGAGTTCGCGTTCCAGGTCACGCAGAGTACGCAGAGCGTAGGCATCGGCCTGATTGCGCCGGCTTTCGGCCTCGCGCTCCGCCTGGTCGACCATGCGGCGAGCGGTCATTTCCGCTTCGCGGAGCATTTCCTCGGCTTTGCGCCCCAGCTCGTGCTCGCTGAGGCGGGTCCGGAAATCCTGCTCCAATTGCTGGCGGGCCTGGTGGGCTTCAGAGACCGCAGAGGACATTATGTCGTCTTTGCGGGACAACATTTCCTCGGCCCGCCTGACTTCCTGTGGAACGGCCATGCGAAGCTGCGAGACAAGCTCGTTGACCTTATTCTTGTCGACCATGACGTTTCCGCTGAGCGGAACAGACTTGCTTGAGTCCACCAACAATTCGATGCGGTCGATGATACTGCTAATATCTATGATGACCCCCTTGGCCGGCGGTTCAGATTGCGCGTGAAGGGCTACCGCTGCGGCAACTGGTATTTTTCCGCCAGGGCCCGAGCCACGTGCTCGGGGACCATACCGGAGATTTCGCCGCCCAATTGGGCGACCTCTTTGAGCAGGCTGGAACTGATGAACATGTGCTCCTGATCGCTCATCAACGACACCATGTCCACATCGGGCTCGAGGCGCCGGTTCATGAAGAACATCTGCGATTCGTACTCGAAGTCGGGACCGCTGCGCAAACCGCGAACAATGGCGGCGGCGCCGGCGTCCCGCGCGGTGTTCACCACGAGACCATGGAACGGGCGAACGGATACGTTGGGCAAGTCGGCCACCGCCTCCCGCATCATCCCAACACGCTCTTCCGTATTGAACAGAAGGCTCTTCGACGGGGTGTCGTAGACGGCGACGATCAAGTGGCCGAAGAGATGGGCCGCCCGCTGTGCCACGTTCAGGTGTCCCATGGTCACGGGGTCGAAGGTGCCTGGATAGAGAGCGGTTACCATTTGGGGAAACTCCAATTCGTTCGCAGGGTCAATCAGTTAGTCGGGGGGTCAACAGCGTAGAATCCTACCGCATTGTCTCCGTAGCTGCGTCGATCAATTTCGTACAGACAAGCAACATTGACGGGTAAAGTGACGCGATTACTGTAACCGACAACTACGGTAGCATCCGGGTGTAGCAGACCGGACTGAGCCAACAATTGCAGGGTGGGCGTAGGTTCTCCCATGACGTAGGGCGGATCCAAAACGACGAGATCGTAAGATCCCGCGTCGCCGGTTTCAGGCGCGGATCGTTTCAACCAGTCCAATACGTCGTCACAACAGACACGGCCCACATCGCCATAACCCGTAGAGTGCAAGTTCTCCTGGATCACCCGGCATTGACGTCGATTGAGTTCCACAAAGTCAGCCCGCGCCGCGGCGCGGCTAAGCGCCTCGATACCCAAACTGCCGGTGCCCGCGTAGAGGTCGAGAACACGGCTGCCGGCGACCTGCTCGGGTTGCAGAATGTTGAAAATCGCGGATCTAACCCTCTCGGTGCTTGGACGTACCCCGGCAGCCACAGCCCCTTTCAAGGGCAGACCCCGGGACACGCCGCCGGATATTCTCATGGAGTGTGATCTTCGTGGGGGCATTGTAAAACCGGTCGCGCCGTGGTCGACGAATGCAGCGGCGACAAATTTCGGGCCTTTTTCGCGCCCGCCGGCGGCGACCAGTATATCGCCGGTTGGCGGCGACGTGACCTCAAACGTGTTCACTTGGCAGGACAGGCAATCCGGTTGCCGGCCGGGCGGCCCGGTTACAAGCCGGGCAGTCCAGCCCGCGGTGCTGGCGAGCGCGGCGTGGGAATCTCGCCGGCATAGCAAGGGCAATTGAGCGAGGCCGGTCCCTGCCGCAAAGGGATTGCCACGTCGTTACGCTCCCGGCGATGACAAAATGGGGATGCGAGGCCGCGATTCTGCTTGCCCGGCCGGGGGGCCTGTGCTACCATCAACTGCGCCATTTTGCGCCGCGATGAGTGCGAGGCAGCCCCCAAATGGGGCACTCGGACAGGTGCGGCCAACTCGCGAACTTTCTGACTCGAACGGCCGCCCAGACGCCATGCTCTCCTCGGACAATCCAACCTCCGGAACTCCGGGCCGAGGGGCCTTCCGCCAAGCATTGGCCGATGCGACTCCCCAGGCCGGCCGGGGCACGGTCGTCACCATAGGCGTGTTCGACGGAGTGCACCGGGGACACCGCCACCTGCTGCACCGAATGCTGGAACTGGCGGAACCGCCGTTGATCTCGACGGTCATCACTTTCAGCAACCACCCCGCGGAAGTGGTGAACCCGGAACGCACCGTCACCAAGATAATCACGCCCGAAGAAAAGATCCGGCTGTTGTACGACGTTGGCGTGGAGAATGTGATCTGCGTCGAGTTCACCAACGACATCGCCAACCTGGATGCCAACGAATTCACGCAAATGCTGGTTGACTGCCTGCACATGCGGGGGATGGTTACCGGCCCGGATTTCGCGTTGGGCCGGAACCGCAGCGGCACCCTGGAATACCTGCGACGCCGGGGGTCCTCTCTCGGTTTTTGGGTGGAAACCGTGCCGCCGCTGGAACTGGAAGGCAGTACGGTGCGCAGCCGAAGGGTACGCAATTCCCTGGCTGACGGCAACGTGGACGGCGCCGAGTACCTGCTGGGGCGGCCCTACGCCACCGACGGCATAGTGGTGCACGGCGCGAAGATGGGCCGCCAACTGGGTTTCCCGACGGCCAACATCATTCCGATCGCGAACTTCGTGATCCCGGCGGACGGCGTGTACGCCACCTACGCCACGGTGAACGGCGTGCGCCACATGGCGGCCACCAGCATCGGCGTGAGGCCAACCTTCGGCCTGAGCCAGCGTCTGATCGAAGCGCACCTGCTCGATTTCTCCGACGACATCTACGACGAAAGCCTGAAGCTCGAGTTCGTTTCACGGCTGCGGGGTCAGGAGACATTCGACGGCATTGACGCGCTCATTGTCCAGATGAACCGGGACGTCGCAAACGCGCGCCTGGTACTCACACAGCATGACCGGCAGGGAAACGCCTGATCCGCCGGTCCATATCGACCAACAACGGCGAGGTGAGCGTTGACCAGCCAAGTTCAGATCCCCGAAAACCTTTCCACCATCACCCGCCGGGGCGTGAGCCGGATCATCTCCGAGGAAGACTTCACCGCCATGCTGCGGCAGGGTCGGCCGCTACGGCTGAAAATGGGTTTCGATCCCAGCCGGCCGGACATCCACCTGGGCCACGTGGTGGGGCTCCGTAAACTGCGGCAACTACAGGATCTGGGCCACCAGGTGATCCTCATCGTGGGCGACTGGACGGCGCAGATCGGGGATCCTTCGGGCCGCTCGGCGACGCGCACCATGCTGACGCACGCCGAAGTCCTCGAAAACGCCGAGTCGTACATGCGGCAGTTCTTCAAGGTGGTGGACCGCGACCGGACCCAGGTCGAATGGCAAAGCCAGTGGTTCGGAGAGTTCACGCTGGCCAACGTGATCGAGCTCACCAGCCGGTTCACGATCAACCAGTTCCTGCACCGCGAGGATTTCGCCAACCGATACTCGCAGAACCAGCCCATCGCGATTACCGAGATGCTGTACCCGCTGATGCAGGCCTACGACTCGGTGGTCATCGAGTCGGACGTGGAATTCGGCGGGACGGACCAGATGTTCAACCTGCTGGTGGGGCGCGAGCTGCAGGGGATGATGGGGCAAACGCCCCAGCAGTGTTTCATGATGCCCATCCTGGTGGGGACCGACGGCGTGCAGAAGATGAGCAAGAGCCTCGGCAACTACGTGGCGTTGGAAGAACCGCCGGAAGAGATGTACGGCAAGCTGATGTCCCTGCCCGACGAGTTGATCACGTCATACTACGAGTACCTGACCGACGTGCCGGACGCGGACATCGACGAGATGACGCAAGCGATGAAGTCGGAAACGGCCAACCCGATGGATTTCAAGAAGGGGCTGGCGCATCGGATAACGACCACCTTCCACGACAATGAAGCGGCTGACGGCGCCCAGTCGAATTTCGAGCAGGTTGTGCAGCGGCGGGACATGCCGGACGAGATGCCGGAGGTTGCGCTGGCAGAAGTATACGGTTTGCCGATCCACCGCCTGCTGGTGCAGACCGGGCTGGCGAGCAGCAACGGCGAAGCGCGGCGTCTGCTGACCCAGGGCGCGGTGGAGCTGATCCGCACGGACGGGCAGCGGACGAGCGCGTCCATGGGCGACGAGCCCAGCCTGAACCCGGGCGATGTGGTGCGCGCGGGACGGCGGCGGTTCGTGCGGGTCGTGGAGTAAGGAGCAGCCACCAATGAGCCCTCAGGAGTTTATTGCCAAATGGCGTCGGAGCCGTGGCCAGGAATCGGCGGGCGCGCAAGAGTGGTTTCTCGATTTGTGCCGAATGGTGGAGCACGGCACGCCCAACGAAATGGACCCCCGACAGGAGTGGTTCACGTTTGAGCGTGCACTCCGGGAGTCTTCCGGTCGCAACGGACGCGCCGACGTTTACAAGCGCGGTTATTTTGCGTGGGAGTTCAAAGGGCTGCACCGCGATTTGGATGAGGCGTATCGCCAGTTGCAACGCTACCGAGAGGCGTTAAACAACCCGCCCATACTGGTGGTGTCCGACTTCCGCACGATCGTTGTTCACACCAACTTCACCAACAAAGTGTCCATAGTCCATACCATCCTGCTGGACGATTTGGGCGAGCCGGAGCAGTTGGGCATACTCCGCAGCGTGTTCAACGACCCGGACGCGCTGGAACCGGCCATCACCCCGGACGACATCACCAAAGCCACCGCCGACATCTTCTCCGCCATCGCCCAGTCAATGCGAGAGCGGGGCGTTGATTCCCTTGAAGTTGCCCGGTTCCTCAACCGGCTGGTGTTCTGCTTTTTTGCCCAGGACGTGGGGTTGTTGCCGAACAAATTGCTTTCACAGTTTTGTGAAAACTATTACGGCGACCCGGCTGAATTCGATGGAGGATTAAGGGATCTATTCGGTCAAATGAATGAGGGTGGTCGATTCGGCATTGATCGGATTCGTCAATTCAACGGTGACCTGTTTAGAGAACCGGATACCGTGTTAATGACGACCGCGGAACTGGAAAAGCTGGTGGAGGCCACGGAGCGAAATTGGGCCCATATCGAACCGTCCATTTTCGGCACCCTTTTTGAGCGGGTGGTTGACCCCGGCAAAGAAGTTCTCGTCGGCGCCGAATACACCACCGAGGCCGACATCCTGGCCGTGGTCCAGCCGGTTATCGTTGGCCCCCTGCGCGACGAATGGGATGAAGTGGAGCGCAAGGTTGTCGGGCTGATGCTGATGCCAAACCAGCAGGACGAGCGCGAAGCCCGTCGCCTGCTCACCGAGTTTCAGTCCCGCCTGTCCTCCCTGAAGGTGCTGGATCCGGCTTGCGGCAGCGGAAACTTCCTGTACGTTGCCCTGCAGCAGCTGCACGATTTGGAGAAATCGCTGCTGACGCTGGCCGCCGATCTGGAGCTGCGGGAGTTCCTGCCCGGAGTGTCGCCGGAGCAGTGCCTGGGCATTGAAATTGACTCCTACGCCAGCGATTTGGCCCGCACCGCTCTCTGGATCGGTCATCTGCAATGGCTGATTGAAAACGGGCACCAGTACAACCGGGAGCCGGTGTTGGGTTCGCTGAATACGATTGAATGTCGTGACGCCATCATCGACCGGGCCAACCCGGAGCAGCCGACGGAACCGGAGTGGCCGGCGGCGGATTACATCGTGGGGAACCCGCCATTTTTGGGGCATTTCCCATTCCGGGAGCAGTTGGGCGATGAGTACGTGGAGGCCGTGTATGCGCTCTATGGCGACCGCATCCCCAACTCCAGCGATCTGTGTTGCTACTGGTTTGAGAAAGCCCGCGCCCAGATTGAAGCCGGCAATACGCAGCGGGCCGGCCTGCTGGCGACACAGGCGATACGGTTCCAGTCCAACCGCCCGGTGCTGGCTCGGATCAAGGAAACCGGCGACATCTTTGCCGTGGAGTCGGATAAAGAGTGGAGGCCGAATGAACCCAAGGTGAACGGAGAAATAATTGAACATCCGGCCAGCGTGCATATTTCCATAATCTGCTTCGACGACGGCAGCCAGACCACCCGTATCCTGGACGGCGAGCGGGTCAACAACATCAACGCCGATCTCACCGGCGGCGCTGACTTGACGCAGGCGAAACGACTGGCGGAGAACGCCAATCTCAGTTTTATGGGCATCACTCAAATCGGCCCCTTCGATATAGAAGAGGAGATTGCCCGAGGCATGCTGAGTCAACCCAATCCTCACGGCAAGCCCAACAGCGATGTCATCAAGCGCTGGCTTATTGGCCGGGACATTAATCAAGTATCCCGCAAAATGTGGATAATCGACTTTGGCGTTGATACGGCTGAGGCCGACGCTGCTTTATACCAAGCGCCCTTTGAATACTTGCGTTCCAACGCCAAGCCGGTACGAGACAAACACGGGGATGCGCGGGTAAGGAGTAACTGGTGGCGACTCGGCGTTCCCCGTCGCGCCATGCGTCAAGCGTTGACAGGATTGAGCCGTTATATTGGAACCAGCATGGTATCTCGCCACCGGGTGTTTTCCTGGATTGACGGGGATGTGCTATCGGAAAATACTGTAATAGTTTTCCCGCGCGACGATGATTATTTCTTTGGTGTGTTGCACAGCAGGATACACACGCTTTGGGCAGCGGCGGCGGGCACTCAGTTGCGCGAGGCGCAAAGCGGGTTGCGCTACACGCCCACCACCTGCTTTGAGACGTTTCCCTTCCCGGAGCCTACTGGGGAGCAACGAGAGGCCATCGCCAACGCGGCTTACGAGCTGAACCAACTGCGCGAGAACTGGCTGAACCCAACTGATATGTTCGGCAACCCGGCGCTGAACGCCGACCAACTGCGCCGCCGCACGCTGACCAATCTGTACAACGACTATCCCACCTGGTTGTGCGATGCCCACGCCAAGATGGACGCGGCGGTAGCTGATGCGTACGGCTGGCCAGCTGACTTGTCGGACGGTGAGGTTCTAGAAAGGCTGCTCGAGTTGAATCTGAGCCGGTGGGGTGCGTCCACCTGACGATCAGTGCGCGGTTCCTCGCTCTCACACCGGCAGGATCGGCGGCGTTTCTTCGGGCAGGGTAACGTCTCGGAGCGACAGTTGGCTGCCATCGGTGAACCACGGGTTTCGGGGGTCACGGGAGGGCAGAAGCACGGTGGCCATGCCGGGGGCGGTGATTTCGCCGCGTTGGTTCTCGGCCCAGATGTCCACGTCCACCAGCGCGTTGCCGTTGTTTATGTACTTGCGGGCGACGCGGCCACGACAGAACTGGGTGTCGCCGTAGACGTTGAAACGCCGCGTCTCGACCCGGAGACGCTTGAGGAAAGCGTCGTCGCCCATCCAGTTGGTCATCAGGGTTCCGAGCCAGGACACCCGTTGCGGGCCGTAATCGTAGGCGCCGGGGACGCCCACCGCCTCAGCAACGGAGTCGCGCAGGTGGCCAATGCCGGTGTACTCCAGGCCACCGCCGGACTCCGGGTTGCGGAAGAAGTGATCGGGATGGCGCAGGGCTTCGCGCAAAAGCACGCCGTGCGCGCTGGAACGCCCAGTGCCGACGAGGAACGCGCTCACGTCCTGGAGTGACAGCGGGCCGCGCACTACGGTGGGCAACTCCTCGCCAATCTCGGTATCTTCCCAGTAGCGAGGTTGCCCCCCTCGCGCCGTTTCGTTAAGAACCCGTTCGTCGATGCTCGCAAGTTCGTCTTCGGTGTACTCGTGGCGCTTGGGCACGTCGGCGTACTTGCCCCGCTCGCGGGAGGCGCGACGCTGGTGGCGGGTGCACCAGCCGACGACGCGGGCTACGACCTCGTCCCGCTGGTTGGAATAGGTGGTTTCCACGTATTGGATGACCAGACGACCGGAGTAGGCGCTCTGCTTTTCCTGCACGTCGAGCACGCGCTCCACGCAGTTCACGGCGTCGCCGGGGCGAAGCACGCGGAAAAACTCCCAGTCGTTGCCGGCGAAGAACCCGTGGACGCCCGGCAGACCCCACCGGGTGCGACCGGACCAGTGGCGCATGTACGGGCGCAGGGATGGCCCACGATGCTGCCGTACTTGGAATAGGCGGCGTATTCTTGGTCACGAAACAGCGGGTTGGCGTCGCCGATCCCGTTGGCGAAGTTCAGCATGGTGTCCACCGAGGCCTGGCGCACGTACTGCTCGGTGCGCATCCGCACGCCGATCATGGCGCGGGCGGAGGCCAGGGCCTCGTCGGAAATGCCCCCCTCCACCTCGGGGAGAGTTTCGACAACCTGCTGCTGGGATTGCTGTTGGGTCACTATAATTCCACCTTTTGGTCTGATTGCCTACAACCCTATCAACAAACTCGACAAATGCAACCCGGTCAAGCAGGCCATCTCGACGAACAGCCACGTCATAGGGCCGTTCACGAGCTCACTACCGGAAAGATTATCCCTTGAGAGCAGCCGGCTCACTTTCTCGAGCAAGAGGAAATATGAAACAACCGTCAGTGATATGAGAACAAATCTCGACACTGAAATCAGATCTGCGACCAATCCAACCATTTGTAGTTCTGGTTTCGGTGCTGATGGTCCATCGAACTGTGCGAAAAGCCCAAAGCCGATGGCAGCCGTAGCAATTGCGAGAATCGCAACCGCCAGTTGATGGCGGTCTGGAGGTTTCCCGGTCATCTACCTCCCTCTCCGCCGTCTCGCCGCTGCGACCGCCAATCGAGCCAGAATCCGTACACGACAGCACCCAATCCACAGAGAGCCATGGTCAAGCTAAGAGTAAACACAAGCCAAGCATTGGCACCCTCTGGCAACGTGCGTAAAGCGAGCACAGACAGGATCAAAATCCAAAACCCTATCAACAATGGAGCAATCCCGATACGTCCGTAAAACTTCAGATTGCTATGGTCCCGGGAACCAATCATCTTGTCATCTCCGGCGCATCAAACCGTTTCCAAACCGTGCGCTCAGGCTAATATACCACCCGCCGCTCTTCCAGCTCGGTCAGCTCCGCCTCGCCCAACCCCAGGTAGCCGCATAGCACCTCGCGGTTGTGTTCGCCCAGCAACGGGGCGTGGCGCCGGAGGCGCGACGGCGACTTGCTGAGGTTCCACATGAGGTTGAACACGGGTTCGGCCCCCAGCGCCGGGTGCTCCGTGTCGCTGTACAGGCCCCGCTCCATGAAGTGCGGATGGAAAAGCCGTTCCTCCGCCCCGAGCACGGGAGCGGCCGCCACCCCGTGGGACTGCAGGAGTTCGGTAGCGGCGTCGGGCTCGTGTTGGATGGTCCATTGGGAAACGAGCGCGTCGAGTTCACGACGGTGGCGCTGACGGCGGTACTGGCTGACCGAACCGGTCATCGCCGGCCCACGACGGCGAGCCCATGGCCTGCACCAGGGACTGCCACTCCGTCTCGGACCTGACGGCGATAGACACCCATCTGTCCTCTCCGGCGCACGGGTAGTTGCCGTAGGGCGCCATCGTGGGATCATAGTTGCCCCGGGGCTGTAGCGAACGCCCGGTCAAAGCCCGCTCCATGAGGCCCACTCCCTGGGTTACCACCGTGGCGCGCAGCATCGATACGTCGATGTACTGGCCCTGTCCGGTGCGGGAGCGGTGGAACAGCGCGGACGCGATGGCGAAGACGGCATGGAGCGCGCCACAGATGTCGCCGAAAGCGTGTTTCAGGCCCAGGGGGCCGCCGCCTTCGTATCCCATGGTGCTGTCAAGGCCGGACAGCGAACCGATGGACGGAGCATAGGCGCGGAGGTCGCGCAGCGGGCCCTCCTGCCCGGTGGAAGATATGGAGGCCATGATGATGTCCGGCTTGATGGCGCGGAGAACCTCGTACCCCAGGCCCAATCGGTCCATTACGCCGGGGGAGAAGTTTTCGATTACCACGTCGCAGCGAGCGACCAGGCGCTGCACTAACTCCACGGCGTCCGGCTCAGCCACGTTCAGGGTGACGCTGAGCTTGCCGCGATTCACGTTGTGGAACATCGGGTTCTGCTCGGGATCGGGCTGGTCGCCGACGATGGGACGGCCCAGGCGCATGTAGTCCAGGCGCTGGCGGGTCTCGACCTTGATGACCTCGGCGCCCATGTCCGCCAGGACCATGCCCGGCAAGGCGCCGGCCAGCACCCAGCCGAAGTCGAGGACCCGGTAGCCGCTCAGGACACCCGGTTGGGATGGCGCATCACTGTCACTGGAATTCGTTGGTTCAACCATATTGCACGATCACTTTGGTTCACGGGGCGGGACGATCCACGCGGCCACAGCCGGCATAACGGACAGCAGCGCCGCGGCGGCGACCTTGGTGTATCCGCCGCCGTAGACCAGGCTCAGCGTCCAGAGCAGCCCAAAGCACATGGCGCCCACGATGATGCCGGCGATGATTATGACTTCGGGGCGATGGTTCTTCCGGATCGCCATCTGCCGGGCGATGACGCAACTGCCCAGGAACACGACCACGCACGCAACGGCGATGCGGATCAGCATGGACAACGCACCGGAAAGGCTCGACGATTGCCGGTCTCGAGGACGACCGTTGGGGCGAGCGCCATCAGATAATTCCGGTCTGGTACAGTTTCACCAGATCGGATGCGGAGTAACCGAGTTCATCGCACAGGATGGTCCGATTGTGCTGGCCCAAGGTGGGCGCCGGCGTGGGGGCCACAACCTCGGATCCGGGCAGACGGTACGGCGTGCCGGGGTAGGCCACGGGGCCGGTGTCTTCGCGTTCTATGACCACGAACAGGTCGTCCAGGGACGGGTCGGATCGAACTTCCTCGTAGGTGCGCACCGGGGCGAGAGGTATGCGGTTTTCCAGGGCGATTTCCAGCAGTTCGGACTTGGTGTAATCGGCCAGCCAGGCTTCTACGTACCCGTCCACTTCGTCGGCGTAGAGGTTATTCATGGCGGTGCGGTTGCGGAACCGCGGTTCCTGGGACCAGTCCGGGTTGCCCATGATCTCGAGCAACCGCCGCCACTGCCGTCCCTCCGGCGAGCCAACGAAGATGTGGCCGTCCTTGCAGCGCAGGATACAGTTGGGATACGGGAAATCGAGGGCGTGGTGACCGGTGCGGCGGGTGACGCGCCACTCGTAAACGGCCATGAGCGCTTCGGGGCCGTTGTAAAGGCCGGCCATCGTTTCCGATTCGGCGATATCGATGTGCTGGCCACCGTGAGTATCGCGGCCCAACAGCGCCATCACGATGGACGACGCGGCAGCCATGCCGGCGAAATAACCGACTTCAGGGGTGCCGAAGGTCAGCGGCTCACGATCCTCGTCTCCGAGACCCTCGCAAATCCCGCCGGCGGCCGCCAGGTTGATGTCATAAGCCTTGTAATCGCGCCACGGGCCGGACAGGCCCCAGGGGCTGATGCTGGCCATGACCAGGGCAGGATGTTCGGCGGCGAGTAGGTCATAGTCCAAGCCCAGCCGTTCCATGTCGGCCGGCGGGACGTTGTGCACCACCACGTCGGATTTGGCCGCCAACCGTTGCAGGATGCCGCGCCCGGTCGGTGTCTCAAGATTGGCGGTGATCCCGTCCTTGTTGGAGTTGAGGTACAGGTAGAGACCGCTGCGCTCAGGGTGCGGCACGTCGTCGGGCCATGGCCCGTAGCGTCGGGCGTCTTCGCCGATACCGGGGGGTTCGATTTTGACCACGTTGGCGCCGGCGTCGGCCAGCAGTTTGCCGCAATAGGGCGCGGAGATCATGGAACCGATTTCGAGGACGCGAAGGCCGGACAGCAGGGAATACGTCATGGTTTCAGAGAGGACCCGAGCGGAGTTGGGCAATGTTATCACAAGGCGCGCCGGGCCTTGCCGAAGTTGTACTTCGTTGCGGGAAACATATCGACTGGCCGTCAGTTGAAAGTCTGAGCGGCCATGATCAAACGTGCTTTCCGAACCGACGAGATTGCCGCTCTGCGCTCGAGATGACGGAGGTGGGTGGCAGCAAGATTCCCGCACGGCGCTCGCAATGACAGTTTGGTCGCTTGCAATGATTTTGAAGAGTCGCTGATAGGGCGGGCGGGGCGCTAGGATTTGGTCACCGTCGCGGGTTATATGGGCATCATAGGGACCTTCGCGCGTACGTGTGCTGATTGACGTTATGTTAGACTAACGGCCGCCAATGAAACCCATGAATCCGAATTGAAGGAGACCCATTATGCCCAATAAGCGCGGCACCGGCCTGATGATGGTCTGGTGCGAAGTTCCCGCCGATGTCGAGGAAGAGTTCAACCAGTGGTACAACACGGAGCACCTGCAGGAGCTCCTGTCCGTGCCGGGCGTGCTGAACGCCGCCAGGTATGAGGCCACCAGCAGCGGCCCCAAGCATCTGGCGATGTACGAACTGGAATCGGCGGACGTGGTCAACACCGACGCGTTCAAGAACCGGCCGCCGACGCCGTGGGGCCAGAAGGTCGGCCCGCGCGCGGTGGCGACGACGGTCATCAACAACGTGTATCAGATGATCCACCCCACCGACCTGAGCGACGCGCTGGCCAACGCCGACATGTCTCCCGCGCTGCAGATCGGGAGGATGGACGTACCCGCGGAGAGCGACGCCGAGTGGAACAACTGGTACTCGACCGTCTACGTGCCGAACTACGAGAAGGTTCCCGGCTGCATCCGCGGTCGCCGGTGGAAGTCGGTACGCGGTGAGCCGTCGTATGCCACGGTCTACGAGTTTGAGAACCCGGAGGTGTCTTCCACTGCCCCTTGGCTGGAGCAACGGGAAGCCCACCCGGACAACGTCCGGATGCGGGACGTGATGACCCACGCGGCGGGTTCCCCCGGGATTTGGCGTAAGACCGTCCAGTTGTAGAGGATCAGGTGCAACCGGTAGCGTAAAATGGAGGAGCGGACGATGGTTCGCTCCTCCATTTCTTGGTGATTTATGACACTGATCACGGGCCGCCGGCTTTCACCGAACCTGATCCTTTGCGCCCTGACCCTATGCGCCGTTCTCGGTCTGTGGTCGGGATTAGCTGGCGCCGCCTGGGGACAGGACATTTTGGGCCAGGACTCCCGGCGCAACGAATCGGTTACGGGCCCGTACACCGTGGTGGTCGACGCGCAGTCGTTGCCCTCGCTGCAGTCGGTGCAGTTCTTCATCACAATTACCGAAACGGCGCCGGGGACTCGGGCGGAGGATCTGACGGTCAGCGTGCTGACGACATGGAGCGGAAGCGACGACACCGGGGAGAACATCGCGCTGAGTCCGAACGTGCCGGGCCTGTATACCGCCACGCTCCGGTTTGACCCCGGGAGGTGGGAAACCACCATCCTCATAGAACCGCCGTCCGGAGGCTCTTACGGAGCCGACGCGTTCGTGTTCGATGTCCCGAAGCCGACCAGCGACTCGACGGCGGGTTTCGTGTTCATCGGGGTGGCGGTGGTGCTGATCGTCGGCGCCGGATACCTGACTTGGAGAATTCGGCAGAACCAGAAGGCTCGAGTCGGCGCGCGCGGGGACGCGTCGCAATGACCGCGCACTTGAGCCGTCGGTGGGGCTTCTGGACCCTGGGCGCGGCGGCGGCGGTCGCTGGCGCGGCGGCCCTGAACCTCGACATCGCGTCGGCCCACCAGGGCATCCCGCCCGGGCAGACTCCCGCGACGGCGTGGGGTTTCATCACCAATCCGGTGCCGAGCCTGTTTCTGCTGGGCGCAGTCTACCTGTACGTCAACGGGCTCAACAACTGGCCGAACCCGACGCATCGCGTGAACGTGTGGCAGAAGGGGTGCTTCTTTGCCGGCATATTGGTGCTGTTCGCGGCGTTGCAGTCACCGATCGAACCGCTGGCGGAGCACTATTTCTCGGTTCACCAGGCGCAGCATGTGATGGTTCGCATGGTGGGCCCGCTGCTGATCCTCCTCGGCGCGCCGCTGACGCCCATGCTGCGGGGGATGCCGACCTGGGCCCGCCAGAACATCGTGCGACGGTTGGTCCGTTCGCCCCTGGCCCGTGCGATCTACGGCAAAGCCACAAACCCGGTGTTCACCACGGTCACGTTCCTGGCGCTCCTCTTTGTCTGGCAGGCGCCCGGTCCCCACGACCTGGCGGTGCACAACGACTGGATCCACGAACTGATGCACGCGACGATGCTGACCAGCGGGTTCCTGTTCTGGTGGATCGTGATCGATCCCAAGCCGCACCGCTCGCGGCTGCACTACGGGTTGCGAGTGCTTTACCTGGGACTGATAGTGCTGCCAAACACGCTGTTGGGGGCGGGCATCACGTTCCAGGAGGGCCTGATCTATTCCTCTTACCAGGAACTGCCCCGCCCGTGGGAGGGTTTTTCGCACCTGTCCGACCAGCGTCTTGGCGGCCTCATCCTGTGGGTTCCGGGCGACATGATGAGCATCCTGTCCGCCGGGATCGTGATGTTCGTGTGGTACCAGCGCGAGATGGAGGCAAACCCGAATCCGCCCATGCCGGTGCCGGTAACCCACGAGGACGGAGAAGACGCGGCCGGGCTGGACGAGACCGGGCCGTAGTGCGACGGGTCCGCCGTTCAAATTGACCATCCCCGAAGTGAACTTGTAGGATGTGGGCCGCTGTCGAACCCAACCTGGAATTTAATCGGTGAAGTATGGCCATTAGCAACGGACGACGCCCAGAACCGCGTTTCGACTGGTTCGTGCCAATTGATGGAGACGGTGAGCGCGCCGGTACGGTCCGGGCAGACCGCCCGCCGACATTTGAATATCTCAAGCAAGTGGCGGAAACCGCGGAAGAATGCGGCTTTTACTCGATGCTCATTCCCACCCGCTTCGCCAACGGGCTGTTTTCGGAGGACGCGCCGCTGGCTGAGACGTGGACGACGGCCACCGCGCTGGCCGCGGTGACCTCGCGGATCCGCTTCCTGGTGGCGGTGAGGCCCGGGTTCATCGCGCTGGGGTTGTTCGCGCAGATGGCCGCCGCGCTGCACCAGATTTCGGGCGGGCGTTTGGACATCAACATCGTGCCCGGCGGTATCCAGAACGACTTTGAACGCGTCGGCGAGGTCAGCGACCACGCGACGCGCTACGAGCGGGCAGAAGAATTCATCCAGGCCTGCCGCGCCCTGTGGCAAGACCCGCAGCCGGTGACATACTCCGGCGATTTCTACCAGCTTGCCGACGCCTACTGCGCGCCGGCCCCGGGTCGGGACGCTCCCCAGTTCTACCTGGGCGGCGCGTCGCCGCGCGCGCTGGGGCTTTCCGCGCGCCAGGCGGACGTGCACCTGGGGTGGATTGAGCCGCTGGAGGATACCGCGCAGCGCGTGGCCGATCTGAAGCAGCAATTTGCCGGCACGGGCCGGCCGCTCACCCTCGGTTTGCGCACTCACCTGGTAATACGAGACGACGAGGAGGAGGCGTGGCAGGCGGCGCGTCGGCTCATCGCCGACGCAGCACCGGAAGTGAAGGCGCAGCGGCAGGCCGCCATCGTGGGCACGCCCATGGTGGGGCAGCAGGCGCAGGCCCGGGAAGCCGAGGACCATCGGCTGGGGCGACACCTGTGGAACGGCCTTTCCGAGGTCCGGGTCAACTGCGGCAGCGCGCTGGTTGGTACGCCGGAACAGGTGGCCGACGAGCTGCTGGGTTACTGGCGGCTGGGGATCGACGAGTTCATCCTCAGCGGCTTCCCGCACGTCGAGGAGTGCCAACGAGCGGCCGAGGACCTGTTGCCGTTGGTGCGAGACCGGGTGGCGGCGGAAATCCGGTGACAGCTGGCCCTGGTCGGCGGTGGCGTTCGCGCCACAACATCACGCCTTGACACGTAACTTCGCCCTCCTGCTCTGGCTGCTGCCCCGGCGGCTCCGCTCCGCCTGGGGGCTACTGGCCGTGACCGCCTTTGGCGTGTTGGCGGCGGTCACGATCATGGCGCTGGGCGCGATGTACTCGCAGGGTCTGGCCGAAGCCGGCCTGCGGCACTCCCTGGCGGTAACGTCGGCCACCGTCATCAACACGCAGATCGTCGTGCGGAACCGACCGTTGGGTCCCGAGGACTACACGTCGCTGCGCACCAACATCGAGCAGATCATCGACGACGACGTGGGTTACCTGCGGCGGGACCAGAACCGGTACGCCAAGATGCTGCCCACACTGCCGTTTGTGCAGGTAGGCGCGCCGTTCGGGATTTCCGATGTTCCGCTGGGCCGGCCGTTTTTCATCACGGAGTTCGCCGAGCACTCGCGTCTCGTTGAGGGTCCGTGGCCGTCGCCCGAGATCGGGCGGGACACCGCGGCCTGCGTCAATATTTCCGACGGGTGTCCTCGCATAGAGGGGGTGCTGGGCGTCGACACCTCTCGGCTCATGGGATGGGGTGTTGGCAAGGAGGCCTGGCTGGTGGTGTTTCCCGGCCGGGACGACGAGCCGGCTGAATACATCGGCGTCGATATTGTGGGTATCGTTGAACCCAACGACCCGAGAGAAGAATACTGGATGGGTTCGGCGGACTACTTCCGCATCAGCGACTGGGAAGGCCGCCCGGTAGCGCCCATCTACGTCCACGAGCAGGCGTTTTTTGGCGGCATCGGCGAGCCGTTCCCAACCCTGGTTGGCGACTACGGCTGGTTCATCTACATCAACCCCGACGTCATCACCGCACCTACCGTGCAGCAAACCCGGGATGACCTGACCGCGCTGGAAACGGACGTCAACAGCCGGTTCCCCAGGTCGTACATCCTGACCGGACTTGAGAACAGCCGCAACACGGGGGTGTTGGCCACGTACCAACGGGAGCTGACCCTGGCGCGGGCCCCGTTGATCCTGTTCATCTCGCTGGTGGTGGTGGTGATCCTTTACTTCCTGGCGCTGGCCGTGGGGCTGCTGGCGGGCGCGCGGTCCGCGGAGTCCTCCATGCTGCGCAGCCGGGGCGCGAGCATCGGGCAGGTTGGAGGGCTGCTGGCGCTGGGCGAAGGTCTCATCGTGGTTGCCGCCACGCTGATAGGGCCGCTCCTGGCATGGGGCATCGGAAGCCTGCTGTTGGTGGAAACCCTCAACCCGGCGGCCCGGGTCGGCGCGGGCGAGGCTCCGCTCGAAGTGTCCCTGTCGTGGCAGATGTACGCGATGGGCGCCATCGGGGGCGTGCTGAGCCTGGCGGTGCTGACTGTGGCCGGCGGGAGCCTGGCCCGGCTGGCCATCCTGGATTTCCTGCGCTCCCGGGCGCGCCCGCCATCCGCCCCGTGGATCCAGCGTTACTACATCGACGTGATAGCCGTGGTAGCGCTGGCCGTGCTGGTCTGGCAGATCCGGCAGCGGGGCGGCTTTGTGGAGGCCGAGCTGACCGGCCGGGGACCCACCCTCGACCCGTCGCTGCTGTTGGCTCCCTCGGCCGCGTTGTTGACGCTAGCCTTCCTGCTGTTGCGGGCGCTGCCCTGGTTGATGACGGGTACCGCGTGGGCATCCCGGCAACTGGCGCCGGCCTGGATCAGCCTTTCGTTGCGAAGAATGGCGCGGCAGCCGCTGCCCTACGCTTCGTTGACCGTGGTGGTAACGCTGGCGGCGGCCCTGGGCGTGTTCGCGGGAACTTTCCAAACAACGTTGGCCCGCAGCGAGGCGGACCAGGCGAACCACCGGGTGGGCGGCGACATCACGCTGGGCGGGACCAGCTTCATCGGGCGCACCGAACAGCAGAGGATCGACCAGCTCAAGTCAATCGACGGGGTTGAGGCCGTGTCCGCCATCATCCGGGAGCCGGTGGGTTTCGTCGACGGGCCGTTCCAGCGGGGGACCGTGCTGGGAGTTGATCCGCTGACCATCGGGCAGGTGTCATGGTGGCGGGACGACCTGGTTGACGGGGAGCCGACGCCGCTGGAGACCCTGGCCGCGCCGCTAAGACGCACGCTTTCGCCGGAAACGGCCGGGGTTGAAATACCCCAGGGAGCCGAGGAAGTCGGCGTGTGGATACGGCGAGACGACACGCCGAATGTTGGCGCGTCGGTACCGCTGCCCAGCTACCGCCTGTGGCTGCGCATCGGCAGCGACCGCGGGCGATACCGCAACCTGGAGATGGGAACGCTGAGCCAACACCAAACGGGATGGCACCACCTGACGTCGGCGATGCCCGAGGTGAGCGCAATCACCAGCGCCGACGACCAATGGCGCGTGGTTGCGCTGTACATCTCCGGGGACTCATTTGCGCGCACGCCACCCGGCGGACTTTCTTTCGACGGCGTCACCGCCTACGGGTCGGGACTGCCGCCCAATGGCGAGGTGATCGAAGGCTTTGAGGACATCGGGTCGTGGGTGCCATTGCCGCAGGCGGGAAACGTCCCAGATCGAACCGAGCGGAGCCCGGACGCGGCGCACACCGGCGACACCGGACTGTCCATCAAGTGGGAGGAGCCTCTGGGACGGTCTCCCCGGGGCATCGTCATCCCGCCGGCCCCGCTGCCGCTGCCGGCGATCACGGGACCGGGATTCACGTCGGGGCAGACGGTTCGGTTCACCGTGGACGGTTACGTCGTGCCGGCCCGGGTCACCAGCACCGTAAATCACTTCCCGACGCTGGACGCCAGGCGCTCGTTGGTGGTGGTATCGGCGCACGAACTGCGGGCGTGGCTGAACCAGGCGCCGGGCGCCCAGCCAATCACTCCCGACGAATGGTGGTTCGACATAGCGGAGGGGGCGGACCGCGAACGAGTAGCCGCTGAGATACTGGACGTCGGGTACCGCCTGTCGTTCCTCCGGGATCGCGCGGAGGCCGTCGACCTGGCGACCCGCAACCCTCTGGCCGGCGGCGCGTGGGATGCCCTGACCGGCATTGGGCTGGCGGCGCTGGCGCTGGCGGTGGGCCTGGCGCTGTGCGCCCACGCGGCGGTGGCGGTACACGAGCAGCGGGTCGACATGTCGGTGGGAGCGGCGTTGGGCATTCCCCCGTGGCAACGGATCGCCGGTCTGGCGCTGGAACGGGTGATTATCGGGGTGCTGGGCATCGTGGTTGGCGGGCTGTCCGGATGGGGACTGGCGCGGTGGACGCTGGGGGAGCTGGCCGGAAACGCGTCCGGGGGAGCGGTCACGCCACCCATCATCTTTGTGGCGGAAGGCCCGTGGCTGGTCGCGACGTTCGTCTGTCTCGTGGTGGCAGCGGTGGCGGCCATCGCCCTGGCGGGAACCGTGGCCAACCGGCTACGGCCCCCGGAAGTGCTGAGAGAGGCAGAGTAGACGCAGATGACCGCGATCCTGAACCTGGGTTACGTGCTGGCGCGACGGCGGCTGATGTCGTCATTCCGGATCGAATTGACGGTCCTGTTGGGAGTCACACTGGCGGTCGTGCTGCTCTCAAGCGCGGTGGTGTTCAACGACCTGCTGGCTGAAACGGCGTTGCGCCGGGCGCTGGCGGACGCCGAGTCCAGCGACGTGAATTTCTGGGTGCGGGTGTTCAACGACCTTGACGACCCTCGAACCGCCACGCCGGCCAGTGACCGCTACCTCACCAGCCGGCAATTCGTTGCGCAGCGAGTCCTGCCGCCTTTGGGCGATGCCGTCGGGACCGTGTCCTTCCAGGTAGAGACGGCGACTTTCTATTTCAGCGGCCGCTCCAACCTGGACCTGCCCAACGACGTTCGTCCGCGTGGGCGTCTGCAATACCTGTCCGGGTTGCAGGACGGAAAGGCCGAACTGGTCCAAGGCCGCTGGCCCGAGTTATCCGGCGACAGAGGCTACGACGACAACACCGGAGAAACCGACGGGATCGTGGTCGAAATCGTGGTGGATTCCCAGGGGTTCGAATTCCTGGACATGGAACTGGGCGAGGGATTCGAAATAGTGCCGGCAACCGGCGGGGACGGGCAACAGGCGACCCGTGTGGTGGTGGTGGGCGTCATCGAACCAACTGACCTTGAGGACGAGTATTGGTACCGCAGGCAAAAGCTCCTCTCGTATCACGACGATGATTGGACGCTGGTGCCGCTGTTCACTTCGGAACAGGGATTGCGCCAGCAAATAGGGCGTCGCTACCCCGGCATCTACACCAGTTCCGCGTGGTTTGTGCAGGTGGACCGGGAAGGGATTCCGGCCAAGCGGGTTGACGACCTGCAGTTGGCGCTGCGACAGGTACGCCGCAACGTAACGAACAACCTGCCCAATGGCAGCACGTCCACCGGATTGATAAGGATCCTGGAGAACCATGAGGAGCAGTTATTGCTGGCGCGGATCCCGCTGTTCCTGATGGTGTTCCTGGTTACGGGCATCCTCGCTTATTACCTGACAATCACGGCCGGCATGGTGATTCGCGCCCGGGCCGGCGAGATCGCTATGCTCAAGAGCCGCGGCGCGACCACGGTGCAGATCGGCGTCCTGACGCTGGTGGAGGGTCTCCTCCTGGCCGGCCCGGCGCTGGTGGCCGGTGCGCTGCTATCGCCGCTGTTGGCGAAGGCGCTGGGCGGCCTGGTGTTCGACGCCGAGTCGGCCGGAGCGCCGGTGTCACTGTCCTGGCAGGCATTCGGCATGGGCGCGGCGGGCGCGGCGTTGGCCGTGATCGTGCTCTCATTGGCCACGCTTGCCGCCGCGAACAAGGGGATCGTGGAATTCCGCCAATCGGGAGCCCGGCCGGCGCGAACCCCGTTCGTACACCGCTATTACCTGGACCTGCTGGCCCTGGTGGTCATCGCGTTCCTGTGGTGGCAGATTTCCAATCGCGGGACCGTCCTGACCCGGAGCCTGGGAGGGCGAGAGCTGGAAATCGATTTCGCGCTGCTACTGGGGCCGGCGCTGGGCCTGA